TCACTCTACAGCCAACAAACCCGACAGTCAGGCGAGACCGTTACAAGATGATAGAAGCTCGGATCCCTTGAGGGCAGTACTTGTCAGGGAATGGTCCGATGTTTTTAGCATCGCACGGAGCGAAGCCCTCTCCATTTCCAAGGCAGCGGTGGCAGATTGAGACTCTGTTGTCCGTTGTGGCTGTCGGTTCTCCTGCCTTCATTCTGAAGCCTGGCGGGAAGGCTGTCATTTTGTTGTTCTTGGCACTGTAAGGCATGTAGTACACCGTCAGTCCTCCATTCTGTGTAAGCCCGCCATTGGCCATTTGAGGAACACGTTGGAAGGTGCCATTATCGGGCGACTGGAAGTACAAGGAAGCAGTCCAGTAGTTGCCGAAATCCTCGGAGTATGTACAACTTGTGCAAGTCGACTGGACGGAAGGATCATAAGTGACGGGTGTCATCTAAGTTGTGTTAGTGGTCGTTTTCCAAAGAAACTAGTTTGGAATACCGTGATATTGAAAGAGTTTCCTCCCACGATTTGATGGGTATGAGGGGAAGGGGCAACTCCAGGATTCTCGAGAGTATCAGCACGCTCAATGCTGAGTTGTGAGCAGCCGAAGCGCAGCATGTTCTGCGCGCGGACGGACTGCCCCAAGAGCGCAACGACGGTGAGAGTGTTCCAGTACATTGCGTTCGGAGTGCGTTGATGATCATTTCATCAGAACCTCTTGTTCTTGTCAGACTTCCAGCACTACTTTTCATTTCCATACCTTGAGTTTGAAGCGATAGAATGCTGGACTTCTCATTTCAATCTCGCTGGAGCTGAACGATGATGGCCAACCGTTGGCTTGCAGTCAGAAGCAAGAAATTTCACCCAGAAGAGGCAACAGGCTGATGGAGAAAGGAGGAAAGATCTTCGATCCACTCTGTGTATTATAAATTCTTCCAGAAATACCCAGACGCCATGTGCCCTTACCTTACCTATTCCCATGCGTAATCGTACCCGAAATCGTCGACTTCCCCAAGCCCCATGAACTCCACGACGTCATCACCCTCTTCGACATCGACCCATTCATCATACACAGCCAAGTCGCTGAACAACATTTCCATTATAGCCATCTCGTCCAACAACCGTCCTCTCCTATGTCTTCGTCGAGGCTGAAGCTCTCCTGGCGGAAATGTATATGGCTCCTTCGTAACAGGATGTATGTGCGAGTAGTGACAATGATTCCTGAATTGACACTTGAACTTGTAATCCGGGGCCGTATCCATGGCACTCTGCTCGAAATACCGACAAGGAATAGTCTTCAGTCTTCGCAGATATCCATCCGATATCTCCTTCTTCTGTGTTGAGGTCGGCCAAATGGAGCTTGGTATGATGAAGTCGCTGTGTGACCGGCACATGGGGCAAGTCTTGCTCGTCTTCTTCAATTCGTTCTCCAATGTCGGGTTCTTCGGGGCTGTGGCACGCCAGTTTCGAATACATTCTACAAGTGTCAGAGGTGAATGGCAGATTAGGTATGGAGACAACACACCGAGGCAGAAAGCATGATCGCAGTTAACCAGGAGGCCGTATTGATCGGGAAGTTCGTAGCAGATTGCGCAAGTCTGAGATATGGCCGACGGTGGGGGGACTGTTTGAATCATCAGATAGAGGAGCACCTGCAGGGTCGGTCACTTACAAACAGCTTGTTCAGCAGTGAGTGATGGTGTCGCTGGAGCTCCAACATTGGGCTCGTCTTGGGCCTGCGTCTTCAACGCTGCAAACGTCGACTCGTCGTGCTTGAAATAGCATGACTTGCCCCGGGAGCAATACCCACGCATCCACCATTTGCAGTTGACCTGCGGAGGGGGCAAACGGCGCTCCGTGGATGGAGGCATCGCGGAGTCAGTGTGTTGGTGCTCGTTGATCAGTGAGAGAGAGAGAGAGAGGTGACGCCAAGCCAAAACGCGGGGTGCATGTGATGGCGCTAAACCTTAGTAGATAGAGGGTGACCGAACCGCATACTGATACCTTCTCCCATCATTTAAATCATTATTTGGCGCCGGCATTGAGTTCGATACTGCACGAATTGTCCAGCTTCTGGAAGAAAGCATTTCTCCCATGGATGAGCCTGCTGAGAGCCGAAGCCTTTTGACTGCTTATGGTGTGTCCAGCTACTGCATTCTTTATCAAAATCCTGGCTTCAGAATAGCCCCGGCAATTCCGATTTGTTTGATGGAGCTGATCTCACAGATCAAATTTATGCTTCAAAATGCTCCATGGTGGATAGAAGATTGGGATGATTTAAGCATAGGTAGACACAGCCTACCTCATCTATGCTGCAAGGAGGAAGTCTAAACTCTTGGTCTGCCAAGACAGTAGCAACAGCTTTGGGACTCATAGGATTACTACACAAGTATGCGATGCGATGAAGCTCGCGTTACACCAGTGATTTCAGACGAGGTTTCCGCATTCTAGAATGCCTGAACGGCTGGAGCTTTGGAAGGACTCTGCAGTGGACGGTGACTTAAGTGCCACCTTTCAGCAGTCAAACAGCTTTGCCTATTGCGTAACACTCAGCACTTTGCAATTCCCAATGCCCTTTGGAGAAGTGGACGTCAAGCAGAACTTCTATGGGAAGAGACATCACAGAGGTCAAGCTATCATTGTCTCAATGTTCAGCCTGCCCGTGATCGTTTCTTAATTGCCTCCAGTTCTTTCAAAGGTTCAATATCCTCGAGCATCCCATCCTCCAGCTTGTCCCAGAGTATGCCACAGCTCGGCTTACTCGCATCCTTGACGTTAATGACTTTGTCGTTGGTGACGACGAAATCACATCCCGTATCCCAAACCTCTCCTCGCAGTTCCTCATCAAGAACCTGACATTCATGAACAACTGCAATAGTTTGCGTTCTCTGGTTTGCCTTCCCAATGCTATATAGCATGGCCCATTCGAGGTCGAAGTACCCATGACCTTTCCCAAACCTCAATCCCTTAAGATTGATTGCACCTGTGCCAGTAACCATCAGGGCTATGTCTGTAGGGAGTTCAGATATATCTGCAAGAGTCATATGCCTCCCAATGTTCTCCATCCCATCTAGCACGCTCGCCATCTGCCATTGTGACTCGTGTATCTGCTCTGGATCTAGGATCCAGAATCCTCTTCGTATGCCATATGTAGTCACTATAACCTTCTTTCCGTCGGTCAAGGATCGATATCGAAGCTCTTGTAGACAGTTGTCGGGTGCGATGAAGATAAGGTGTGCATTTTGGTAGGCAGGAAGAGACTGGAGTAGATCTGTTGCAGCAGAAGACCCTTCGAAGTCTGCGATGAAAGACGAGTAGTCGTGATGAAACCTGGAATCTGGGAGTGCGACTGCTCGAAGCCGTGACCAAACTTTGTTGCGGATCAGAGATTTGTGCGAATTGGCGTTGATTGTGGTCGTCATGTTGATTCGACGTGAAATTTGGGAACACGAGTGATTGGCGCTAGGTAATCGCGCTTCTGGCGCGTCTGGCGGAGACAACGACAAGACCGCTGCAATCGACAAAAGAGTGGTTGTTCAATCTATTCAGCACAGACAAGATATCATTCATCTTCTCTTCAAGAGTGGGATGCTGCGCTTCCATCGCTCTTATCGTTCTCCTCGCTCTAGAACTCCGCTAAGCTACGGATGCTCTATTTTGCAAGCAGCAACCACCTCCGAACTCACACCTCCTGCAGAGATAGGTCTAACCCTTGATAGGTCTGGTCTTGGAATCTCTTACACATACTCTGGTCCACGATCAGCCATATCTTCTCTTGGGACTCGCTGGTCTTTCCGCTGTCCTCCGGCAAATTCATTCCGGGCCGAGTGCGTACCCGGACCGGCATGGCACTCGAATTGGTATTTCACCCGATGTGGCAAGTCCAACATCTACGCCAAGACAGACCCCACTCTTCCAGGCCCGCAGATCTATCGAACATCTATACTCAATTCCAGTCTCGAGGAGGAATCCGGATTATCTTACTCCAACTTTTACTTGAAATATACAATCTACGCTTTTGCGGCAACCTGTTTATATGAGCCAGTACTACTGGTAGTCATGATAAAAGTAGGTATATTGCTTTTGCTCCAAACCGCATGAAATATTGTTCTGCCAGACCAAGTCAACCTATCCGCGCTTCAACGTTGGGCTTTTCCCCGCGTTGCTGTTTTGGGCATGCGTATCCGAGTTGATACATAGTGGGGCAAGATGATAAGCCAGAACCCCGAGTAAAGAAGTCTACTTGCGATGCTAATGAGCGGCACACATTTGTTGATTGGGGGACTTGCCTCCATATAAGAAGAGCCATCGCTTCCACCATTCTCTCTCAAATCTTCTCGTCTGCAACATACACGCACAATGTCTACCGAACAGGTTCCCGTTTCTCTCCCTTTCGTTGGTGGCAAGGTCGCCGCTGTTCAACATCCTTTGGGACCATTGACAGCAGGAGAAATCAAGGAAAGCGCAAACCTGATCAAGGCTTTGTGGCCATCAAACACCAATCTTCAATTCAAGGTTATCACCTTGCAGGAGCCAAGCAAGGCCGACCTGGTTCCATTCCTAGCAGCAGAGCACGCCGGAAAGTCTGCCCCCACTATTGAAAGGAAGAGCTTCGTCGTTTACTACATTCGCAACACAGTGAGGATCCTCTCCGTTTCTGTTCTGGGTCAAGGACTGACATAATGGTGAAAGGATAAACTTCATGAAGCCATTGTCAACCTGAGCTTTGGCAAGGTTGAGCACAATGTCAGACTTGGACCAAATATTCACAGCAATGCCGACGGTGATGAAATCATCAATGTAGAGAGAATCGCATTGGAGGATGAGCAAGTCAAGGCAGAAATCGCGAAGTTGAAGCTTCCCGAAGGCACCGTGGTGATCAGTGATCCATGGATCTACGGTACTGCCACTCGTGTCCATGGGGATATACTGGGCTAATCACATTCAGGATCCGATGGCGTCAACGATGGACTTTTCTCTGACGACAAGAGGATGTTTCAATGCTTTCTCTACGTTCGAGACCCAAACAACTCCTCAGAACTCGACAGCAACCACTATGCTATGCCCCTCAGCATCTCTCCCGTCGTCAGCGCTGAGACCATGAGAGTAACCAGAATTGATATACTCCCGACTGGAGCTGATAACACCATCAAGGAGCCATCTCCATACAAAGTCCAGCCTGCAAACGAATATATCCCCGAGGCCCAAACACTGCGAACCGATGTCAAACCACTGAACGTTGTTCAGCCTGAAGGTGCTTCATTCGAGGTCTCCAACTTCAGCGAGCAAGGTCACTCTGTATCATGGCAGAAATGGGATTTCAAGGTTGGTTTCAATCAACGAGAAGGGATGGTCCTCTACGATGTTCATTACGCTGGTCGTCCCCTTTTCTACAGACTTTCACTCTCCGATATGGCCATTCCTTACGCAGATCCACGTCACCCATACCACAAGAAGCAAGCTTTCGATCTCGGTGACGCTGGAGCAGGTATCATGGCCAACAATCTACAATTGGGCTGTGACTGTCTTGGATCGATCTACTACCTGTCCGCCGTCCTGAGCGATGACAAGGGTGAACCTCTCCAAATGCCAAACTGTGTTTGTATTCACGAGCAAGACGCTGGTATCGGATGGAAGCATACCAACTACCGAACTGGACGAGCTGCCGTCGTCAGAAATCGGGAACTCGTCCTCCAATCTATCATCACAGTCTCCAATTACGAATATATCCTTGCTTTCCAATTCAATCAAGCTGGAGAGGTCATGTACGAAGTTCGCGCAACGGGTATCCTTTCGACACAGCCAATTGATGAAGGTCTCACTGTTCCGTGGGGTACTGTCGTCCATCCAGGTGTCTTGGCAGCTCACCATCAACATATATTCTCTTTGCGCGTGGATCCTATGATTGACGGTCCTCTCAATCGTGTAGTCTACGACGAGGCGCATCCAATGCCTCGATCCGATTTCAATCCTCATGGTGTTGGTTATACCGTCTCCGAGACTCCAGTCACCACCTCAGGCGGCTACGACCTGAATTATGATGCCAACCGCATCTTCAAGATCCAGAACTCATCGATGAAGAATCCTATCAACGGAAAACCCGTCGCGTACAAGATCATGGCGCCACCTTTCCAGAAGATCATCGCAGACACAGAGAGTTTCCATGCCAAACGTGCCGAGTTTGCAGATCACAACATCTATATTACTTCATACAAAGATGGCGAGTTGTATGCTGGTGGCAAGTATACCAATCAATCACGTGGTGGGACCGGTGTTCGAAGCTTCGCAGATCGCAAAGACAACGTTCTCGATGATGACATAGTCGTCTGGGTTCAATTTGGAATCAATCATGTGCCTCGTATTGAGGATTTCCCGGTCATGCCCTGTGAGATCCTCAAGGTATCTCTCAAGCCAGTCAACTTCTTCGAGAAGAATCCCGCTTTGGACGTGCCTCCCAGCCAGCAAAGCTTCAACAAGAGCAACCTTCTAAGTGTCACACATCACCAAGAAATGGGGGAGGCGGTAGTGGGAAAAGAAGGTGAAGTGTGCTGTGTGAAGGAAAGCAGCAAGCTTTGAAATCGTTCGGTGCTTTGATCTATTTTTGGGGCGTTTGAGCGGGGGGCATTTGGAGAATGGCTAGCTAGTGTAGCTTAAAGTCATGTAGAAATATTTTACTCCATTCTTGCGTCCAGGCGATTGTCCTGTGCTAATTTTTTTCTATTCGCGCAGTGTTGGCGCAGGTGATGCAATTGAAATTCAGGTTTTCTCTATAGTGAAGTATTTCCAATCCTTTCATCATACATACCAACAGAACTCATTGGTCAAGGGCTGTGATATCATCATCGCCAGGTCCCAACAAAAAAAATTCTGGTCGTCTTAACACATGTTCTAAATGGTTATGAAACTTTTGATTGTCAAACCATGGTACTGCTACTCGCTTGTGCATTTAGAACGGTAGAGCGGGAAGCTAAAATGAATCTCTAAACCAGAAACATACAAGTAGACCTGTCATAACAGTATAACAAAACTCTAATACTAGCTTCCGTGTGTCTACACGTCAATAAAATGTTGAATTTTTCAAATGCCAGCCTGGTCTTAGTGGTCTCGTACGAGTATAAATTCTCGATCTTGCCTTCGTTAATCTCTCCGTTCTCTTACCTCTCAACCATTACTTCCAAATTCAAAATGCGCTTCCCTATGCCCCCCATAAATGGTACGGCCATTGCGGCAATCCTTCACCATGCAACTAGGAATGCATCCGCTCACGTCTCCGATGCCACATCCCAACGAGATGACATTGCTCCACATCAAGATCACGCAATCGTCAAAGAACACCACTACCAACCTCCAGGATTTCTCGGTATACCACCAGTCTTCGGCGAGAACATACTCAAAGCGCTCGCTATTGTCATCGAAAGCCACCCCGACAATCACACCAACGGCACCGACCATCCCCTCCTTGTCGCCATGAACGCTACCATCCACTCCATTCTGAACCCAACAAACCTTACTGTCACCTTGAGCAACTCTACCGATGACAAGCTTGAACCTCGAGGAAGTCCGTATGCTTGGGAGAAAAGCGGCGGCAGACGTCTGCCACCTTGTCCCGGATGGCCTGCCAAGCAGAGGTATAACGCTACTCATTGGAGGGAGTGGACCTTCTTCCACGGTTATGAGTACGGACTACTTGATCCTAAATGCCCAGTGTCCAATGGTGGCGTAGGAATATAGATGTACTGTACATAGTACACTGGAGACCAGCCGATGTATTTAAGCTTGGAGTTGAAACACGAGAACTTTCCAGGTGGAATTTAGAATACATTGTTGTTTCCTTCTGAAAACCTAGTCCGCGTGATAAATATTCTAATACTTGAATGGAGAGGATCCTCATCGAGAAGTGAATATCAAAGACAAACCTGGCAGAAAAAGAGGAAAAGTCACTCATGTTGTGCGAGAAGCTTCGCCCAATCTGGAAGGTGGGGTTACTGCACTTCTGCAGACCCAACTGCAACCATTTATCAAGTTGAAAGTTTGGATGCATCTCACGACATTCTTCATGAAAGTACTGTCTGTAGTCGTGTGTTTCTTCATTTTCAAAGAATTGTTCCACAATTTCCTTTCTTTTATCAAGGTCCAACCCCTCCAAAACTACCCCGCCATCACCGACATCGGCTCTCTCCCGCCAAGTCGGCATTGCGGCAACATTCCGCCTGTGCAGAAAAAGTTCGAGCCTCATCTCTCGCCTCAGCATACATCCTCACAAGAAGCAGAACAGTATCTTCACATATCGGTAAGCTAGAGACGAACTTAGTCTCCCGCGATGCAGAGTAATCAACCCTTCAAGCTTCAAGATCGACGCTGCAGCGCTTGCTTGCGGTGAGCTGGAGTATGTCAGTCATTAAACCGTCGGCGGGGTCCGCTGCGCTATCAAGCGTTAGATTGATGATCGGGGGATTTTTCACGTTGTATTTTCAGTCTTTTCTGTTCTTCTTGTTTCCTTTCTCCAATTCGAATCCCCATGAATTTGTTCTTCTGCAGGACGAACGAACAGCTCATTTCCAGTTATATCCAAGTGGTACCACAACAGGGTGCATATCCAACATTACACTGCATCCCACTCTCAACCTTCTCAAAGCCATAATTCACAGCTTCCTTCTCGATTGAGCGTGTAGGCCGAAGAATGACATGTGACGATGACAACTCAACAACTCAACTACCAATCTCCAGCTCCTCATCGTATATGTTCGACAAAGATGTCGAGATACAATCCATACACAGCGATTCCTCACATACTGATGTGGACGGAACAGAAGAAAAGAGAAAACATCTATCGTTGACTGAGAAAGGGGACATTGAAGCATACCCAGATGGAATCAATGCGCAGCAGAATGGAGCTGTCACAAGAACAAGTACAAAGAGCAGTTGGAAGGCTCTCGGACCACCACCTGACGGAGGCTTGATAGGATGGACACAAGGTGCTTCGCTCTTGGGATGTATATGACCTAGCTCACATCTCCAAGTTGCACTAGGACACCTTGTCATCATGAACACATGGGGTTTCATCAACTCGTTCGGCGTCTTCCAAACCTATTATGTGACAGCCCTCAACCGTCCGCCGAGCGACATCTCCTGGGTAGGATCTATCCAAGTCTTCCTTCTCTTCTTCATCGGGACGTTCACCGGCCGCTTGACCGATGCTGGGTATTTCCGTCCCGTGTTTCTCGTAGGCTCCTTCCTTGGAATTCTGGGCTTGTTCATGACATCTCTCTCAACAAGCTACTGGCAGTTGTTTCTTGCCCAGGGTGTGTGCTGTGGATTGGGTAACGGATGTTTATTCTGTCCCAGCCTGAGCCTGCTCAGCACATACTTCAGTAAGAAGAGAAGCCTTGCTCTTGGTATTGCCGCATCCGGTTCTGCGACCGGTGGAATGATCTTCCCAGCCATGGTGCAGCAGTTACTCCCCAGGATCGGATTTGCGTGGACGATGAGATCGTTAGGATTCATCCAATTGGATTGCCTCATCATCTGCAATCTTGGTATCCGCCCACGAATTCCACCTCGAAGAACAGTACGTCAAAATCGCCTTTCGTATCGAGAACAATTTGGGTACAGTGCTCGAGACACTTGGGTGCTCACCTCGGCTCGGTCATGATTTGTAAAGTAGGCACTAATTTCGTCAATAGAGAGCACTCGTCCATTGGAAGAGCTTCAAAGAGACACCATACGTCTTGTTCGCAATCGGAATGTTCTTTGTAGGTTCCATGCCTATCTTCCAATGATGAGGGATGCTTGCTGACTCGACAGAACTTCTGGGGTGTTTATTTCGCCTTCTATTATATCGGCTCTTTCGCCCGCTCGATAATTGGACTCCCATATGCTGAATCGATCAATCTTCTGATAACGCTCAATGGTGTTGGCGTCCTAGGTCGTGTGGTCCCGAATTACCTCGCCGATCGATACTTCGGCCCCATGAACTCTAACATCCCCGTCATCCTTCTTTCATCCCTGCTTTGCTTCTGTTGGATTGCTGTAGAATCGCGAGGTGGCCTTTATGCATGGGCTGTTGTGTATGGAATTGTAGGAGCAGCGATTCAGAGCTTGTTTCCTGCGACATTGAGCAGCTTGACGACAGATTTGCGAATGGCTGGAACAAGAATGGGCATGGTTTTCTCGATTGTTAGTTTTGCGGTGTTGACGGGACCACCAATTGCTGGGCAACTGATCCAGAGAAAGGGTGGCGAGTATACCTACGCTCAGATCTTCGCCGCAGTGGATTTGTTGGTAGGATGTTGCTTCTTGGTCGGTGCTAGATATTCAAAGAGCCCTAAAATTAGAGTAAAGATTTAGAAGTGGAAGCATGATAGATTGGATTTGATTAGATCAGAGACTAGACATAGACAGACGTAGAGTAGAACGCATAGACAGACCAGAGACTCGAATTATTGACAGCTAGATCCTCAATCGATGTCCCATGAACGAACAAGTCAGATGATACCACAGATCACCATGGGAGCTCTCAGACTCGATACTTTCCATGTTGTTTCAGAGCTTGAACTCCCGAATCCGAGAAAGACATTCCAGGTTCCGAAGAAGCTGTGACATCACGTGTTTATGAACTAAACTCATGAACCAGCTCATGAACTCGGTCTGAACACTGACTCGAGCCGCGATTCAAGGCTGTGACATCGTTGAGAGAGGGTGCATTATAGCGCCATTGCTCCACCTTATAATCAAAATATGCAGTGCAGCCACCAAGGTTCGTCTGTAACGACAAGCTTCTTGCCCGTCGGGCATCGGTAAGTGATGGGGACTGCCGGCTTTCAAAGCTCGATTTGGACAATCTGCTTCGACTTGTTGGCACGTGGCTAGTTATCTATCCTGAGCTGTATGTCTTTGATTTTGAGTTCTCGTATGTGCATCTGACAGATTTCTTGCTCCACTGCCGGGACAATCCTAGAAGAACAGAAGAAGTATAAACTTCACTAAGCAAGAAATGACGCCAGGTAAGGATCAAAACTGTGATGTTCAAATTCAATGTGAAGACTTTGGGCAGACTAGAGACGGGAGAAGAATTCAACAGTGCAGTCTGATATGCGGGCTACCAGCAAACTTATGCAACATCATGACTCTGGAGACCGTTCACATAGTCGGGCTTTGCTCCCTCTCTCTCTGGGGCATGGTGGTACCTGCTTCTGATGACATCAAAGGAAGCTTTCCTCAAGGATGTCTGCGAATCCCAAGGATTCTGCGCCAGATCGGACGAGGTTGCAAGGCGACTGAAACTTCAACGCTCGAGCATTGAGACTTTCAAAGTCTGTGTCCATGACTCGCGTTGCCTCTTTGGGTGCTTGACAGCCCGGTTTAGCAGAGGATCCGCAGCTAGAAGCACAAATAGAAGATTGAGAAGAGGTCCTTGTCATGCTGTGTGCAAACTCTAATAATGGTGTCTGGTCTGGCAACTACGAAGTAGACTGCTCTCATCCACCTGCATCTCCTCGCCGTGAATGATCATGCAAGCATGTAGTCCAGCACTGCTGGACATGCTCGTTCGGTATCTCGTGCTGTAGCTCAAAATCAACATCCAAAAGGTCAATCCTGGTTTAAGAGAAGCTCGCCTCGCAGCATCGCCAACGAGCTGTGGCTCCTCCCCCGTGAATCAAGGGACCACAGCACGGATCACGACAAGTTGGAAACATTTTTGCAGCACCTGGACCGACGGAACCACAACGTGGATCCTGGCTCCGATCACCAGACAATACCGCCGAGAAGAACTGCAGGAGGCAGGAGATTTGAGGCCGGAGGCAGTAGTTGTCTTTGACATTGTAACAAAGCCGGCTTTGGTGCTATACTTCGAAGTAGCTGCGGCAGTGCGTTTGTGTTTGAGTTTGTGGTGGTGCATCATTGTTGTTGCAAGCAAGGGAAGAGAAGTGAAGGTCGAAAAAGATACTACTGTACAGTAACCTTAACCTTATCAGCAGCGCAGCCTTCTCTTTCACCAACATTTCTCTCCGCCTTGTCATTTTTTTCGGCCTGCACTCACCACCAGCACTTTCCCAAACTTCGACTACAGTATCAACATCAAATTTAATCCGATCTGAATTGAATTTGATCTGGTCTTCTTCCCTCGCCCGGATTTCCAGATCCTCTTCGTTTCTTTCTGGAGAGGATATTGTCCTCTTCATATCTAGACATCCACCAAGGGCGCTTTCGATCTTCTCGGCCTCGTCCCCGTCCCTCCTCTTCCCATCTTCCGCGCTCACGACTCCCGATCTCTTTACCTCGATTCTCCCGACTTCTCGCCGATCTTTCCACCCAACGCCAGTCAACTCAACTCCCCAAAGTCGTCAAAATGTCTTCGTATCCTCCCCCAGGAAACAATTATCCTCCCCATCCTCATTCGCATGCCAATGCTCACCCGCACCCAAACATCCAAGTCCCGAGTCCCGGAGGACATCACGCAGATCCATTGTCGGCGCATTCGCAGCAGCACGGTATCCCTCTAGGCCATTCGCCCTACCCGTACGATCACCAAGCTGCGCAGCAACTTCAGTCGCCAGCGTCATACAATGGTCACTCGAATGGGCATGGAGGACATGGACACGCAGATGATGGACAACTTCAACCAAGGTCGGTCCCCGCACCGGCGCCTGCCAGTGGAGGTGAAGGACAAAAGGGCAATCGTCTGCGAAAGGCTTGTGATTCTTGTAGTATTCGAAAAGTCAAGGTGAGTCTGCCGATGTTTCTTGGGCAAAGGATCCCACTGATCGCCATTTTCTGCAGTGCGACGAGTCTGGACCGCCATGTCGAGCTTGCTCTGCATTAGATATCCCTTGTACCTTCGAGCGGCCCAGCAGAAGACGTGGACCTCCCAATCGACATGCTGAGGCTATAAAGAAGAGAAAATTGGATTCGCCTGGAGGTCCTGGTTCGTTCTCATCACCAACATCACCGAACAATGTCGCAGAAACCCTTGCTTCATTCTCCTCCCACGCTGTCCTCAATGCCGAGTCAATTTGTCCATTCTCTACACTCGAGCTTCTGGTAGACGATTTCTTCACATACATCCATCCGTTGTGTCCTTTTCCCCACGAGCCATCATTCCGACTTGCCTTCAAAGCTCGAGAAGATGTTAGCAACCCCTCCTTCCTCGCCCTGCTCGCATCCATGATTGGACTTTTGGTTGCCTCATTTCCCCGGAAGCCAATGTTACATCTGAAGAATCATCGCCGCGAACATCTCTTCCCAAATTCTATGAGTCTGGTTGATCGATGTCACAAGGTTGCAATTGCGGCACGAGGACCAGGTTATCTGGAGAAGGAGCTTTCTGTTTATACTGCTGCTACAAGTTACTTTATTGGTCTGGCAGGAGCATATACGTTTCAATGGAAGCTGACAAGATTGTACTTTGGAGAGACTTTGAATATCGCGAGAGTACTTGGCACCCATAAACTGGAGGATCCAGGCATCTTGCCCGTGGGAGCACTGCCTGCTTTCTTTGGTGGAGAACAGAGCACTGTCGAGACCCAAGTGCAGAAGGTAGACTTCATCAGACAAGAGCTGGGTAGGCGAATTTTCTGGGTTATGTTTGTAGGAATTGGGTATGTATTCACTTCTAACATATCGACATATCCTAATAAGTAGTAGTTCGATCCAACAACTGGGTTCGAGTTTCGGCGAGCTTTTAATCCCACCTCCTACCCGGAACGCTCCATATCCTCCCCTTCCAATGGAAGTTGATGACGATTTCATTTTTGATAACCGAGTCGATCCTCAACCAGATGGCATCGTCTCCAAGCTCACGGGTTTCAACCTCAATGTCAAGGTGTACCTCAGCACCAGTAAACTCTCGACCATGGAGCTGGCGTATGGTATTGATGAGGTCTTTGATTGGGCCAGACAAAAACGAGTCTTAGAGGAGTGCCTGCGCCAGTGCAAACATTCTCTAGACCACGCTCCTCATGAACTCCTTCTCCAGCCAGGTTCAGCACCAGGAGAATTTGCGAGTACGGCCGCACAATACTTCCCACCGGCTACCGAGTACCCAGGTCTAAGGGTTAGGATGAATGGAGATCAGGCAAGCGAATGGCAATTTACTAACCCAGATGCAAGACGACAAATTCAATATGAGATCCAAAAAGCCAATATCTACGCTAGTCTGCTTGGCACAAGATCTTATATTGTGGAGAAATATTGTAACCTCCAAGAGATCCATGAGAGGAAGACTGCAAACAGTGGTGGAGAAGCACAACTGAGCAGCCCAGGCGTAATCGCTCATGGCCTAGATGGCCTGCTGCCGAACACTTCCGTCACCAATAATAGCGAGGGTAGCGAGACCAATGTCATGCAGGAGAAGGACAGCATTGTGAAAGACCTTCTGTCGGTGTTGAGCAGCATCAGTCAAGTCAACATGGAACCTAACGGTGCGAGCTTCGTATGTGCCAAAGTTATACGTTTGATATCACACATGCTAATGTATGCTACAGATTAACAAGATCCGCCAGATCGCATCGACCCTGATCGACCAACCCCAAAACCGTAAAGGGCAAGCTGCTATCAATAACGAAGAGTATCTCAAAAGCTTCTTGGGTGTTCTGATGAAGCTGGAGAGAGTCAGTCCGGGCTTGGTAGATAATGGTGTGAATGGCGCTGTGGATGAGGAAGAAGAGCTGAGAAACTGGGCTGACTTGAGGGAATACCAAATGAGATTTGCTCAGGCTGGAGGATTTTTGAGTGAGCTGTGAATCATCTCTGTCTGGAGCAAAAACTGTGCCTACTGGGGTAGCAAGTGGTGGTGTCGAATTTCTGGTTTGGCGTTAGAGGTCTTTTGAGCATAATGGCTAGATCGGAGGAGATGATACCACAGCATATTTGCTGCCATTGCACGGGTATGGTTTGCATGACAACAGTACAGAATAGGCATAGCGGGTGCATTGCTGATTGAACATTTTCAGGCTTATTATTGCCATGGGCAGAGTTCGTACGGACTTTACTGCATAGCACTCAGAAAAATACCACAACAATAGCGAAGAACTACAAGCAAGCATGGGACTCTTCTCTTTGTGGTGAAATGCAACGCTCCTAAGCTTTCAATGGTCTGAATGCGTATTGCAACTTGAGACACAAATCACCGAGCCGCCTTCGCTCGAGCTCTCTGACCTGCTCTCAACAATATCCTCTCCTGCCTTCATCATCCCACCACTAGTAAGGCATCGCTCCAGCCAACTTCAAAAGCTTTTCAGAGAGGACCGGCTCGTCAAAGGGCCTGTCACGATGATAAGGATCTTTCTTGCCAAGTCTCAAGATCTCTGTTGCTCGCCAGAAATTCCGATGGGGCCAATGAGTCTAACCCCGTCAGCACAATCCTCTCATGGTCTACTATAGAACATACAGTACGCTCTCTCTTCTCGAAAATTTCTTTCTTCTTCTCCAGATCCTCTGCACTGGCTAGCGCAGCTGGTGTATAACAAGCATCTGTATGCTCATCAGCATGGTCCCGCGGAAACAGTTTTCTCACTCACAAACAACAGCTCTGGTTTCCTGCCCTTCGGGCAAAACGTTGTAATGCACCGTCCTCGAATCCCACACGATCAAATCACCCCCAGCACAACAAACCTTGATAATCTCACAGCCTCTATCCTCGAACCATTTGACCTCCTCATCATCAAATCCGTGCCAATCATCCGGGACTTTGCCCCAAATCTCCTTTTTCTCCATGCTATGAGTCTTGAAAAACTCGTCGTTAAACTTGTGGCTTCCTTTCATGACTACAAGTCCACCATCATTGGGCCCATTGTCTACCAGGTTGATGATACCTTGGGCGCATTGGAAACCGCGGATCTTGGAGTCTTGGTCTTGGTGTGGCCATCTGGCAGGTTTGGGGTGGCTTGTATCGGGAAGGGGAAGAGTCATGTTGATTCCGTCAAAGGAGACCAGGAGTTCTTCTGTGTTCCAAATCTTCGAGAAGGCGTCGAGGACACCGGGTTCGAGACGAGCGTCCCAGACAAACTTTTCGTGGGAGACAGAATAGCCGTGATACATCCCTCCTCTGGGATGACTTAGCTTCCGGATTAGAATATGTAAGAGGGAGAATATACTTCATGTTGGCAGGCAAGTGCTCTTCAGTCCATGTGTTGGGATCATTGCGGTCGAAGCCGAGAGGGAATTTCTCTAGCCATTGAGTCATTGATTCAACGTAGCTAGCAGCACGGCCTGCTGGGACAGCAGCTTTGATGACAGCGAAGCCGTTTCTGTAAAGGTCATCACGCCAATCGCTATATGTCGTAGTTGTGTCAGGAGTAATTGCGTGAGGCATGATGAAGAGCAGAGCCATCTCAAAAGACAAGAGCAGTACGGATTGTGATGGAATTTGCGATGGAGTTTCAAATAATTTCAAAGCCCCAAGAAAAGCTCCAACTTATGTACTGTATCCTGATAAAATGCAAGGCACTTCAACCAGTAGTTTTCATCTATTGTTCTGCCATCAGGCCTTGCTTTGAGCATAGGATGGGCAGGTTTGCACTTGCCCAACTTCTTGCGCCGCGGTCTAAGCTAACGAGCACCACTCCTCAAAAGGATGAACCAGTCGGTGCCCCCACCAATATCGCATGCATATTATCAAGCCAAAACAGTGTAGGTGCCTTCATTCAGAAAAGAGCTTGATGTCTCTTACGGCGCGTTGAGTGTCACGGCACAACCAGTTCTTGCGCCGCGGTGAACCTCCGCCGCGCTCAAAGAAGCTCCAATTACAACTTTCAAAACGGATTTCCGAAGCTCTCGAAACCCCCGGAATATACCTGGGTCTGGGGATGGAGTTCATGACCTTGGATGAGTGCCGATCAGTGGTCAGCATCTACAGATGCATGATAGGAGAAGAGTCAAGGTTGTGGAAGAGCTTGAGTGTGAAGATAATGTCTTTTTGAGAGATAACAGGAGTGGGGATGCGAAAGTATATGAATCATGGAAATCCAAACATCTCCTGACATTCGAGCAAGGTTATCAGATTATTGGATCGCTCTGTCGTTCCGTTTCACTGACATTATGGCACCTCCGAACATTGATGTCACAAAGACTCTTGAGAACAATACCCATCCACAATGGTGGAAGGATCCTGGGATGCGGAAGCTGAACTTCATGATTCTTTGCGTCATCACGGCGCAAATGACTTGTGGATATGATGAAGCTGTCGTGGGAAACTTTCAGGCTATGAAACCATGGTTGAAAGGTATATCGACTATTCAAGTCCAACAAGAACTTGTGGAGCACTCACTGACACTTCAAAGATATGTCTTACCCCGACGCGTCCCATATTGGCCTCATCACAACAATCATCTTCGTTGGTGGCTTCATCGGCTCTTTCCCTGCATCACCAGTGGCAGATGTTTACGGACGCAAGATGGGGCTGTACATCGGCTCTTTCTTCACCTTGATTGGAACCATCATCCAAACGTCAGCGTTTGGATATGCTCAATTTATGGTTGGAAGGTGCTTGCTTGGCGTAGGAATAAGCTTCACTTGCGTTGCTGGTCCCTCAATGATCGCCGAGCTTGCACACCCAAGACAACGAGGTACCGTCCTTGGATTCTTCAACACGCTGTGGTATGTCGGTGCTATCATTGCGGCGTGGGGTAGCTTCGGCTCAGGACACCTGAGCACAAGTTGGTCTTGGCGGATCCCCAGCCTGGTTCAAGCACTCCCACCAATCTTCTTGATCGCGATGTTGCCATTCATGCCAGAGAGTCCAAGATGGCTTCTTGCAAGAGGAAGATCGGAAGATGCAAGAGCAGTCCTGGCAGAGTATCATGCCAATGGACAGATGGACGATGAGTTGGTGCTGTATGAGATTGACGAGATCAATACCGCTCTAGCGATCGAGAGTAGATATTCTGAAGTGGGGTGGAACATTCTATGGAACACCGCTGCAAACAGGAAAAAAATGGCAGTCACCATCTCGGTGTTTGTTTTGTGTCTATGGTGAGTATACGTTCAAAAAACCCGAGGGCTCATGCTAAGAACAGTAGGTGCGGACAAGGAGTCATCAGTTACTATTTCTCACCCCTCCTCACTTCGTTGAAAGTAACTGGTACCAACCAGCAGACCGGAATCAACGGCGGGATGCAGATCTGGAACTTTTTGGTCTCGATCGCGGGCGCTTTACTTGCGGATAGGATTGGACGACGATCTCTTTGGATGGTCTCCCTCAACGGCATGATCTGTGCCAATATCGGAATCACAATCACCAGCGCAGTGTTTGACAAGAACGGAAACAATGCTGCCGCATACATGGCAATTGCCTTTCTCTTCTTGTACAATGCTGGCTTCAACATTGCTTGCAACCCACTTGCATATTCATACCCCACCGAAATTCTTCCGTACAGCATGAGAACCAAAGGACTTGCCGCCATGGTCGCAATTGGACAGGCTCTCTTGATTGTCTCGCAGTATGCTAACCCGGTGGCAATTGCTGCTATTGGATGGAAGTATTGGCTGTTCTTTTTGGGCATGTTGGTTCTCTTCCTTGCTATGGTGTACTTCACGTATCCTGAGACGAAAGGATTGACGCTTGAAGAGCTTGCAAGGCTTTTCGAAGATGATAAGACTATGAATGTGGTTGAGAAGATGGAAGGTATTGAACCAGAGACTGAGGTGGTTGCGGTTACTGTAGATAAGAAGGAATAAGCCTGATCATAACAACATAGGGAGTGTCAGCCTGGAATGTAGTAACAAATTCCACTTCTTTACCACCAATCTTGCTCGCAAAGGTTGTTAAGACTTTGTGATCCAGACACTTGCCTTTGGGTAGGTTCTTTGTATTGCCAATATAATCAAATAGGGTCCGTCGACATGAAAGCATTAGTTCCGGCTGCCGAGAGTGCAACGACTTGGTGGCAAAAAGCCAGACATAATGTAGATTTCGGAGAGTGGTCCTTGTATGCTGTATCCCAAACGCCCTCCTATGCTTCTATACACTATTGTACACTATCGTAGTCGTACAGATCCGTATCATGGTCGCTGTCCAGGTCCCGGAGGTCCTATCTGTCCCGGCATTTCCTGTGCTCCTTCGGCCTTCAATTTCTCCAAAGTCTTATTCCGCTGATATTCCATTACTCGGCGCTTCTTGAAGTATGTGACCTGATGCTAAATTATCAGCAACTGAATAAGACCAAAACGGCTGCAGAACTAACCCAACTCGAAGCGCAATTTGCTTCGAACCCTCGACCTTCGGCAGAGCACGCTTTGGCTGCTTTGTCTTTATCCGTTATGCTGTCTACGATACTGTTCTTATCTAGGCATTCAAAGTATGCATCTCTTGCCTCCCAACATTTTGCTCGTTCGCTTCGACCAGGAGCTATTGGGGCGCCATCCGCCGAAATCCTGGGTGCTGGAGGAGATGGTGCAGAGGAGCTGAAGAATCCCATGCTGGCGTCTCGTCTGGAGAGATGTTGTGAATAAATTCGGGCCTAGAGTCCGGAAAATTGACTATATGGTAATCAGTATGCTGTGGTCCAAGTATTCGTACAAATCTGTAGATTTATCTGCGGGAGAGCCACCTACATTCGCAGATTCAAAGTCAGTTCAATTCATTGAAGCTCCTCAAATTCTCTCCGCCTTGTCAAACGCCTCGTCACCTGACGGCAGAACAAATAAGCTAAGCCCAATGCGCTTCAATCTCTGGCCTCACAACAGGCATCTTCCGGATCTACAATAATACAGACATCAACAAAGAACAAATGCTCCCCAGATAACATCTCTATTCACACTGCCCTCGACGTCGAAATGGTTCGGCGACGACGACCTCCACGACCTGGAGCGCTTACAGAGCTACCGCCCCTCAAGATCCTTACACAGATCCTATTGCTCCAGACGATCTGGTACACCGTTGGCATAGCTTTGATACTGTTCACGGCGCTGGTGGCCGGAAAACATTTCAGCCTAGACTTGGTATTTAGTTGGCGGGCCTTGAGAGGCGATACAACAGTGGGTTGGATGCTGGGACTCGTCTGGCTCCTTAACTCCTTCATTGGGTATGCAAAACAACTGGATCAATCAAATGCGCAAGCTAACATCGCACAGCGTAATATCCATTCTTCTTTTGATTTCTCGGAGCAAGTTCGTCCCTGATTTCGCTATTACTCTTCACTTCCTTCACCTCCTCATCGTTTCTCTCTACTCCCACTCGATCCCGCAAAATGCTTTATGGTGGATGTTACAATTTGTCAGCGCCACGATGATGACTGCCCTTGGTGTCTGGAGCTGCCAATACAGAGAGCTACGGCCCATCAATTTCGGGGGAGGTGTTGCACAATCCGGACCCAGCTCTGGGCACAACGAAGACAACGCACCCCTCCATGGCGAAGATGGTCATGATACAGAGGAAGGATACGGCAGAGGACGAGGCAGAGGCAGGGGCCGCGATGGAGCTGGAGAGTACGAAATGGTGGGTATGAAACCTGAGGGGGAGCCTAGTTGAAAACACAAAGGCTCGCTGGTGCGTGTTCGAGTAGGCGTCATTGACAGAGGCATTGGGTGGAGTTCAAGGTCGGGCTTGTAATAATACAGCTGAGTGTCATCGAATTATGGACTATTCTTAGCCGGCGATACCCAGTTCGTTAGTTCCAATCTCAATCTATTTGGGTTTTCTCAATGTTTATTATTCGTGTTTGATGCTTTACACGAGCCATCCTGACGGCAACAGAACTACAAATAAGTTCGTTCCCTCCTGCCTCTTCTTCCTACCCAGCTGTCTCGCGGTGGTCCTGCAGGCAACCCATCGATCTCGACTCCTTCCTCCGTTGGAGTGAAGATCTGAGTCCCGCTGGTGCTTGTCCGAGATATCCTTGGTCTTTCTTGCGCACTGAAAGCTTTCAACTCTGCTAGTGTGGGCAAAACAGATGGGCCAGGGCTAGTCAGAGATCCTTGGATCTTCCTTCCGCCGAGTGGCCAATCCAACGTCATCTCCTCCATCGGGCTTGCAAGCCTACTGCCCATAGCACTGAGGGCGCTTCTTTCGAATGGTGCTTTACTCCTTTCTGCACGTTCCGGATTCTGCAAGTCTTCTGGCGTGCACACTTCTGAAAGCATACTCCTCCTGCGAGACCTTCTCATCGACTTGTGGGAAGAGAATGAATATGCTGAAGATGTTGTGTTTGGCTGTGAAGACGACGGAACAGACAAGAGTTCCGGTCTTGTCGGGCTGGAGCCGCGTGTAGCTAGTGCTGAGGAAGCAGTTGAGTTCTGACATTCTCGAGACGATATGCCATTTGATATAGCACCAGAAGCTGGCCTGGATGGTGTTGATTTGCCAGATGAACGTGATTGCATCAGCTCTGCAGCGACCAGTGAAGCTGCAGCAGCGAGGGGATCCGCAAGTCGAAAGTTCGGAGTCGTACTCTGAGAATCGGTCCAGTGGGAACGTGCAGGGTCGTTATTACTTGGAGATAGGTGACCACTCTTGGGCGTATTGTAATGTGGAGTGCTGTCCATACTTGAACTGTGGATATCGCCACGTTCCTGGGCTCTTAACCGTCTTGCTTTGGCATCACTGCTCATCACTTGACTTGAATCCTCACTCGCGCTTGACTCTGAAGCAGATGCCGCATCTTCAGATGTTCTTGTTGGGAGCGATGAATGCAAACTGCCGCTCAATCGTCTTCGAAACTTTCTCCATCTCTTCACCACAAGCTCTCGAACAGGCTGTATGAAAACGTGATGTGATTCAGATCGAAGCACGGGTTGGAGGTGGTAATTCGTTTTCGGTGTACCAACTCCCAACACACGTGATGGACTCGCTTCTTCCTTTGAGCCTTCGGGTGTGTGAGTTGGTCGGCGTGTATTAGAAGCACTAGGCATGCGAGGCAGTGTGAATGATCGATGGCCTGGATCATCAACTCCCTGCCTTCGGTACCAAGCGCACGCCCCAACTGTAGGATCCAGCTCGTTGTTGTCGCAGCAGGTCCTGATATAATCCTCATCCTCGTCTCTGTTCCCAGAACCCTCCGTATTGTGTAAGGTTTTGTGCATTCTTGGTCGACGAGAGCAAGGACTTGAGGTGCCAATGTTAGGAGTGGAGCACCCGGTGTTGCTTCGAGTAGGTGAGGATCCTGACTTTGGCCCATCAAACCTTCCCGGCCACACTTGTATTGGGGAAGTATTTCGAGCTTGGTGCCCGAAGGATGGAGAATAACGAAAATGGGTGTGCATTCGCAAGGAACTGATCAATCGAGGGTCTCTGACCATTGCAATCCCATCTTCATCTCTGATATATTGAGGGGTGACGGCAGTAATCGAGTCGGGAGGAAGAGTGAAACAAGCCCCAAGCAGTTGCACAGCAATGAGGTGAGCGAGGTCGTGGATATTACCGGAATCTGCTAAGTAGCTGTCGGAAACTGTCCTACGACACGCAGCATACTGTGACTTCGAAGCAGTATCGACACCCGGCGTTCCAATTTGAGGCTCGTACTCGCTCGCGACTTTGTGCTGGAGCTTCTTCAAGCGTGCGTACTTCGATTCGGGTGACCACCAGTATGGCCTGCCCGATTGACAGACGTATTGCCATTCAAAGATCTCTCTGTCTATGATGTTTTGAGACACCATTTCTTCGGTGGCTTCAATATTCTGTTTCTCGTCTGCCGATCCGTCGAATCTGCGTCCACCATTGCTGATAGATGACAAGGAGCGATCAAATCCTCTTCGCCTTTTCGAACTCTTCGAGGCTGACATGTATAAGATCTGGCTGTTCTCGGACACGTTGCTCTTCGATCTCCTCGAAATTGGCACAGACAGGCTGTTCTCGGATGGGCGCGATGCTCGTTGACGAGCTGCATGGTACTTCAAAAAGTCGGTAGTGCCATCAGATCGCCTTAAAGACACTGGAGATGCTTCAATCTCCTCGGGAGTATGCTCATAATGATCCATCTTTGAAAGGTAGATATCTAGGGGAGGTAATGATAATGCATTTGTGGAAACATGTGGATTAGGAGAAGTAGGAAGACGGGGGCGAGAATGAAGAGAACGACGGACGACAAGATTTGGATTCAAGTCTATGAAGCATGATTCTGTCGTCATTGGAAAAAATTCTGGGAAAGTGCGGTTTCGATACTCGAAGCAGTGACTGTCGGTTGTTCCTACCTTCGCAGAGGAAGTGGTTGATGGCACGTGGTCGTCTTAGTTGTAAACGTCCAAGTTGAAGAGCGCTCCAAAATTTCTCGTGAATCTCCCTTCCTAGTACTTGGTGCTATGCATTATGCGTTTAATTTCTCTGTAAGAAAAATCTAATCGAGGAATATTATCATCTGAATACCATAGAGCAGTAATCACCGAGCAGTCCTTCCTAGTCCCAACGCACACCTAGCAAAACGCTCCAAAGATTAGTTAGCATCTCCACACATTGTTATCTTTCCTTTGTCTGCCTTTCATCGGGCTACGCAAACTGCCCGAAGTAGATACCTTTCCTCCATTGAGCCTTGTGAGATGTTGGTAGCTTTGAATGAATTCATCTCTCGTTTGAATTGTACAAGAGTTCCTCTGTTCAAGTTCTTCAAGAGCAGACTAAAGCGCTCTCTCCAATACGTGGAACTCTATGTGACCTGTGCATTGTTGGAAAGAATCTGTGTAACTTCAAATGAGCAAGAGATTACTAACAGCACGTTCGGGTGATTCCCACTCCCTCGCCTGATCAAAGTAGTACATTGCATTCTCATTCTGCTGAGTAGGACAAGAAATGTCCAAGCTGGTAAATGAAGACCGTGTTTAATTCAATGAATCACCAGCATTGTGTGACTTCTTACTGGGAAGTAGAACTCCGTTGAAAACCCTTCATTCGTGGCACCATCTAGGGTTGTCAGATCAATATCACAACATCTTCTGCCAATCTCGCTGCCCATTGAAATGTCACTCAAGTAAACTTACGATTTATCCTCTCATGACTGCCGAACTCACGATATATAAAGTCACTTCAGGAGTCAAGAGATCGTACGACGAATGGGACACATTGACAGTAGCAGAACTGCTGCAGTTGCTTTAGATTGAATTGTCGGTGTGATAGTTTTCCTCTAGAGAGTCTTCCGGCACATTGCAAAGCGCGACTCCCAACCCATGAGCATTTCAAAATTGCGACCACGACAATAGAGACTCGAGCAGCTCAAAGCCAGCGCCAGTCATGTGCCCTCAAGTACTTTATCCTTCTCTCTCGGTGAACTCCTCCACTGTGGTAACATGCTCACCTACTGTATCGTCACGATTTTCAATTCTGGGAATTGTTGCAGCTTCTGCTCCTCCAGCCCCATTCTCAACTCGAAGACCTGTCACGAGTGTCAGAAGTTGCGGTTCTTCAAGATTCAGTCTACTCACGACCTCTTTCTGCTGCTTCCAGATCTTGGGATGTAACGGGATGGGAATTCAAAGGACCATCGAGTTGATATGTACCGTCTGCGACTGGCTTGCGCGCGATAGTTCCACCCATTAGGCCACCTCCATTTCCAGGCTGCTCCACAATTCCAACCTCTTGTTGAAGTCCTTGATGCTCATCTTCAGCTGTGTTGCTTGCCTTTGATTTGCCTCCGAAGCCGAACAGTGCTTTGCCCTTGCGGATAGTATCGAAGATTCGTTGTGACTTCTTCGACTGCTTCTTCTGGTTGGGCGTGTCGACATGCTCAGCATTGTTGCCTTCGAGGATTTCTTCTGTGCGGCTAATGACCTTGTCGATCTTGTTACCCTCGAAACCCTTCATGGTGTGCGATTGACTGTCTTTGGTTTTGGGACAAGGTGTTGAGGTTTGGTTGTGGATGGGGATGAATCGATTGAATGGCAAGTTCTGAGTGGGAGTTGACCTGAACTAGTGTCTATTGGAAAGTGAATCTACTCCAGAGATAGTTCCATTCACCTTTGGATTCTTGTTATTCGTTCCGATTTCAGACTTCCTCCTGGTCTCATATTCACATTATGTCGGTGAATAAAAAACCTCGAAGCGGCAGCAATGCATCCTCGACTAGCTTCACTTCTTCCTCAGGATGAATTGACACAGCGGGTTTTTGACTAGCAGGGATACTAGAGCGACTGGAAGAGTTTACACGCATCGTTCATGTCAGAATTCTAGTCCATTGTGTGCTTCAACTGTATTTCTTTGAAAGCCATAACTGGTCTAATCGTAAGTAAAAGAAACCGACAAAAGACTTCAATGCGTCATCAGCTTCAAATATCTGTCAAAGTCACCAATACCGGTCGAATAATATACATTATTCATCTGTGTTGAAAACTCTGGTGCATCCCTGAGGTTGGGATCCAGTAGCGAACAAAGATTCTAGTGAATTTCGAGGAACAATTATTCAACATTGTTCCGTCTCAGCTTAGAGAGTGCCGCACTACAACAGACCATCTAAGCTATAAGTTAGTTTACTCAACCTTCTGAATTATTAAGATCAATTACAGTGATTGTTGCTTTGCTGTTGGAGTCTCGCTTAATTACCCCGCCCCCTTTTCGAATTTACCCCGCACCTCGACCTCGAGCAAAAAGGCTTACACATGCTCAGCTTTCTGTACAACCGATATAAATATACTGCGAGATCACGGCTGCATTCAAACATTTCTAACAGCTTTAGAGTTCCTCTTCATATTCCTGGATCATGCTTGTTTTGGCGGCTGGCTAATTCGACGTCGCAAGATACGAATGTGACCGATTTAACGCGAGAGTTATGATCATATTAGTTCAGGCACAAGAAGTCGCATTGTACAACATTCCTCCTTGTCAATTTCCCTTGCAAGCTTTTATCAAGTACCTCATATTTCAATATATAGCGTTCAAGCACCAAGAAATGTAAGCTTCCCACGAAAACTGCCGAAAGTGGAAACAACTCCGAAGAGGTTACATTCTCCCTCACCAAGCTCAACACATATCATACCCACTGAATTGATCCTCCCTTACATCGCCGTTCTCATGCACGTCACGTACGCTTTCGGGGACTTCTTGAACCCTTGGTCTCACCAAGTGACACGAGAACGACCTCCTGTGTTCACATCAAGCTGGCACCATCTCACAAACCTTATGGATGACTGCAGATCAGTATTCAGGTGCGACATGCAGACGCCGCGACCGGAGCACAGTGCCGCTAAGAGCCGCTCCGGCATATCGCTGGGGTGGCACGGTTGGGGTAAATATGTGACGAGAGACATTGTGGCTTAGCCTAGATCCAGATGCTGACTCGATAGATTCGTTTTTGTGACGACCTGGGGAATGACATGTTTTCTGTCTCACAATCTTTCGATGCGAGCGTCTTTTTCCTTTTCGAAGAGGCCCGGTCCGGTTCATAAGTGTGTGGGATGCCCGCATGACACCCGCTTTTATGCGGTTGAGATCTTGTCAGAAACAAAAGCAACGTTATCTGAAGGATGAAGATCGATCGATTATCATTGATGGGAATTAAACAATAAATATATAATTATTAGAAGTAAAGAGAGATAGCCGGCATCGACTTGGCTGAGGACTCCGTCTTACGCCACCCTTGTTTTCCGTTATCCCCCATATTGATGCTCCCAAGTCCCATGATCAAAACGCCATATGTGATGCTGCTCCCATTGACGCCACATCCTAAAATGACCATAAGCCAAACTCCTTGCTGAATCGTTGATCATTTCGGTCATGTGTACATGGGGGATGAGGAAGACGCAGGTGTACCCTGACTTTTGAATGCACCGTGAATGACTGAGGGTTTGAACACCTGTCTGAAGATCTCAAGATCTGCTAAGTAGCTGCTCTTCGAGGACGAAGAAGATGAAGAAGAACCTTTCCCAGACGATCGGCTGCTGGAATGCTTCGTCGAACTGGAACTTGCACCTGCTGGCCCTTCAGGAGCCTCAAATGCGAAGACCACGTCCTGGAAGTGGCCAACGAACTCTGGGTCTTTGAGGAGAGCGTCTCTCCACATTAATGCAACTTCTTGCGTGGGATTCAGAAATCCTGGTCCGAGTCCGAAGGTTCCGATGCATAGTCGGGTGTGTCCGTAATATACTGCAATACGCAATGTGGCACGAATTTTATCTCGCATCAGCTCTTTTTCTGCCTTGAAAGAGTACTTCTTCCCAGAGCCGTCTAATTTTGGTCGCTTGACAGGACAAACCGAGATTATTGGAAGAGCTAAATGGTCAGGTCTTGAAACTTTACAAATTTCCATGCATGGAAGAGCTTACCTTTATATTCTTGCCATGGCTCATACTTGTCTGGACCATTCCGAAAGACAACTGGCGACATCAGCTTGGATAAAGACACACGTGACCCTCGAGAGAACTAACCAACTTTCTCAGAGTAGATTCCTGCTTTTGACGGAATTGGATAGTTTGAAGAAGCCGAATTTCCGGCAGCCGGGGTCGTGAGTGCTGCATGTAAATTGCTCCGCCGGCAGAGACACTCTTCAGGTGACATGACACCTATCAACGCATCATTAGTGGTAAGGAGAGAATGATCTTGCAGGGACAAATACCAGCTTCCCAATCACCTCCAGCTCTTTTGTCATTCGCAGGCATGATGACAGGAATTGCAGTCTTATCTGACGGGTCCATCCAAGAGAGTGCAAAGTCAACAGGATCCGACTCAAAGAAAGCTAGAAGAAGTAAATCTCGCGTCTTAATTGAATATCGACCTGTACTTACCAAATCGACAATGAAGCATTTCACTTGATGGACGAGGAGGGGCTATCATGGATTCCGAAAAACATAGAAAGGACGTCGGCGGCCACTGAGCACTATAATTCTCTCTGATGTAGGGAATGTACGATTTCTTAGCCTCTGCTGCGATTTCGGACGGCTTCGGCTTCGAAGGAGGCATCTTTACGATGTTGTGTGGGAGTAGATGCAGACAAGGCAGGGATAACAAGAAGGTTGTACGATCCGAGAAGAACTGCTCGCGCAACAGAAGATTTCTGGAAGTGTCTCCGCAGATTTGGCATGGACTGCAAGAGCGGGAAGGACATGGGTCTGCATTATATAGATTCGAGATGATGTGAAGGGTACGAAGAGAAAAACGAACGAACGAACGGGTCCGGAGCACATTCCTCAGCGATAAGCTGCACAGACTTGCCCCAAGCAAGACCACTCACGCCCTCCAGCCTCATTGCCAGTGGCTCGGATTGAGCGTATCAGGCCCTATGTCCGACGGAACATTTTTCCGTGTGTGTGTCTGGCCACAAAAGCACACAAGTTACCCTTTGCAGCCAGATTCCACGCACGCCCGACCAATAAACTGGGTTGGTGGAGGGGGGCTAGATGAAAAGCAACTACGGCTTATGCACCGTACCGATCCCAAAGATCTATGTGTTCCCAGGGCGGGTGGTGCAGAGATTCGCGAAGGAAGATCCGACAAAAGGAAATAACAAGTATCATAGCAGGTGCTCAGAGCATGAAAGCGTCCGAGGACCATGGTGTGCAACCGCCTAAGTGAGACATTTGAGGATCCCAGAAACTGGATCTGTCTGCTTGTGCTACTACTATACGCAATATGTGGGCTCGTCATTGTCATTGTCTGTACAGTTGACGTTGAGAGGAGTTGCTCGATGGTCATCCGTCTGATTGTGGTCGGGCATGCTGGGTGGTGGCTGCATCCCATCCCCACCGGCACATCGAGCTAGACCCTAGTAGCAAAGGAAACAAGTAAAAGAGAGATGGACAAATTGAGAGACCCTCAGACCTCAAGACCAAGCGTGTTCCGGGAAATGAGGGTCGTGATACTAAAACGGGGAGAGGGGGACGAGCGGACAGGCATTGGAGAATTCTGATAGATCGCATCGTATCGCGTTTGGCGATGGTGCAGTGGGGAAAAAAAAAGTGAAGTGATCGATATGAAGTGAGTGAGGTGTGAATTGACGTGAAGTGAAAGTGGAGAGTGGACCGTGGACCCAAGTGATGCCGCCTGCATGAAGTGTGGCAGGGGTTGAATGTACAGTACAGGGACGGGTCGTCCAAGCCGCCGCCCTCGCTCGCTTCTTGCACCGACTGAAAGGTCGCCATTTTTCTTAGCGTCATCTCGCCTGAAACTTTATTGCTGTTTACTACGAAAACCTCAAAAGAATATATCAGACTCTCCTCCATCTCGACCTCATCTCCGTCACATATCTGCATTGCTGCCCCTCCGCCCTCGGCCTCTTGCGAGCTGCGTCCCTGTCGGAGAGCTTCGATTCTCGGCAGTGATCTGCGACACTCGGAGGACGATGCACGATGGTCCAACCACGACCAAGACCACATCTACTCCGTTGCGTTGGGCAGGCATTCAAAGGATGCAGGGCTACTCATAGCAGTTCGGACAGCTACAGACTCTCGATTGCCCGTCTACTCGATGATAAACCAGCATATGCAAAGGATGTCGTCGTGACGGGCTTCGTACGGTCTATCAGAAACCAGAAGCAGAGGTCATTTGCTTCAATTGGTGACGGGTCGAGTCTCGAGTCTCTCCAAGCCCTTCTGACGCCTGCACAAGCCCAAAGGTCCAAGCTTGACCCCCACAGATGCACATTCCTATGCTGACCACGTTCTTGGATAGTCTTTCGACGGGGACAGCAGTACGCTTTACGGGATCATGGAGACCGTCCCCGAATCCGAAGGCTCAAAGCCACGAACTCCATGTGGCAGATGTGGACATTATTGGACCAGCCGAGGCCTCTGTATGTAAGGCTTTCGAGAAAGCTGTGCTTGGAGCTATGCTAATTCCACGACGTTAGACCTTTCCATTGCAGAAGAAATATCATACCCCTGAATATCTGCGAACAATGCCTCACCTGCGAACGCGAGTTCCTCTGAACTCTACTCTCTTGCGCTTTCGATCGGATGCCATTGCTGCTGTCACGAACATGTTCTACAAAGACGGATTCACGCAAAGCCACACACCTATAATCACTTCATCTGATTGTGAGGGAGCTGGGGAAGTCTTTCACCTTGATAGTTCCCAAAAAGGACCGAAAACTAAGGACGATGACGGAACATTTTTCAGAGCCCCAAAATATTTGACTGTCTCAAGCCAGCTCCATCTCGAGGCTCTAGCCCAGTCTGTTGGCAACGTGTGGACATTGTCACCAACATTCCGCGCAGAGAAAAGTGATACAGCTCGTCATCTGAGTGAGTTCTACATGCTGGAGGCGGAAATTAGTTTCACAGAAGACATGAATGATGTCATGAGAGTGGTTCAGAATACTATTGGAGCTATTACGAAAGACCTGGAAAGTGGTTCCAGGGTGGGCAAGGAGCTACTCAGTGTATCGCCAGATTTAGACTTGTTACCACGCAGGTGGAGGGGTGGATCTCGTGACTTTCCTAAAGTTACATACACAGAAGCTATCAACATCCTAAGATCCAGCTCACATCAATTCGAGTATGAGCCGAGATGGGGTGCAGGTCTTCAAGCAGAACACGAAAGGTACATTGCCAATGAGCTGGGTACGAGCTGGGATGCGTCGGTCCCCGTCTTTGTCACGCACTATCCCAAAGTTATCAAGCCATTCTACATGCTATCGACAGCCGCCAACGAAAATAGCCGCGAAACCGTGGATTGCTTTGATCTACTGGTCCCCGAGGCATGTGAAATCGTCGGTGGCTCGATGCGCGAGCACCGTCTCGAGCCACTTATCAAGTCGATGCAGGCTTGCAAGATGATTCCTCCTGGCCCCATACCCTCTGATGACGAACTTGGTGAGCTGAAATGGTACATAGATCTACGAAGATGGGGTAGCGTACCACATGGGGGTTTCGGTCTGGGCTTCGATCGACTGCTAGCATACTTGGCGGGTGTGCCAAACATTCGAGAAATGGTAACCTTCCCTCGGTGGGTTGGACGTTGCGAGTGTTAGACTCCCTTGTCGGTGTACGATAGGACTCTGTAATACTATTGTGAACTCCGCACTCGGGTGAACCGAAGTCGAGGGGCAATGGCGGACCTCAAACAGTCACATGCGTTTTCTCTGGATTGAGTTTGGGTTTCGTGTCGCGGGACTTTGCTCCAACATCCGGGACGCATACTCCGGCTCCCCGTTGGTCTTTCACTCTTGTAACACCTGTCAAGTAGACGAGTGAACACAAAATTATCTTCAGGCATACACCTGACCTTATCCGTCCCGCCATCTGTCATCTCTTTTCCAATTGACCGACCTTGTATCTGTCTTCAGCATTTGCTTAAGCCCACCGACCTCGAGGCCATCTGGTGTCGATCCGTACCTACATGAAACATGTTGGCCCCAAGATCCCACCTAGCTGGAGGAACTCGAGGCAGATTCCGCTGAGGAACGATAGACAAACAGTTCGGCGAGTTAATGTTGGAAGTTTGTCTACACCAATGTATTCGAAACCCCCAACATCTTGCCACCCGGATCAATGATGCCTATCTTAGTGAGAGTCTGGATTGCGATGCGGTCCCTCCACGGTGGCCTCAACGGGGTATCACGCGTTTTGGAGGTTTCGTGAGCTCTTTGAAATCAACTCAACTCAGCTGCAGCATGATCTTCATATCTGTCGTCGGCGGTTACCTCGCAGACTTCGGGTTTGCTGGAAGACAAAGAGGCGAAATTTGCAATTCCCGACGCTTTGGATCGCTTTGGCCTATCCCTTGGCTGCATTCTCTTCTGATACTGAAATCACAGGAACGAGATTGGAACTGGCGGCTATCCCAAATCCAAGGCGCGCGTAAGTCGCACAGACCTCTCTTTTCTCGACATCATTCAAGGTCGAGGCTGATCGAACGCCTGCGAGTATTCCAACATTGGCCCCTGCAGTGGGTAGTGGGAAACAACATCATTCCACATCAACATCAGCAACGGCATTTGGATCTTCCGAAGGCCTGTTCTTTATAGTTTACAGACTTCGCCGCAACCACGACTACGCCACGTACAAAATAGACCTCTGGGTGGCCGGGTAGGCATATTTTTCTTTCTGGGGGAGGGTATCATGAAACCAAACAGGCAAACGGGACCGGTGCCTACTTTCTTCAGCGGCTACGCCACCCAAAAGCACCCCGCCTTGCAGGTTGCAGATCTTAGCACCCGGAAGCTGGGCTGGGGGGCAGACTTCAGACAGACTGAGGTTCTGTTCTGACGGTGCCTGTGTGCCTGTGTTGTGCAATGTGCAGGCGGGAGGGAGGGAGGGAGGGAGGGAAGGGAGGCTGCTTCGAGGCAACCGAGGAACACCATCTTCAGAACAAAAGAGAAACATACATATGCAGCATATGCAGTTGGAAAATGTGTAGGTCTGCGAGTCTTCAGACCGACCTACCTAGAGTTTGACCAGGACCAGGGGAGGCGAGTCGAATCAAGGAGGCGCGGCGCCTAAATCGGTAGTTCGTCTGTAGACATGGGTCGATGCGGTTATTTTGCGACACAGGACAATGACCGACAGCTCAGCGGCACGGTACGAGGTGCGTTGAGCCTATTTCGATCGCAAGGTTACATTTTTACATTGCCCACCGAGCGCATTGGGATTGGTAGCGGGAATGCAATGTGGTGTGTACTGTACTTTATATTGCCTTTGTTGGGACAAGATCCTGCGGGACTGCTCTCACAGATGGCGCAATGATCTGCGGATACCTGCTCGACGAGGCAGGCATTGTTCGAGAATAGTTGGTTCATCCCCAAATTGAGGACTGTACAGTAGAGTACCTGTCCATGCTGCCTGGCTGTGCTCATCAGGCAGGGAGAGGAATAATAATATGATGAAGAGAAGCGTCGCACAGGATGTCACCCTCCCACCTTATCGCACCGACTCCCCACCACCAAGTCCCAATCCTCGCTCATCCTTCGTAAGACCCAGACTGTCGGGTCGCCAGACTCCAATCAGCACCCTCGCCGCAAAGAGCTGAAGTGAAGATAGAGTTGGGGGCTGAAGCACAATTTCCAATCCAGAATTTACCCGCTACCACAAGAACCCCTCCATCCCGACCCCTCCATCACCAACATCCACACCACACACACCACACCACTTCGCCCACCCCATCTAGTTTATATCTTTGGGGGCTGAGATCCCGGGGAACTTAGATCCCGGTTCCATTGCAGCGCTGCACTTTTGTGCTTGCTTGCTTGCTTGTTTGCTTGTTTGACAGGTTCCAGTCGGAGAGTATTCAGAGAAGACGTCGTTGGTAGAGTTGCATCCGCGCCTAAATTTTGCCCCTACTCGCTTCTCGCTCTTTCGCTACTCGTAATACAAAGCACCCCTGGCTCCTGGCCTGGATCCGAAGCTCGCCCGCACCCGCACCCAAGCGCCATCGCGGCGCGGTTACCTCTCTTTCATCGCTCTCGGACACAGGTCCCTCCCATCGCATCGCACCGCCATCCCATCCCATCCCAACCCAACCCTCTTGTTTCTATCAAAGTTTCCATTACGGGCGTACGGTACAGTCAGTCACTGTAAATGTCCAATCCTTCCCAGACGGTCGGGTCTCGTCGTGCATGAAGGCTCAGCAGGGTAACGTGGAGACGACCGGGTCAGCGAAGATGGGAAAGAAGCCTTACCCAGCCAGGCTCGCAGTTGAGTTACCAGACAGCCAACCGCCGCTCCTGCAACCCAAACCCGAAACGGTGGGTCCTTTCTTTGTCTGTTGCTTCTGCTGCTCCTGATGTTGTACGATGTTGTGTTTCTGGGATGTCGCGGTGGACGGGTCAGGAAGGTGGTAAGCTGATGCGGTGCACCGCTGACGGCATTCCCGTCCTGGGGCGTGCTTGAGTATCGACCGGCAGTTTGGAAACATAGGTTCGGTCCGCGGATGCAGGTGATCACTGACACGCCTTGGGACAGGATAGATTTGGGGGCCGTATGTGGGGAGAGCAAAGGGGGAGACTTTCGAAATACCGTGGTTCGCGTCGCCTGCCGAAAGGAGAATGTGGTACGAAATTCAGAGTCTTTTTGATCCCTAGGCAGATTCCCGGTAAGTCGTTCGGTGGCGCAAGCAGAAGAGAAATGAAGAGTACAGGCGTTGAACAGTGAAGTCATCACGTGAAATCACTAAGATGGTTGTTGCAAGATCGAGTTGAATGTGGACGATGATTTCTTCAAGATTTGCTCTATCCTTCGCCACTGAGACTTCTATCCATAGCTAACCCCATAGCAACCTGTGTAGACTGGTGCTTTCCAGCCTGTCGGAACAAATGTAAAAGCAAACGCCAACGCCAAATGCAATGCAATCAAACACGTGCCTTCCTGCCGTGCCTTCCCTGTAAAAATGTGTATCATATCCCATCCCGAACCAATTGCGACCACCGTTGAAAAATCATATCTTCTGTATTTGTACAAGAATCAAAAGAAAGTGCTAAGCGCGTGAGAATGAAACTCAAAGCTCAAATGGTATCAGACTCCACCCTCGCATGCAGTAAACCTCCCATTTCAAAGCAACCTTTTTATCTACCGTGTCTCGAAAAACGGACCATCAGATCATGAACTTCTTATCAAGCACACGAATGGCCCTCTGATCCTCACCAACAATGTTAAGCTTCTCGTGCGGGATGTCTCGTGGTCGTTGATTGTCACCACCATTCTCCCTTGGACTCTTGCTTCCTGCACGGCTGCTGTTGCTCTTGTTATCAGACATGACAGAGACGGAATCTGTAGCGTGAACGAGGCTGGAGATGCTGGGAATCGTCTGAGCTTGTGATGTGCCATTGGACTTTGGAGTATCTTTGGGCGAAGGAGCTCGGCCAGGCGATGGAGTGTTGCTTCGTGATTGAGATCCCATTTGAGGTGGCGTGGAAGTTCTTGCTGTGCCATTCAGTTGGACAGGTGGCAATGTCGATGGCTGGGAAGAAGTAGTAGTGAGGCGAGGATCAAGGGCAGGTGCACTTTGGAGTGCTCGTTGTGCAATCTGTGCTTGCTGTTCCGCAACCAATCTCGCTTGAGCAACACGCGGGCTTGGATTCGGTGCGTAGACAGGTATCAAGCCTTGCTGTGCCGCCGTTGCAGTACTCATTCCTCTGGAGTGGAGTGCAGGAGGTGGAGGGGGGAGTGAAGAGTCGGACATAGGTGGAGGAGGTCTATCGAATGCCGTTGGTTGATGGTGTGGAGCCATGGATGTTGGAGGAAGACCATTTGGTTGATGTGGACTGTGGTGATGTTGGTATGGCGAGGTGTGGGCCGATCCCGGAGGTGGAGGAAGAGCTGAAGTGTACATCGTCTGTTGGTAGTGAGGAAATGGTGGGGTTGAGACGGGAGATGGTGGCCAGGCGTAACCTTGAGTCTGATAGGGATATGGAGGAGGGGGACCTCGATGTGGCGATTGTTGCATGTGTTGATGTGGTGATTGCATGTATGGACTCTGTTGCATAGGTGTTCGCGTGACTGCTGGTCCTTGTGCCTCATGTACGGTGGATTCTGGGTACATCCCCTTCACTGGTACGATATGTCGAAGCTGAGGATCGGTCGTAGGTTGTGGGAGATCTGGCGCGCCGGGGTGTGGTCTGGAGTAATAGCTGATCAGATGTAGATGTTGGCCAGTCGAGGTGGTGATGCTGAAAGACTGTTTCATCAATCCATCTGGCTTGTATCTGTATCCATCAGGTCCATCACCATCCATATCTTGATCCTCGTCACTGCCTCTTCCACTGTCTGGTGTCTTTCCTCCTATTCGTCGCGCCGGTGGTGGTACGAAGTTGCCTCCCCCTCTCTTGCCCTCCATCTCGCGGTATGTTAGAAAGCTTCCCGAGACTCTGCTGGCGCTCCATGACTTCCCATCTGTCCATCTCCTCATGCCTGCTTCTCGCTCGTCCCAGACAAACACCGATCCAGACTTTATAGACTGTCTCTCCTTCTCTGATAATCTGCGTTGTACTCGGGGTAGCAGACCCAGACGGCAAGCTTCGAAGAGCTTGATCGCATCTGCGGGTGTTCGTACGTGGCCGTAGTAGGTGTCCATCTTGCCTGTGTATGCTGTCCTTCGCAATTGAAGTGTCGTCTGCGCCCAGATGGAAGTCGTCGACCGTGGTCGTCCGCTCACTTCAGCTCAAACACCAGGCTCCAGGCTCTTTTCGCAGAATGTCACCGCTACCTCCCTTCGAGTTTCTTATTACCGGCAGCCAAGTATCTTGACGATTGACGTTGGTACGCGGCCCCAGTCGTTTCTTGGCTGTGTTAGAAAGCTTGTGCGCCGCCACAGCCGGAACAGGGACAAGAATTGGCGACGGCGAGGTGGATTCGCAGCGTTCGGGGCAGCTGGTGTCGAGATGCTGAGACGTGTGGTGGTTGATCCCCTTCGCTTCAGATGAATGTTAGCTGCAGACTCGTCCCACGATTGTACAAGACGGAAGTCGACGCGAAGATGAGACAGTTTGAAGCACAAGGCGACAGAAGCTTAAACTAAGGTTCCATGGGGCTACGCGTAGAATTGACAGCTGGGTGGGGGACGGCAGGGGAGAACAAAGGAGAGGAGCAGTCGCAGGAGGACGAAGAAGAGGGAGAAGAGCCGCAGGAGAAAGCGGAGCGTGGTCGTGTGCGGTGGTGGTGGTGGTGATGCTGATCGTTGTTCCCCATTGATCTGATACGAGGGCAACGTACTCCCGTCCGAACACGAAGCGGTGCGATGCTTTGATCGGATTTGCTTTGGCTGGCATGCAATTCCACCTCTTTGAGACTCTTTTGTTGCGCAATGATTTATTGTGCAGCACCAGAGTTGGGTGGTGTTGGTGATGCAGCTGCAAAGGTGATCTGGTCAAGATCTCGGTATGGCGATGGCTGCTCCTCTGCTCTGGCTCTGCCGCATGCGATGCGATTTGTTGACGCAAGCTTTTAGCGACCACGACTTCGACTTCGAGCTCTGCGCTGGGACCAACGCACTCATGTTTCTCAACTGTAGGAGAATGCATGTATAAAAAGACAGTGGGGTACTTACTGTGGATTGGTATCGTATATGCTTTGTGTTTGCAAAGATGTTCGACGCTATTCCCAGAAGGTGTTCTTGTACTTTATCATCAAGTATTCTTTGGGTGTGGAGGGTACGAATATTTCGCTTCGACTTTTTTTCTGGGTGGACGGGAGTTGGTTGCAATGTTCGACGAGATATGGGACTTTTCGATCACGGGATGATTTGAGTCCAGATAATGTGCCTTCCGTAGTCGTTGGAATAATAACTCTGCTTCGTCGTTGTCGATGTCGTCGTCAACAATTTGCACTCTCTGATGCAGAGTTGTTCCAGATGCCGGCGTCTTGTAGTGTACGGTATGGGATCGGTGGGTGTAAAGTCAAACAACCGTCAAACGGGAGGAGGACTCGAAGGTATATCTGGACTGGACTGGCTGCACAGAACAGTCGTCGTACTTGGGGACGTGCGGGAAGCGTAGTGTGATGTATTAGTAGTCGAACTATACTTTCTAGTGCGCCGCAAGCCAAGTATTTGATGTGGATGGACAGAGCCGTTTGGTCTTGACGGTTGTGGGCGAATTATTATCTTAGATTAGCTTTTGCGCCTGCAGCCAGGGTCTCGCCCGCTAGCTTTTTAGGGGCGGGGAGGGATGCACGAGCAACAGACAGAGGAGGGCAGGGAAGAAAGAAGGGCTTCTTCATGGATAAGTCCAGGGTGCGTAATGGGATGGAGAGCAAGTGATGGGTGAAGGTCGGAGGGATGATCCATAGACCAGGCCAGGCCAGGACCACCCCATCAGCGGCCATGAGAAAGTCAAGTCAAGTCAACTCGAGTCCGATCAGGTTAGTTTGGGATGAATGTTGCTAAAATGTTGGTCAGAACCCTGACCTGAATAGAAACAGAAAAAGGATCTGACTACGAGGTGCTTGTGTGAGACTGTGCGACTCCGACACCCAAAGTTGGCTTGTTTCTGGAATGCGCCTTGCACGTTTGCTCGCTCCCAGCGGGCCAGGGGCAGCGAAGGCCAAGCCGTCAAGGGCATGCGAGACCAGATGTTCACTGCACTGCACTCTGTTCTATACAAAGGTCGGTGGACTCGATGTAACCGTTGGAAATTCAGAAGTCCTGCTCATGTATCCGCTCTATCTATCCTTCTTCGGCTCCCCTCTGGTCTCTGCGGCCCCAAAACTCACACACGTCAGTACACTTGTGACTTGTCAAGCACGATCGGTGCGAGGTTGGCGGACTTGGCTCTGTGGCATTGTTCTTCTTGGGACCGTACTGTGGTGGAGATGGGCGTTCGTACTCCCTACTCCCTTTTCGTGGGTCTGCCAACTAAGGTTATTGGGACAGAGGATGGAGTCGTTACGGGCTGGTGGACAGGAATGCTAATGCTAATTAATGTGCTCGTTGTTGTCTACGTTTGTTCTCTCCTCCGGACTCTACCAGTCGCCCAACAGAGCAGAGCAGAAACGGGACCAGGGGCGATGAGGGGATGGGTCCAAGTACTCGTCAGCTCCCCCCGTCCTTGAATCTGCAGCGCGTGTGGGCGTCTGATGAGGTGTTCGCTAGGCTTCTTAGGATTATGAGCTTATTTCATCTCCCAGCACTCGCAGCTCAATCCATACAGAGCATCTTGGGAGCAGTAGAGCGGCCTGTTTTGTACTTGCTACAGTTATTGCTCGTACATTCACTTACCCTAAGGTCCATTTTCCCTCCACGGTTCTCCCGTGCAAGCCTTCTCAGCATTGAAGAAGCATCCAGACCCAGCAAGCACTTGGTATGCCAGCCATTCAGCATGGTTCATCGGCTTCCTCGGTGGTCGCTCATTTCGCAGATGCAGTGCTCGGCGCAGTCAGCTCAGTCTGGAGATGCGAAGATGCGCCCCCAAGTAGAAGACCCCTCCTCACTTCACTCAACTCACTCCTTTTGCACAGCGCCCCCAAGCCCCCCAAAATGCTCATTGCTCACTAACCTATGACTGAGCACGTCAGCATCTGACTACGAACCCAGCACTACGGTACCAGCGGATGAGTCAGCTCGGCACCGAAAGACATGTTTGAGACAAGTATTCGTGACACTTAAAAATCTTAGCCATCCACCATCAAGCTCATACGAATGTCTGTCTATTTTTATTCGCGGGGCCAAAGGGCCCTCTTGGGCATCATCATCAGTTGCTAATGGTTTCGTCGCATGTCGAGGAAACTGACGACGCCTGTGGGGCTCAGGATCGTTCACCGAAGCTTGAGAGCAATACTTTAAAGTGATGTACACGAATCACCCGAGATCTTTGGGCTGATGTTTTCCTCACTAGTTCTCCACTCTCCACCCGTCCACCATTTTCCACCTCATTTTGAAGCTTAAGTATTGGCTTTCCATGGATCTTCGGATCTGATGGGTTTGAACTAGGAGAATTTCCACGCAGTGATTTAAAGTATATCCTTGGTTCGGCTTGGCATCTCCACCTGTATCCGAGAAGGTTCGTCTCTGTTTCAATTCTATCCAAATCTTCCTTCGAAATAGAAGCATGGACAGTCGTTACAAGTGTCGTGTCCTCCTCTAGCTCGGTCCCGACTCCCTGCCGCCGAGTAGGTGCAGCCGAGGATGAGGTATCGAAGACGCTGATCCAAAGTCAAATTTCTCGAAATGGAAATGATGCGTAGTTTCTTCTAGTCACCTCATACTGGGCTTTGTCACTCGTTGACACGTTTTGTCTAGGATGGAAAATCTGCCGAGTCTCCAAGTTGAAGTGAGACTTTTCTCGGAGATTCTGATACTCAAACATTGTTCCTCCCACCTCTTACTCGCCTTGTTTGCATCTCGTGAACCACTAGCAGCAGCATCTCCGTGTCCCAAGACACCTTATTTATGTCTCTCTTGAACTCTTGTCTGACATGAACTCAAATACCTACTCTACCATCAGATCACGCAAGGCGGCTGATTCAAGTACAATATTCTCAGTCCGTGTCAAATAGCCGTCCTGGCGGGAGCCTCTTGTCGCACATCACTTTTAATCAAAATGCAATCAAAAGAAGGCCAGCATCAGCTCACGGGTTCTCCTCTCAGATGGGCACATCTGACCCTTTCATTCATCATCTCGATCTCTGTTCCAAACTCAAACCAAAAAAACAAGACGACGCACTTTCTTCTCACTCACTAACTTACTCACCACCTTTTCACCCTCATCATCACTCATTTGCTCAAAAGCGCGCACCAGATAACTCACTCAGACTGCACGCACGCAACACATTCCCAACGCAGACTGGACTAGAGAGCCACGCACTCCTGCCCCACCGCACCCTGGTTGGCGTCGCGGTGGCGTTTTCAGTGGCGGCCTTGGCGCATAAGCGAGCTCCCCTTCTGCTGTGTCAAAGTTTTAAGCATGATTTTTAACTCAGCGCAGATCGCCAGCCCTTGCCCGCTTGGAGCAGCCGAGAGCCATGCAGCCCATGCAGCGAGCAGCAGCCACGACCACCTTTGGTCTCGTTCCGACCGAGCCAATCACCACCCGGTCGTCGAGATGTTTCGTTCGTAAAGCAAGACTCTTGTTTCGGCCGAGGGAAGAAGAGAGAGAAGAAGCTTTCGGGGGAAATACTACTGTGTATCCAGTGATTCCAGTCTGAGATGAGATGATGTGATCTGACCTGCTCTGCTCTCTGCATGTAATCATCGAGAGATCATTCGCCATATCAACTGCTTTGTCTAGTGACGGCAAATGCTCGATGATCAGCCCAGCCAACCGCTCTGCCGAAACTTAGATGCGAATACGACGAACGAAGATCACTCAAGTTTTCTCGCCCATCCAAATTTGCTTCTCTCCCAAGTGTTCCAAGACGGCATGTCATCTTGATCATCTCATCGATTCCCAACTTTCCAGGCGGTGCAGCCAACCAGCCAGCGGATCGCTCGGTCTCGTTCCCCAATCTCATGCAATTAACCATAAAATCAGAGAACCATAAAACCTTCTTTTGGGGATCCCGATATCCAGTGGCGGCATGGCGTTTGCTTGGCTTCAAGTCAACTTTCATCAAATCGTCCCACTTCTGCATGCTCTCTCGTCCTCGACCCAAGATTACTGGTTCCTCGGCACGCCACAGGGTATCATTTGGATCTGGGGCTAGGCTTGAGAGCAAGTCCTTTAGTAGATTATTGGAGGATTAGAGTTATCTGGACGGATCTTGGGTCCTTGGCACGGGCTTGGGATGCCTTGGCAGAGAAATACCTTAATTGCGTTGCCTAGAGATGTATCTGCCGTTTGTGCTTACGGTAACCCCTTTCATTCGCAAGTTGCAACGATAAGTATGAGGAATAGCATAGCATGCCTCGTTCACGCCGTACAATCACCTCACTGGATGCAAGATAGATGCAGGAGCGTATCCGTCGCATCCGTTCCGTTTATGTCATATCATGTCATCCCATCCCATCCCATCCCTATCCTACCTATCCCAGGATACTCCGTGCAGCTGCATCGAGGAACCTTAAATCCGCATCGGTGTCATTGCTTATCTTCCATATCGCAAGTTCCCCATCTTCCTCCCGAAAAAAGCGATCAGCTCCGTGGCCGCCCCTGTCTTCGCATCATCGAGCATCAGCTCTGGCAGCGTTCGCAGACCGTCTCTCCATAGAACATCCAAAGGCTGGTCGAGGCTCTCAAGCGTGGCGAATAACGAGAGACAGATGGACAGTTCGATCGCGGGCACCGACACCGTGCCGCGTGGGATTGCCAGTCCGTCCAAATAGTCTCCCACCATCAGCATTTGAGTTAACAGTAGCGACATCCAGGAAAGCTTGGCATACGACGCCACGAAAGCCTCTTTGCATGCCTGTGATTCTCACCACTCGGTAAAGGGTTTGCGCCGAGATTGTACGGGTGCATCGTGCCATTCTTGTACTGTATATGCTTATTCGCAGGATGGGCAAAAGAGGCTGATGTATATCAAGCGATCTACAACCTATCTGTGGGCGGTATTTTTGCGAATGCGAGATACGGCCAGGTAAGAATAAGGAATTCATGCACGTGGATGCGATTCCTAAACGGCTGAGGTCAGATGTTTGTGTCCGTTTGAGAGCTTGTTCGCTTCATCGCGAGGAATACCGAATCAAGACATAAGCTTTTTATTTCCGCTCCGTGCTTATTCTTCTTTTGACTGTCTAAATAAGAGTCATCTTCAGTGAGATCAACCTCTTCCAGAATTGCCATTCCATTGGTTAACTCAAAATTACGCTTCAGCTTGAGGACTTGAGCACAACTCGAACCGGCAGCCACGGCGTGATATCTGTCCTGATGCGGCGGGCCAGCTGAGGCAAAGCAAATGCAGGCAGCGGAACGGGACTTGGACAGACGAGGCATCCAATGAATCATTCGAGCCCGGATCAACAGTACAACTTTGAGTATATGCTCTGGCTGAGTGAGCATTATGTCAAAAACCATCCGAAAGATACAAATTTCGGCCGCTGCTGCTGCAGCTGTTTCGAGTGTTCGTGTGGTGAGTATTCATTTGATCTGTGGAGCTGTTGCGGTCCCGAGCTGCAGCATGGAATCTTCAACGAGGAAACGGCAATGACCCGATCTTTGTCCTGTGGCACCCTTTATTTCTCGTGGGGATTTATGGCCAAAGAATGTTTCCAGAATATCATGGGTATCGGTATCGCATCTACCCATCAAATGATAAGCGGTCATATTTCACTTTCTTCTCCATCTCCCAGTCCCAAGTCATCTTAGGACATTTGGATGTCGAGTTGAAACTTAATCTTCACAGCGTTTGATCATCTCTTTTGATCAGCGCACCACTTACAATACAGGCTGCCCGCTCGTCTATTCGATTTTCCTCGAATAATCTCCATCATCCCGTAATCTAATCTCTAAAGAATCTGCTTCACTTGAATCCCAAAGCATCGTAGAATTTAGACTGAAGAGGGCATGGAAGTACGCCATGTATCGAGATGATCGCTCAGATGATTAATCCTCGTAACCACGCGACAGCGACAGCTTCATCGACAGAATTTGACTCCTGGCTCCTCCGCTCCACCTTCTCCGAGGGTCCAATAATTCTGGGTGGGTCTGGGTTCGCGTCATAACGTCGTAACAAGCTTAATTCGTGCGTCTCCGCTCTCGATCCAGGGTCCCTTGTAGCAAAGCTTGGCAATCCTTGACAGAGGCCGCGTCATCTTCTGGTCAGGCTTGGCGGGTTATCGGCACACTCGGCGTGGAAGTGTCAAAGTGAAGATGAAGAATGGGTGGAGATGATCTGATAAGGAGACAAAGGACCGCCAAGGCGAGAGGGCAACGCCAAGAAAGCCATCGGACTGCATTGGGCGGAGCGGAAATAGAGGAAAGGACACATGTGCAGCTGGAAGCCCACAAGCCCACGGTCGCAGAGCTGGAAAGAAGCGGGTAAAGAAATCTTCAGCTGAAGACGGCATGAAATAGAATAAAGCGTCGAACCATACAACCAAAAGTAATGAATCATCAAATAGAGTATTCCATTCTCAGCAATATTGGGATGTGCATCTCCAGATTGCAAGCATAAAGTACCTAGGTAATAATAACCCTGGAAGACGGAATTGGGAAGGTGGCTGAGGTCGCAGAAATAACCTTAAAATTTCACGTGCGCCTCCCAATATCCGAGCCTGTTCATTTCTCTTGGCACGGGATGTCCCAGAAGCGGATCATTACCAAATCACCACCCTCCTAATTTGCTTGCGGTAGCAGAACATCCAGACTACTCGCCATCTCACGCCAGATCATTGTTATTCTCGTCCTTGGAACCACACACCAAATGATTTGATGCCTCGGGTATTTTTTTCTGAAAAGCAAAGGATGGAGGAAGATGTCGTCGCACAGGTTGACTGTTTAAGGTTTTTATGTCAAACGGCGGCTCAGCACAGCAGATGTTGGGGCTAAGATCCTTTTTGACAGGTGACACTGAAAATGCGGAGAATATCTCGTCATGACACATGCATCGGACCTTTCAGGCTATCTAATTAGGATGTCTCATGGGTCAATGTGAGATGATAGGAGACGCAGTCTTCAGTATCGAGGCATTGAAGATTTGATTAAAGTTTAGGATTCAGCGAGGCAAAGTTGGTTGTCATCCTCGTGCATGAGGCTCAGCGCGAAAACCCGCCGAAGTCGAAGCTCAAATTGTCAATGTTGGAACCTTGAAAGAGGCAGATGGTTCTTGATACCGGTGCTCTTTTTGTTTGGTGGGCGTCCTCGCTCCGAACTAGGTCGATTAATCTGACAGATCTGACCGGGAAGGGTTTCAATTCGGATTGGTCAACAATGCGAACTTTAGGCTTGTCTACTTTCTGCTTCGCTCGCAGCGTATCCGCTCCGCTTCATGGTTTCCTCAACCTTGTTCACACCTCCTTAAGAGTCGATTAGGGATTATTTCTCACAAAAAAGACCTTGCCTCAAGTTCGCGTCTCCATTTCATTTACATAATGTCACAAGAAACAATCCGCCAAGCATTTCCAGACAAAGCCACCCCTCTTGTCAGCTATGGAATTCCATTCACAGAGTCCTGTGCAAAGCATGTTCAAAAACTCAAAGCATCAAGGGTCTACCTCATTGCGGGGAAGTCTCTGACTAAGAATACAAGCTTTACGTCAGATCTCCAAAAGGCACTTGGTGCCAGCCTCGCAAAGACCCGTGTCGGAATGACCCCTCACACTCTCATGTCGGAAGTCCTGGAGATCGTGGAAGAATGTAGAACCGTAAACGCAGACTGCATAGTCACCCTTGGTGGAGGCAGTCTTTCTGATGCTGCAAAAGTCATTACTTTCGTCCGTCTCCCTTACTTCTGTTCTAGACCCATCATTGACCTTTCCAGGCACTGGCCAACAATGTCAAGACGCAAGTAGAACTTGTGAAGTTACCTCATCTTGGAGGCAAGAGCAGCAACTTCTCTACTGATAACAATATCAATGCTCATGCTCCAACTGTCCCGATAATTTGTATTCCAACCACCCTCTCGGGAGGAGAGTATTCTACCTACGCTGGTGTAACTGATCATTTGACTGGCGAAAAAGTGCAGTTTTGTCCTCCTATCGCGTCACCAGATGTCATTATTCTTTCCGGAGAACTAGCTTGTAGCACACCGCTAGACGTATGGTTGCAGTCTGGTATGCGAGCTGTTGATCATTGTATCGAAACTTTGGCTTCTCTCAAATCCACCCCAGAAGTGGACGAGTTTGTCACGAAAAGTCTCAAATGTTTGATCCCTGGGCTTCTAAATGCAAAGGCCAATTTTGGCATGGAGGATGGAAAGGCACAAGAAATTAAGGCAAGAGAAGAGTGTCAGATTGGAGTCATGTGGGCAATGATCTTCCTGCACAGAAAGGTGGCTTGTGGAGCTAGTCATGGTATTGGACATATGCTAGGTCCTATGTTCCATGTTGGCCATGGTGAGACATCTTGCATCCTCTTACCCGCAGCATGTCGATTCAACGCTATTCATGGTGGGAAAGAGATTTTATCAAGGCAGCAACTGATGAGAGATGCATTATGGAGTGTTGGTGAAGCGAGAAAGAGATATGAGAGGGAAGGTCTGAATGAGGAGAACGCAAGAGTTGATCAGTTGCTTGATGTTGTGATTAGAGAGTTGGGATTGAAGAGAAGGCTGAGTGAGGTGGGGGTTGTGGAGAGGAAGGATCTTGAGAGGTTGGCGGAGGCTAGTTTGAGGGACCCATTCTTAATTACGAATGCGGTACCTATTACAACAAAGGAGCAAGTACTCGAGATCTTGGAGATGAGCGCTTGAGGCGGGATGGTAAATAGTCATCAAACGATTCAAGCCTCGGCATAGAGTATGCCCCCAATGCTTGACTTTCAAATTCTTCTTTTCAACTTGATTGATTCACAAGAGGAGACCAGTTTGTGAACAACGAATACACATCACCTCCATCTATTATTAGCGTGGTTGTAAATTTGTCCTTGTCGTACTCTAAACTTCCTACTTGGTCAGCAACCAGTTTAACGGTTCACAAGAAACTTTGATGATATGCAAATTCAACCGTTTTCCAGAGCACAGCCACCGTAAGATCGCAGGTGAGCAGGTCCTGGATCTGTCAAGGGGCAGTACAAAACATGTTGGTGGAGTCATCCAGCAGATGACGCTGAGTCGACCACTGGACGGCTTAGTGATTTCGCCGACGCAGACAATTCTTCTTCATCAATGCCAAAATGTAATTCACCGTCACGTCCCCTGAACCACCCAAGTCCAAACTTCTTTCCACTAGTGACGAGTCTGTGTTCCATCTCTTCCATATTCAATCTCTCCGTCCCCACCAAATCAAACAAGAATTTATTCTGATAAATCAGAATGAGAGAGGTAGCCAATGTCCCAGGTAGCTGCGACAAAAATCGGCGACGTCTGTTCAGCCAGACGATACTGCAGAATACAGACAGAGAATTCAATATTACAATAGCCAGAATGAACGAAATCCAGAAAGAATTGAAGGTTTCTTCGCTGGTTGGAGGATTGCTTATTGCGTCGACGTTGTGGTGCTCGAAATTTGTCCCTTTTACCTTAAAGGACGACATGCACACAGTAAGGACCTCCACAAGTAAGCTGTTGATACTGATGCCAAGCAGGAGGAATCTACGGTCGGATAGCGCTTTAAAGGGCATCTCGATCGTTGTGGTTCCTGTGTAATCAAGGAGGAGAACCTGTGCCTTTGCGTGTCTAGCACTTAAGATGTAATATGGCTCCACTAATCGGACCTGCTCATCAATCATGGACCAGACAAGTTTGATGACAACAGCAAGGGCAGTAAGCAACCACGGGACAACTTGTAGAGCATTATTTGCCTGAGTGAAGATCACAATTGTGAAAATCACCAGCACTATCACAAGATAGGCTACAAAAACCGAGAGTGGTTCCCATCTGAGCATGAATGGGTGAGGATTTTCCCCACTATGTTGAGGGCCTACGTATGCCACGGAATTTTTAATCTTCTCACGATGTATGGACGAGTGTCTGAGGTAGTATCTATTTTGCCGAAAGGTTTTGCGGATGGTATCTGGATGCGCGAGTTCCAAGTCCTTGCAAATCATTAACATCTGGCCTCTGTTAATCATTTTACCTGTTGTAGCAATGCCACGTGGAGGTGCAAGAAGTCCAGAACGGTCTCTCGAGTTGCGAAATAGTATTGTGAAAACCAATACGGCAATGAGACACAGAGCAGCTGAGAGCAATCTGGACCAGACATAATTCACAACGACATGTTGTTTGAACTGTTCGTCCTGAATCAGACTCAGAGAAGCGCTTTGGAGAGTCGGAACAGCAAGCGTGGCAAGTAATGTCATTGTTCTTGAGACAAATATCCGGAGCCCAATGAGGCGTGGATTCGTCAAGTACGTCCAGAGGCTGAAAGGTTCTACAAGCATTGATTCATCGGCCGACGCCCCTTCTTGCCTTGTCATGCAGTAGTAAGGTTGAAGGCGCTTCATCTTGAAGTTGTGAGCACGTAGCCAAGAGAGGGTATTTTATGGCTCACCTCATAGTCAGTCGCTTCCACCATCAACCCGAATACGACAAGAACGAGCGTCGGCGCATACCGCCAGAGGAAATACTAAGCAATATGTCAAAAATTTTATGTCCAGACGAGAATGTGTGCATACTTACTTGGTTAACAGAAACATTTTGAACAAATTTGAAAACTATTAATCCTCCATTCTTCCATGAGCGTTGGAATAGGAACTCTTGTAGGACGGCAAGAGTGAGAGAAATAGAGATTAACAAGGCTAGATAGGCCCATCTCATTGTGACTGGCTTCCAATATAGAAAGTAAATCTGCGTTAGCACACAAACTTGTATGCACGAGATAGTATTCAGAGGCTATCTATTCTTACCAGGCGAGCGATAAAGCATTGCACCAGGCTCAGGCCCCAGAAACTTTGATAGATCGAATGAGACGTCCATATCCTGTTCATCTTCTGGAAGCTTTTTGTTTGCGATACTAGATCTTGCGTACTGTTCGTTACTATGTTTGCCTTCATATTGGATGCTGGATGATAAGTTCGAGCGCTCAGGTTCGCCTGCTGAGGGGTAATGTTTTGATGGAATATGACCCAGATCCGCAGAATCGCTCAAAATTCGGTTGCGGGTCGAGTGCAGTGTTTCAGCCATGGCCAGGCTGTTATAGGGATTGAGGTTGTTATCGGTTGTTGAATAGTGTTTGGAAGGGCAACCTGGTGGGGAAAGCACGAAAAGAGTAGCGGGTTGACAGATTTAAACTCAGTCACCCGAAGTCCGAAATTCTGTGTTCAAGTTCAACAGCCTGAGCCTGGGAAAATGAAAGTTGGGGCGCCAGTGTCGTGATTCTACAAAGTGGTGGTGGCTGTGCCTCAGTCGGTGCAGCAAATGCGCCTCGCCTCTCATACCAATCCGAACTACCACTCCTTCTTTCCAAGTTTCGACATCACCAAACAAGATAGATTGGATCCAAAATAATTCTGGACAATAGTTCTGATGACTTTCATTTGTCTTTAGTTAACAGGAATAGGTCTAAACATATTATAGCTACAGCGAACGCAGCTCTGACAATTGTGATAGACATCTAGAACCCTCATGTTGTCCATTCAGCCTTGTGATATTTACTCTTTGCTGCAGCTAAGGCGCCAGCAGTAGCAATGGTAGCTCCTCCCAGAATATCAAAAATGGCGATATCGGCATGAACCTCTTTGGCAAACCAATTGCGAAGCTCGACTGCTACCAGAGAGTCAACTCCATAGCTGTGCATAGGAGTTGTTGTATCGAGCTCCTCTATCGTCAATGACAATGTCGAGGCTAACTTGCGCGCCAATGCCTTGGTGACGGCCTGTCCTGCCTCGTTCAGCGATGCCGCGCTCTCAAAAACGCTCTTGAAATCCACACGTTGGTCTGCGCCCCCATCCAATCCTCTGCTTACTGCCGACATATTATTGCCTATGGTCAAGCCTCGAGACATCGGCTTCTTGAAATAGAGCTCTGTCTTGTCGCTGAGCCAGCGTGCCAGGCCCACAACAGCTTGACAACGTAGTGGCGCTGTCTTTGGAGAATCGCGGCCCTCATCATATGCCGGGTTGCAATAGTAGTCAAGCAGAGCATATAGATCAGCTTCAGTCACGGGAGCATCGACCATCGCTTCCCACCGTTTTCGCATGTCCATGTCTTCTGTCATTACGCCCATTGCAAAGAGAGGACCTAAGTCGATTGCTGCTGCACGCTGGCCGAGGGATACACGATGGTGGACCAAAGCATCCTGGTAGGTGTTTCCGGCAGCATAGTTGGCTTGACCTCGTGAACCCACCACTCCAGTTATGGATGAGAGTGTGATGAAAAATTGCATATCGACAGGCAGAAGTTTATGTAGGTTCCACGAACCCTGAACCTTTGGTGCTGTCGCTGCTTGCCAAGCTTCGTGTGTCATGCCCGCAAAGGCAGCATCACGAAGAACCATTGACGCCTGAATGCAGCCCTTGACCGGAGGCAGCCCGTCTCTCAAACAAGAGGCAATTACCGTTTCGAGCGCCGTGATATCGCATATATCGCATGCTGGTACAGCGACCTTGGCCCCTTTAACACCTAAGTCCTCGATGAGTTTCTCAGCGTGTGGATTTTTGAGTCCAGATCGGGAGAGGAGAATGAGGTTCCTGGCACCACGTTCAACCAGCCAAGCCGCGATGCTACGACCAATACCGCCGAGACCTCCAGCAATAAGATAAGTTGCATCGGCGTCTAGGTTGAAACTTGGCTTTGTGTCAATAGTAGCTTGCACGATATCATCGGGCCTCATCTCCACAACAATCTTTCCAAAGGTCTTTCCGCTCTGCATTGTACGGAAAGCTTTTTCGATCTCCGAAACGCCATAGACTTGAAGTGGCTGAGCTGGTGACAGTGTTCCCTCCACAATGAGTGCATATACATCCTCGAGGGCTTTTCGGCCGACATGAGGGCGATCCCGAGGAAAAGTGCTGATATCCAGCGCGCTGAATGTAACATTCTTCTCGAATTGTGCCATGGGGAGCTGGTTTCGGGCTAGGATATCTTTCTTGCCAATCTCGACGAATCTGCCATAGGGGGCGATGCACTCCCAGGATGCCACGAGCCCTTCACCAGATAGTGAATTGAAGACAACGTCGACACCTTTTCCCATCGTGGCACGCTTCACACCACGGGCGAATGAAGTCGGATCTCGACTGGAGAAGATGTGATCCGCTGGAATGTTGTATGTCTTCATCAAGAATTCTTTCTTGGTCTCAATACCCACAGTTACCAGGACGGTAGCACCTGCGCGCGTGTTTATCAGCAATGAGTTCATAGCTAGAATCTGGACCGAAATGTCCAACAAACGTACCTAGATATTGCGCAACTTGAATAGCTGCTTGACCAGTGCCTCCAGCAGCAGAGTGAATTAGCACGGTTTCCCCTGGTTGAAGCCTAGCGAGATCTCTAAACGCCATCCAGGCTGTTGCGTAGTTTACAGGCACAGCAGCAGCGACCGAAAAGGGAATTCCATCAGGAACGTGGGCGACGGCAGGCCAATTCATACGAACAAAGGACTTATATGTATCGTAAGGGAAGCTGGCGACTCGATCACCAACGCGAAAAGCTTCAGCTGGGACCGCTGAACCAAGTCGTGTGATGATACCGGCGCATTCGCAGCCAACCGTTGGTTGTTGAAGGCGGCCAAGAGCAATCAACAGATCGCGAAAGTTGAGACCGACACTCTTGACCTCAATCTCAACCTCGTCCGGCAACAAGGGCTTAACATTCCGCTCTTTGTCCTCGACAAACTGCAAGGTGTTCAGAAGACCCGGAGAGCCAACAATCAATCGAAGTGGCACACCGTCAGTCTCGTTCCATTTCCGCTGAACTGTCTGATGTGGTACTACTCGTTTGTAGATTTCTTCGTTGAGCACCGTAGTCTCGATCAAACGGGGTATTTGCAACATATTATTGCGTTCAAGGTACTCCGTATCGACCACCTCATCAGAAGAAGCAGATTTCAGGAGTCGTTGTGTAACTTGAACTATGTGATGGATTTGCTTGTCACTCAGAGTTCCACTTGCGCAGTCAAGAGTGAGATAAGTAAGTGTTGGGCCGTCGACTTCAGAGTTGAGCACCCGCGAAAGCCCGTCGATGAGTCGATAAGACGGAGGTGCCGATAAAGCGTTACCTTCATCCCCATAACCAGAATCAGAAGAGATCCACACAGATTTTGTCGTGGGATTGGATGTCAAGAGCTCTTGAAGAGACTTGAAGAGATCCAGATTGATGCCATACCAAACCGGCTGTCCGAGCTCTAGTAAAAAGATGAAGAGCGATTCGCCTCGAAAATCTGGACTCAAAGCATCCTGGACTGATGAGACTCGAATGCGAACTGTGCCTTGGGAGTACGCCGTCTTAGAGCTCTCGAGACGATTCTGGAGGGTTTGAGCAAGCTGTTTCGAACCTTGATCAGACCCGTGGATAACAACAATCTCTGTATCTTCTGTACTGCTGTCCAGAGACGGTGGGACTGACGAAGGCTGTTCGACTGCAGTCGCTACCAAAACGCTGAACTCATGGCAAGGCTTTACTTTGTAGTCGTAGAAGAGACAGTCGTTCCCAGAGAACCCAGTCTGCTTGAAGAGCACATCCCACTTTTCTTCACTCAGACATGGGCTCCATTTGCGGTAGGACTCTGTGCTAAGCCACCAGCCTTCTAGGAGTCCAAAAGCGAAGTTTGTTCTTAGACCATCTGATGCCATCGTAGGCTCGAAGAGCATGATTTTGCCTCCTGGTTTCAACAGTTTCCGGCAGTTTTCCAAGGTCATAGACAAGTCCTTTGTAGCATGTAATACCGCCGCTGCAAAGATGCCATCGTAGGTCCCGGACTCGAACCCTTGTTCATCAGGATCGGATTCGACTATTGAAAAGTCAGTATAGATTCAATATATGAAAAAGCGCACTCGAACTCCCAAAAGAATATCTTGAGAATTCGGCTCCCGAAAGTTCTTGACAACGAGAGTGATTTGGACGTACTATTGAGTGTTTTGAACTGCATTCTGGAGTTGGAACCATACTTTGCTTGGGCATCACCAAAGAAAAAGGGGGAAAGGTCCGTGTAGTCGTATTGAGCGTACCGAGGCGCTGAACAAGCTTCGCCGTCCCCATGGTGAGTCAACGTCTTCATCAGCTGATGTGTCATGGCGCCAGTACCTGCGCCTATTTCAAGAAACTTAGCGCCCGGATTCTTGTGGACCATGGCATCAAGCAGTGCGCCGAGTCTCGCCATGGCTGGAGATGTTTCTTCGATCTCGTAGTAGTGATCCTTGACTAGATCGCCATTGAACAACAGGCTTAAGGCGTCCTCTTCTCCCGTGAGAAGTTTGATGTGATGGGCACCAACGGTTGTGTAGAACAGTCCCTGTTTATTGGTCGCGGCAACTCTTTTAGCAAGGCGACTGATGTAGTCCTCATCATCTAGGCGGGCTCGCCACTCGGGCGAGTTGAAAGGGGAGTCTTGATGTTCAAGCAGTTGAGTGCGGTACTTCATCCAGCCATAATATAATTGGGTGTGTGGCTTCCATTCCGTGACATCTGCACCCTTAAGTGCCTTCACAGCACGTCTGATATAAGCGGTCAGCAAAAAGTCGACCTCAGTGAAGAAGTCCAATGGCTCAGCAGTATCGGACACCGAGAAATCACAAAAGGCTTCTAGCTCTTGAGGCGAGAGCAAGTCCAGATCTGCTTTCCAATCCACAGTATGACAAAGATTTGGTGTTACGGTCTGCGCCGAGTCTTCATCTTGGGTTACATCTGAGCCAATATCTGTGGCCTTGAAACACTCTGCATCGATCAACACTTCGGTCTCTGTTGCATCAAGGGCGATAAGGTTCGATTCAGTCTCTCGCATACCGACCCTTCGCCCCGTGGCAAAAACTTTGACGAGACTCGCATCTGTATGGCTGAGTCCCTTTCTGGAAATCCAGAGCTTTGTAACATGAGTCGGTATGGCGGTTGGAATCTTCTCTGTACCACCCTTGGTATGCGTCGTCAATATTCCCTGCAAGACACAATCAAGTGTGGTGGGGTGGATAACGTGCGGCTGTTCGGGGTCGTTTCCATCGTAGTATCCAGACCAACGATACACTTCAACATCAGCCACCGTGGTATCGGCGCCATTATGATGAAGTCCCTTGATGAGTCGGAAGGTGGGGCCATAGCCGTAGCCACTTTCTGCTAGTCGGTTATACAAGAGTTCGGTCCCCACTTCGCTTGTACACGACTGAACACCGTCCATGTATCTGGCCCGACACGAGGAAGCCCACGCTTGTTGCTCTCGACCTTTGTCAACATCATTCTCGGCTACTTCATATACGATCTGGATTGACCCGTTACAGTTCTCGTGCCAGTCATTGAGCTCATTGTTGTATGTGTAAACACGAAAGCTATTCACCAAGAAGTCAGATTGGTGTACTAGGTAAGGGGAAAAGACGGGCGGAATATTGTGCAAAGGGCTCGGGGATCACGTACTTGTACCATCCTTCGTCTTTCTCATCCTGGTCCTTTCGAGGATGCATACATAGGTTAACTTCGACGCCGGCAGAGGTGCTGGGAATGTTGAGTGCAGAATGGAAAGAAACATTTTTGAAAAGAAAACCTGCCAGCTCTTTGGAGGGGTCGGCGAGCTGCTTCGATGCCTCAATTGCCATGACGAGCATACCTGCGGCCGGATACAGAATCGTGTTGTTTATCTTGTGATCCTCGACCCAAGGAATGTCTGAGAGCTTGATGATATTGCGCCATTTCGCCTCCAACGGGTTCCAATCTGTAGACTGAGCACCCACCAAATCGTGCCTTACGCAGCGTCGGAAGCGATAGTTCTTACTCAGCCTACCCTCAGCCCAGTAGGACTTTGCGTGATTGAATGGATACTCAGGAAGTGTTGTAAGTGACTTTGCGAGTTTCGCCGCTGTTCTCTTTTTTCCAGTCCAAACAATTTCTCCGTTAACACGCTCTAAGTCAAGAGAATAACCTAGGCAGTACAGGCGTCCGAGAACCTCGAGAGTGCTATGAACTGCTGATTTGTTGCGAATTAACATCGACATGTAGTTGATCCCTTGGCTCCTATTTATGTTCGACAGGATTTCTCTGATGGGGCCTTGAAGAGCGGAGTGGGGCCCGACCTCGACCAGATCGCTGATGGACACCTGGTGACGGTGGCTACCATCAAGCTTCATGATTGTTGTGTTGCCCGAAGAGCTCGTTGATGCTGAAGTGAAGGAGCACAGCGTTGTAAGCGCTTGCGAGAAAAGGACAGGAGAAACTAGATTGCTGACCCAGTACTTAGGGTTGGACAACTCCTCTGGCGAAACCCAATTTCCCGTGACAGATGAGACCATTACAGGAGCGTTCTTCATCAAAACACTGTATGGCTTGTCTAGGCTACCAAGTTCATGGAGATACTCCTCTGCCATCTCTTGCATTTGGAATGAGTGGTAGGCGACGGTAACTTTCAGCGCTCGTGCAAAGATCTCACTGGTTTCAAGGGCACTCTGTAGGCGTTTGATGTGTGCGGAATCACCCGAAACGGTCACATTTCTGGGGCTGTTGACGCAGGCGACCACGAGGCGAGTTTCTCCCAATTCATCAGAAACTTTCTTCAGATATTTTTCGGCTTCTGAAGACGAAAGGCCTACTGCCATCATGGCACCTTGGGTCTGGCTCGTTTGAACAAGCTTAGCGGCCAGCTTGCCCCGGAAATACGCAATTTTCCAAGCAGCTTGCCTTGAAATTGCACCAGTACAGTACCTAGAAAAAGGGGCGGTCAGCCAAAGTATTCAGCAGTAGAGAAGCGAAATATTGTACTCGAAATTGACTCCAAGACAGGAAAGGCTCGATCACTTCACTTACGCAGCAGCAATTTCTCCGGATGAATGCCCAACGACAGCAGAAGGATGGACACCAAAGCTGTCCATAACATCAACCAGGGCAATTTGTAGAATAGTACAGAGAGCCTGGCTGTAAAATGGATCATTGATCTTTGAATGATCCTTGTCCTTTGATAACTCCTCTGAATAATGTCAGTGACTCGTTCAGAGATCAGCGAAACGAAACGAATATTGTCACACGTACCGACAGGGTCCCAGGGACATCCAAGTCCCATCAGATATATACCAGCATCAACCAGACTGTTCTTATAGATAGGATATCGGCTCAGAAGCTCTCTGCCCATGCCGTGCCACTGAGCGCCTTGCTATTGATTTTGAAATATTAGTATCACTGCACGTGGTAACACTTATCAAGGGACATTCTTACCCCTGAAAAGACAAAGGCAAGCTTAGGTGCTGTCTGAGCGCGAGTGGCCGGAATCATCTGGTCGGCCAGGCTAGACAAATTATCAGGATCCGAAGCAACGACAAATGTCCTCCATGGAAATTGGCTCCGTCTTGTGGCGAGTGTATGAGCTAGACCACGGACATAGTCGAATATCTGGTAATCTTGAAGCCTTAAATTAAAGCAGTAATCCTTCCAAACGGGTTTGAGACGCGCCACGCCACTCTCGTCCATGGTAGACCAAACGAGAAGTCTAGGAAACGTGGACTCATTCATGACATTGCCGATAGAATCGCCATTGGTCAAGGAGTGCGCAATGGAAAGGCCGCTGGAGGGAATGACCTCGCCCAGATCTCTAGACGGCTCAGGCGGGGCGGGAAGGGTATTGTGATGACCCTGCAAACCATACATGCGCAAGAAATTGTAGGCATCATCAAGAATGACATGACTGTTGGATCCGCCGAAGCCAAAAGACTGAATGGATGCTCTTCGGAGGCCGTTCGTAGGCCATGGAATCGCATCTTGAGCAATCTGCAAGATGGTCAAAAGTGTTAGTGGCAACAAGTTCAGATTATTCTACGAGATTCCTGGAAGTCCATGCTCACTACGTACCTTTATGTTCCAAAAGTCTGCGTCGATCTTCGGATTCAGCTTCTCAAAATTACTGTTTGGAGGAATGACACCTGCTTCGAGGGCAAGAATTGCTTTAATCACGCCAGCAACTCCACTTGCACCCTCAAGATGGCCGATATTGGACTTTACTGAGCCGCTACATTTGTCACGGGATCAGTACAGAGTCCTAAACTTCGGTGCGCGATTGACTCGCCGACTGAAAAAGAACTTACACATATAATGGTTCTTGAGGAGAGCGGTACGCCCTGAAGGCAGCTCCTATGGCACCCGCTTCGATCGGATCACCGATTGGGGTTCCTAGAAGGTTAAGCAATTGTCAATCAACATTCCATGCAACCCAAACAGAAGCTGGTCGTTTCGACTCACCAGTGCCATGAGCCTCAAAGTATCTAGTGAGCCCCAAATCAAGGCTGGCCTTGGCGTATGTGTCTACAATCAATTGCGCTTGGGCCTCTCGGCTCGGCTGGGTGACGCCCGGAGTTTTGCCGTCTTGGTTCGAGCCGGAGGATCGTATGACGGCTCGGATCGTGTCACCATCACGAAGAGCTGTATCGAGAGGTTTCACTACGAGGACGCCGAAACCTTCTCCTCGTGCATAACTGTTAAAGAATATTTGTTAGTTGGGATGCGCTTTTTCAAAGTGGTTTCAACCATACAGGTCCGGTATCACAGGTAAAGGGGTCCAGGGGCTTAGCGAGACCCTAGAGCGAAATGAATTGTATCTCGAGAAGTACGTACCCGTTTGCTCGATGGTCAAAACTATAACACCTGCTATCTGCACCAAGCATTCCGAGATTGTCCAGAGCCATTCCCAGATCTGGAGTGAACATCGCGTTACTTCCGCATGCTAGCCCCTGATGGCAGAGCCGTTGTCAGTAACAGCTTACTGGATAGCAGACACTCCTCAGGATGTGTTACTCACCATTGTGGAGTCTCCACACCAGATTGACTGGCAGACCAGGTCCAAGGCTACTAAGCTGCTGGAACATGCTGTGTCGACATTGACACTTGGTCCGGTCAAGTCGAAGAACCAACTCAGTCTATTGGCAAGCATGTTCGTGGCCGTTCCGGTTGCGCGATACTTTACTTGAACATCGGGGTCATGGTCCAAGATAGTAGCATAATCTCTGGAGAACGAGCCAGAAAATACACATGTCTTGGTGCCAGCAATCTTTTCGATCGGTATACCGGCATTTTCTATGGCTCTAAAAGCAGTTTCAAGACTAATTCGTTGAGAAGGATCCATGGCCTCAGCCTCAGCAGCGCCAAGTGAGAAAAAGGGAGCGTCGAAAGCAGCAAGGTCACCTGTCATATAATGTCCACCCCGCGCAGACAAAGTTTCATTCTTTGTGTTGTCTGGATGGTAGTGAACATCGAGTCCCCAACGATCTGGTGGGATGTCTGTCGAGGCACATCTCTTTTCAATGAGCATCTTCCAGAAAGCTCTTGCTGTCACAGCCTCTTGGGGGAACTTGAAAGAAAGCCCAATAATTGCCAGTGGAGGTAGAGCGGCAGCGTTGAGCCGCATTGGTTCGTCTTCATGCTGAGCTATTGATCCCATTCTGTTCCCTTAAGCTATCTCAAGCCCATAGAACGTATAAATGAAATACTGAAGGAATAATGCAAATCAAGAGCCAAAGTTGTTGCAAATATGTAGTCTAGATATGTGATGGGAAGAAGTTTTCGTCTTTTGTTTTGCAGTGTCGATAGAGCTCTATATACTCGCGTTTGATCTGCTCCACTACGACCTAACTTGGTTGATACAACAGACATGCTTTTGGTTGATTTTATAATCCTCAACAACATAAATACTAATCAACAAGCAGATATTATTGGCTGTATTTACGAGTTCGAGGTATTTCCACAGACTATAGATATACCATATCCAGCTGTGTCTCACGTCTTGAATATGTAAAGATTACCTACAAATTACAAGATTATGAATATAACGCCATTCCATGAGACTTGCCATAAGCAGCCTCTCTTATCGTTGGGTGACACCATGAAAGTATGTGAAGTTGCGGCCAGAAAATGGGACAACATTCCAATTTGGTAAGTCACCCACCGAACTCACCAATTGCGACAGATTTGTATCCCATCATGTAATGAAGAGATAGATGTTGGAGGCTTGTATTACTTGCTTCGCATGTAACTGACTGGCCTCAACGGAACTCAGGTAGTGGTGTGATCTAAAGGGCGTTTTCGGGATGTGGTCAGCATTTCCGGATACGGGCTTTCGTGTGGTTGATCATGAAGAATGGGCTGGAAAATACATGCCATATGTCCTTATCAGAATGACTCCAAGAGAAATCACAATCGTCCCATGTGCATCAGCAATGCAGTCATGCGCAATACCACAGATTGTTGTGCAATGGTAAACCACTCGAAATCTAGAAGCGGCTGTATTTCAACATGGTGGGTTACACAACCGACCCAAGGTTACCTATCAACCCCACCCCAAAGTTAATGTAACCTAATGTAAGCACAGTGGGTGTACAACGCACGGTCTCTTAGGATGTACGGAAAGGGCCGTGCCTCAATCCCGCTTTATCTCTCCTTATGAATATCGCATTAAGAGTCAATGAAAAGTCAATATTCTTTAGAGCTGGAATCCGTGATAAAGTCGCTTGCATTCGTCTATCCAATCAAGACTAGGTAACATGACAATCGCTTATCTATTCCACCGTTCTGACAAAAGATACCCCTCAAGCCTGAGCCAAGAGAGTGGTGCGGCGAACAATATTGACAATGCTAGTAACATCCTCTTTGGATCCTGCGCCGGGAACCTCATGGCCGCCTTCATGGATAAACTCCGACTTCACATCTGATCTGCAGAGCATGCTTAATCCATGTGCCACCTCTGCATACGGGTCAGCAAGCCCCCACACATGCGCCGTGGGGATGTCGATAATGCCCCCCATCTTTTGCTGCGGGAGGACAACGACATTTCCCTCTTTGAGGGAGTCGAAGTCGACTGCGGGTGAGCCCGCCGACAGAAAAATTGCGCATCGAACGCTGAGCTTGCCCTGCCTCATACGATGAATGATCCATGTGGCTACAAGCCCGCAGGCTTGACTGAAACTAATCACACCATCGTAAGGCCCCTGTGCCTCGACAAAAGCATCGAGATCATTGATAGCTTTGAGAGCTGTCTTAGGTTCGTCCTCTTGGAAGTAAGCCCAGGTCTTTTCGTCCCCAGCTAGCATGCTCTTAACGTCTGAGATAGAGATTGGTTAGATTCTGCAAGAGGTCTCCTTAAGATTTGATACGTGAAGCAAAACTTACTAGGATCGATATCGTAAGGCATGTTACCCTCAACAAAATCAAACGTATGTCGATCCCCAAGCTCATATCGAATTGCAGCTGTCAACGGAATTAGTGTCAAGCAAAGATTTTGAAAGTGAAGACAAAGAAAGAATGCAGGAGTGGAGTTACCTGTCTGCATCTCGAATAGCTAGAATGCTATGTCAGTCTCATATATTGAAGAAAGGGAGGATACACCTACTTTCGCGTTGGTACCTCTTCCATGGAGACTAATGATGCTTTAAGTAAAAAGTGCCAAAAGATCTGCGCCCAAACTCAATGACTTACCAGAGAAAATGCATATTCGAGAGCTGGCTTGGATGAGGAAGACTTTGACTTGCGAGTGGGACAAATGTAAAGCTTGGGAAACAAGAAACGTCAAACGTTGGTGCAGGAGAATGTATTGAAGAGAAATTAGTATTTTATGTTACGCAGCTTTTCTATACTTTTCCATCTAACGACATGCTTAATAGATGCAGTATGCATTAATCCACAGATGGGCTTACCTGTAAAGATTATGTCTTATTGCTGATCTGAATGCTGCTCCTATCTATTCCCAGATATCTGTAAGTCCTGACAAGCATGAGAAGCACAATATTGATTTTTAAAACCCGCCGCGACCAGACAGGTCCAGTCTTCGATACTTGGTCATCGGGACGCCATCGTGTCACAACATGAATTCAAGTCTCGCTGGAACCGACACGAAAGACATTGCTCGAATACGCCGCAAACACACATATATTCATTATTAATGTTAACGCCATCGTCTCCTGATATTACACCGAAATCGTATCAAAAGTGCGAGAGACATTGATTACTGCATTACGCCTCAAGATACACATCTTTGATATTGTTTGATTGTGCGTAAGGATCCTAATATGGGTTGCCTCCGGATACTACCCACACTTCATCTCGAAGCAAGATAAGATTTCAACTACCAAGTCTCTGAAGTCTCACCACAGATATGTACTATCACGGACTTTATAACCAATACTAGATCTCGGTTCGGGTTTTGAACGATTCATATCTGTGTCTGAAGTTTGTGCTTATTATCTGTCGGTTACTTTGCAGAAGCCCGCTGTGGAGTAATATGTGATCATCAGCTCACCGGAATGTGCGTATTACTCCAGCCTTCCATCTTTGCCCAACCTGAGTGGCTTCTTCTTCCAAACTAGAGCGATGGAAAATAAAACTGCTGCGGAGAACGCCAGAGTGACTCGCATTTGCAAATTGTACCCTTGTCCATAAACGGCTCGGACCTCATCCTGCAATTCCTGAGGAAGCAGAGCAATCCTACTTGCTGAGTCCAGAACGCCGATCAGCTGTGCCCCGTCAAGCAGTAGCGGCAAGTGCGAGTTGATGTAACTATTCAACACAGTGTTCATGACAGCAATGCCCAATGCGCCTCCAAGCATGCGGAACTGCAATCCAGAACCGATTGCGAGAGCTAAACGAGTTCGCGCCGTATTAGTGCGTATTAACAACAGCTTTGCACAATACACGTGGGTAACACATGGAATGCAGTAGGTGAGGGATCATGCACAGCTTACCCTGGTCTTTCTTTTGAACTGCAATTGGCCCCAACATGTAAAGCGCACCAATCGTGGAACCTGTCCCGAGACCTGCAATAACGCTGTAGCCGTACTGACCGTTCCAATTTTCCGTATATGTTGGTAGCGTTGATAGGAGTCCAAAGCCCACCGATTGCAGCGTGCATCCAAGCAACATCACTGCAACGAATGGAAACCTCAACCTGCCCGTGGCCATGGAAGCCATGACAACACCGAGAGGACAAGCAGCAGCATATGCAAGAAGTTTCACACCGGCGTCCAATGGTGAGCTTGCATTGACTATCTGATAGCGCTGCGGAAGCTCGATAACGGCGATGGTGAGCGGCGCTCCTGATAAGAAACAGCCCAACAGAGTTCCCATCCATACTCTGTTGCTGAAAAATCGCCAAGGAAACATAGGTTCGACCAAGGATCCTTCACGGCTGGCATACCATTCCCAGAGGAAAAAGGCAATCCAAAGAAGCCCTGACACTGTGAAGAAGACGATAATGATGGCTGAATTCCACGGAAAGCGAACACCACCTTCTTCTAACGCAGCAACGAAGAGAATGGAGGCGCCCAAAAGTAGGAATGCCCCAAGAATGTCGGGCTTCTTCACAATCTGAAGTATCCATGGTGTCGTCTTCTCTTTATCTCGATTATGAGTATGGGGGAAGCCTTTAGGAAAGGTGAGCATGACGATGACAAGCGCGACAAAGCCTGCAGGAACACTAGATAATGTGTTAGGACGACTGTTTGGAGACTAAATGTCGTATGCACAGAAGAACTGACTTGAGATAGAATACCCATCGCCAATGGTGCCCATCATTGATTGCTCCTCCCAAAAGCGGGCCCAAGATCATTCCCAAGGACATCAACGATGATGCCACAGCGGTGATCTGAGTGTAACGAGTGGGAGGAACCATTTGTATAAAGCCGATGGTGGTGATCGAGTAGAGTCCGGATCCACCGACGCCCTGAAAGGCTCTGAATATGATGCTTCGACCTAGAGTGAGCAAATTTCTCTATCTAGAGGAAGTCTTCGGTGGACTGGAAATTCATACAGCTGTGTCATAGACTGAGCAGCTCCACATCCGGCAGAAAATCCCATGAAGAGGACCATCGAGACGAACATAGTAGGTTTGAGTCCGAAAAGATCACAAAGTTTCGACCATATGACTAGGAAGCCTTTATGAATGCAGTCAGTCTATGTTGATCCCAACGCAGTGCATCCCATGTTCACCTGTATATGTAACCAGATAAGCAGTCACCAGCCAGCTGATCTGGTCATAATCGTTCAATGCATTCCCAATCGTTATCAATGAGGTGCTGACGATGGAGACCTCGAGGGCGGGGAGCACGACACTCAGAGCCAACCTAGTATAACACGTCTCAGCTTGGTATCATAAATTGTGAACATTAGCATGAAAGATGGAAATCACCCTAATCCTGCCAGCCACAAACGAATTCCGCTCATATAAACAATCTCGGATGGCTGCTCCACGCTGACAGGCTCGGTCGCATCAGTAGGGTTTTCCACCGGCTCAATTATGTCGACAGAATCACCCATTTTCAAGATATTAAGTAGATGAGCATGTAAGAATCTGCAACTATGAGAGTGATGTAAAGTGATCTTTGTGCGAGCGAACTACAATGTTCAGAAGAATAAACAAAATGGTGCAGTGAAAAAAGTAGTCTGGAAAATGTAAGTACAAGCTTATTCGTCCCATAAGTGGGAACATTAGTGCGGGGGCATGCGTTACCGGCGTCGGATTGATTGTATTCGCTCGTCAAGCTCGTGTTTCCAACTTGGGGCTTGCTTATTGCAACCTTACCAAGTATAGCTGGTTGACATCCGAGGTGAGGCGTAGTCATGCCAGAAAAGACGGAAAAGCATGTGCATGGGATATTGATTACCGTACAAGGAACTTATAAGGGTACCTTCCTCAGTGAATTGGACGAGTTGGCCTTCGGCATTTGCGCGCGATTTTAGTTTTAAAACATGACTGCTGCACTCAATTTGACCCAACTTTCGCCTTCACTCTTTCTTTCCCGCCCATCCGTCAAAGATGATATCCCTGATTCGACGGCTCCAAAGCTTATCTTCCTAGCCACTTGGATGAACGCACGAGATGTACACATCGCCAAATATATCATCCGCTATCAGACTCTCTACCCCACGGCGCACATTCTCGTGGCCACATCGTCGTTCCGCTACTACTTCAGCCCCCGTTCCGCCCGTCGTGAAGTTGCGCCTGCTGTTAAAGTAATTCGCGATGTCCTCGGAGACGATACTAGCAAAGGTTCCGAACCTCGCATGTTGATACACGTCTTTTCGAATGGAGGCTCATGCGTGCTCTACCACCTCTACGATCGATATGCTAAGGCAAGCAGAGAACGATCTTCAACCTCTGAACACGAGCGCCTCCTTCCATCACACGTCACTATCTTCGACTCAGTCCCAGGCCGCTGGAGCTACAAAGGATCAACACAAGCCGTACTTGCCGCTGTTCCTGCTGGATGGGCGCGCAAGTTAGCCATCCCGCCAGTCCACATACTGGGTTCTTGCTGGGTCGTCAAGTACATCCTGCTTAGAGTGCCCGAGGAAACACACGTATGGGGAGGAGCACATAATGATCCGGCTCGGGTGCGCGAGACCTGCCGCGCATACGTCTATAGTGAGACCGATCAGTTTGTTCAATATCGTGCTGTGGAAAAACATGCCGACGATGCTGAAACCAAAGGCTTTGTGGTCGTGCGCCGTGATAAGTTTCCGAATAGTGCGCATGTCGCTCATGCCCGATCCAACCCTGATCGTTATTGGTCTCTGGTCAAGGAAACCTGGGAGGCAGGTCAAAGACAAGATGAAAAGCTGCCTGCAAACTTGTAATGTTGACGTATGTGCTAGCTTAGACGTTTAGCTTTCCCTTGGATGGTGAAATGTTCTGAAAATATTGGAGTTGAAGACTTGATTCACATGAGACATAGACCTTGTGTAAGACAAACATTCAGATGAAAAAATAGAGAAATGACACAGGCACAATGCATTTACTTCGATTCAATCACTTGAGCTTTGCTCCAGTGATATATCTTTCTCAGAGCACTCTTACCCGCCCTCAGCAACATAACATCAAACCAATATGGACTGCTTCAACCAAAGCCACTTCATCCCAACGCCAAGAATTCGTCAAAGAGCTCACACAAAAGGCGCACTATGCCCAAGTTGTGATATAACCCACGAGTTCCTAGATGCACACACTCACGTTGATACGATCTGCCAAAACTGTTTTAGGATGATCGAGCTGAATATCTTCAAGTGCAGCTGCGAGGGGTTGACTGAGAGGGCCATCGGAAGGTATGATAAGATTGTTGGAGGGGGAAAAGGGTTCTGTATATGTCGGTACTGGGGTGTTGACTGAGGATGGAGGACATGCCAGAAGAGACGAGTTGGAGGAAAGTGGATTTTCAGGTCTTTAAATACCAGACTTTCAATCAAAGTACTTGATGCAATCTAGTTTTAACGTTTGGTCTGCGAAGTCACGTGGAGGGAGCTTTCTCCTATCAAAGAGTTTCCAAGGGCCCCTCTCCCGACCGTCAAGTGAGAGGGCGGAGGCGAAAGCAATTGTTGTTCGAAATCCTCTTCAGAGGGACAATCTATCTCAGCGAAGTCCTACCTCCGCCGAATAGACTCATGTGGCTCTCCTGACGGAGTCACTTAAACTCTCTTTGTGAATCTTTCCTAGAAGAAAAAGCAAGTAAACCTCAATCATTTCAAAGACAGAACTAGACCAAGCAATTCAAAAGAATACAGTCAATATCAAGGAACACTAAAGCGCATATCAATCAAATCAACCAAGATCCAAAACTCAAATATGCCCCTCACGATGCCACTAAGCACAACATCTACTCTTCACCCCAGCAACATCCCCTGCCCTCACTGCAACAGAACTCAGCTCCCTCCATCTCAAGGGCATTATCACACTTACACCGCATGCAGAACATGCTCGTCGACTATCGAGGAGAACATCTTCCACTGCACTTGCGTTGGGATCAAGGAACCTAGGAAGATTAGGATTGAGGTTGTCGTGGAGGATGTAGTACTTGTGGTGGAGAGCTGTGAGGTGAACTGAGATGCGGGAGACGTAAGGATAAAGGCAAACTGAAGTAGAAAGTGGGATTGGAGGTAAAGAGTCCCGATATATTGTTTGGAGCCGCTTGCTCTGCTGTTCTGTGTAGAGCGTCTCCATCAACCAAATGTTCTTTCGCATAGCTATCGAAATATCAATGCAAATTCTATGTTTTGTCCTCTACTCCCTCTGAGCCCATCGCAATCTATGTTTCCGTCAGCTGAGCTTTGTCATATCTCCTCCCCAGCAAGAATTCTATAAAGCCGCTCTTCTTCAACCGCTCAAACCACCCTGTAAGAAACCCGACTAACGCCCTTACTCCTCGAAATCTTCTTCACCTCGATCTTCCCCACCAGACTACAATCCCGCACATGGGTGCCCCCACACGGATAACTCCCCATGCCCTCCATCTCCACCACTCTCCCCAACTCCTCTCCATCCGGCAGCACAAAGTCCTCTGCTCCCGTGCACTTCTTCTTCAACTCCTCAAGTGGCCAATAATGGATATTCACCTTCGCAGCACTCTTCACGAACTCATCAGTCTTTGCTTGGATAGCTGCTTTATGCTTGCCGTCGATGAGACCTCCGAACTCGACTGCTGCTGAGTCGGGATAATGCGAGGCTTTGGATTCTGTTAATGAGGGGAGGACGCCTTCACGGCTTAGTTGGTTGATGGCGAAGCCGAGGACGTGACCTGCGGTGTGCAGACGCGAGTAAAGCTCCCTTTTTTCTGCATCGATATTTTGCTTGATTTCATCGCCTACTGAGAAGGGGATTGGAGTAGGGGGATTAAAGCGACCGAAATGCAAGATCTGATGTCCTGTTGCGGGATGGCGTACGGATTGGACTTCAAATGTGTGTTTGCATTTCGAATCCGTGATGGTGCCGGTGTCGGTGGGTTGGCCGCCACCTTGAACGTAAAATATTGTTTCGTCTGTGATTAGGACATGATCGTTTTCAGTTGGGTCTTTGATCAGAGCTTGGTCTGCTTCTGGAAGTGTTGTGACGGGGTTTATTGAGAGAACTTTGCTGGTGTATTCACGAAGCTCTTGCTGATCCTGGTAGACTAATTTCGTTCGCGTAGCCATCTTCAATCGTGTCAGATTGGTGCGATTGACGCAGAAGCACTCACTGTACTATGATTTCTGTGGAGGGGTGTTCTCAGTCTTGTAGCATTCAATCTTACTAACAGGAATTTTCTTGTCATGAGAGGTAGTTATACTTGTGTTCCACAAGACTCGAAGCTTCTGTGACACCAAAGGGCGCGAATGACTAAGATTGCCAAAGTGGGTCATTTCATGACGTTTGAATGGTCACCCAATCAAAAAGCGACATACGTTTGAAGATTCTGTTCTTCCTTTCGATTGATTATTTTTAGATGACTCTTGCTACATGTCAGATTACGTGTCATTGCTCAATTCAAGAGCCAGTACGTTCTCAACTTCGACCAAATTCGAAGTCACGTGAAGTGTAATTATCCTCCTTTCCATAGACTGGTGGTGGCGGAACGAACTATGGAAATGACCGACAAGAGCAAAACCAGAATCAGAGCTACAAAATAGGGTCTAAACTCATCTTCATACAGCTATGTTTCTTGTAATATGTACATACAGCGTTCTCATCAGTTCATCATACAATATGAATGCCTTCTCCAATCCTTCGCTCGTGATGGTAGGTGGATGGAAAGTCCATGATTGCAGTCTTGTATGAAACTGTGTTCTCATCCGTCTATGTGTGCTGCATGCCCTGGCCCAGGTCCCTTTGCACCTTTATTGCTTCAGCTCTTGTCTTGGAGCGATCATAACATCATCGCCACATGTATATCATGGAGTGTTTTGTATGTGCAGCCAGGTTAATGACTGTGGGTTCCAAAACCGCTATAGCCATTTTGTAAGGGACTTGATCCCTTTTTCACTGCCAACTAAGCTTTCAAGGCCAAAGACAAGCCGCATACTCTAAATATTGGCCCACCGTTCCATAGATTTGGCTCAACTCATCCGACATGAGTTGCGGGCCATTTAGATGATCTCTTTGCTTCGCAAACTGATGTCTCCACAAAGCAATATTCCAAGCAAAACTCGAATGTCCTACGCCAGCAAACTCGGAAGACTTCATCAAGACCAAGTAATCGACCAAAGCTTGTTGATCAAAGGTGAGACTTTGAAGTCGTTTCGTATCTTCGCCGCTGACCAGATCATGCTTTGTGGAGACGGTGAGGTTGAACTTGTGTGCGTCGTTTGTGAAGTGCTGTAGTTGGCCGACATCCCCTGATGCAAGGTAGATGACCGGCAATCCAGAAGCAGCAGCCTGTTCGAGGTAGTAGTGTGATTGGACGCTGTATTTCGAGTACTCGTATACTTGGACAGGGAATCCTCTTTGAGAATCCATCTCCGTACGCAGGTGGGCGCCAAAGAAAGAACCTTTCCAGATTTCATCCCCAAACTTGCCATTGAGATCGTATGACGAGACGAGGTTCTTCAGAACTGTCGTAGCCAACTCTCTCGCCTCCTTGCGGAACTTCAGGATCTTGCCAAAGTCGAGAACAAAGCCTTCCAGATCAGAATAGATTGGATACTTCAAGTATGAGCGCTCCAAATCCACTACCACCTGTGAATTGGTATCTCTCTCTTTACTCAACCACCCGTAAAACTTCCCTCTCCATCCCTCTGGGTGTGCAATGCCCGTCGGTGTATCTTCCATCAGACTCTCTGGCAGAAGCCTGATAGCATCCTCACTCGATTGCTTCGCAAACTCCTCTGCATCATCAAACAGCTGCAGCTGCGGACATGACAGTCTCAACGATTCCACAAAATGCGTCTCGTCAAAGATGTAATCGAAAGAAATCGTCTCCCTTTCCCAGATATGCGAGATATCGTTTGGGTCCCGCAGTATCACTCTTGGCAGAGCCAACCCCGCTCCCGCAGAAATGGCATAACGAACGCAATTCAAGATCGAGTTGCGGAGATTACCCACTCCGCCTCCAGATCGATTGCAGGTGAACAGCAATTTTGGATTCCATTCCGTGTTCGCGCAGAGGTTCTTGACCGCGGCTGATTCAAGAAGTGGTTCGTCGAAGAGGTCTGTCGTTTCGACGAGGTCTTGTTGGGAGACTTCCGCGATAGGTGACCACGCAAACGTGGGGATGGTGAAGATCGATGGTCTCAGGTAGACCAGAGAAACCAAGAAGACGATGCTTCCAACGGCGATCAATGGAGCATATCTCGAGTTCCTAATCGACTTTGCTTTCGCAAGTATGAACATCGTGAGAATTGACAAGAGAATCATGTCGACGGAAGGAAAAGAGAACGCCCACAAAAGGCTCGAATTACCCATGGAAGTTCTAGCCTTGGGGATTGGCACCTAATTTGAAGGTCCAAGCCCCCTATCTGCAGCGAGCCGATAGCGTGGGTACGCTAGAACTTGGTCGCCGCCGGTGTCCGAGTGGCCCGCCAGGGGAGCCGAGAGGAAAGAACGATCCCCATTGGCAATTGCAGCGCCACAATACGCAGTGATCTGCACCCAATTTTAGCGAGTTATTGATTCTGCATCCCCCTGAAGCCCTGACGCGGGATGATAATGAGCGAGTCTCGGGCTTTCGGGTTCAGAACTTGAAAGAAAGAAGGCTTTACGACCCGAGAATATCATGTTCTCGGTCTCAAACGAAGTACATCGATGATGTCCACGTTTCTGAGGCAATACCAGCAACAAGCCGAACACTCAATCTCGTTTGTATTATTATAGCGCAACCAGGTTATCGGGGACGGCTATATATATTAAGCTGAAATGAGCAACCAACTCAATTCGGAACCAGGCTAAATGCAAAAGAGTACATATCAACATCAGCCAAGATCTTTCTTCCATCTCGCTCAATTTCTCCATTCACCAGCAGCAAAGTGTCATGATCGCGAACAGAACGTACGTATACATAATTTGGGGATAGCAGAAGTGGAAACAGGATTGTCGATTATTCATCTATTCGATCCATATCCCCCGATTGACACCAATACCTCCTTTGCCAAGTGAGGATATTCGAACGCAAAATGCCGGCCGAACCTGTACATCTCAGGCTTCTCTTTCAAATTTTTGATTTGCGTCCTCATCTCAACCAGCTTCGGACGCCATTTCTCCAGTCCTGCAGGTGTGAGCATTTCTAATCCTTCAAGCCCTTGGCACTCGACAGTAGAATGCCACAAACTTTGCCGCCACTCCTCCTCGAAGTCTTCCCCAACCTGATAACGAACTCGCTCCCAGGCCTCTCGCCATCTTCGGGAAGCCAGAGCATGCTCAAGTGCTATCTGATCTGCAAGCAAAAGTTGTTCTTCCACCTTCTCAGGGGTGTAGGGACCGACAGGAAGTGGAACCCCAAGATCAGGGTTTCCGTGACGACAAACCCAATCCGAGATACAATACCTGATGTAATCAAGTCGAAAGTAAAAGTCGAAACGAGGAAGTCCCAGTTCAGGCTGGAGATGCGCCCGCATCGATGATGCAAACAGCTCACCGTAGATGATGATCTGATACATGGCTCTGTCTGCAGTGCCCATTGCCTACCTGCAGCCTTGTCGATCAAGTCTGCAACTGGATTTAGAGTCGTGAAACGCATTGCGTGAAGTCGTCGTATATCATCCATTGTGAGGCTGGCTTTAGCAATGCATAGGTCGTAGAGTCCTTCAATGCCACACATGAAGGCTTGTCGAAGCACATCACTATTGTCCTGGCTCTCGAGGGCCCAATCTCTAACTTGACGGACCGTCGCTGCAATGAGAAAATATGGATCTGGACGAAAGAAGGTTCGTGATGCTGCACCAGCCAACTGAAGGATCTGATGGGGATCTGTTTCCCAAAATGCATTTCGCAATGTTCGGCAACTTGAGGATGCATTCTTAAAGTCTTCGATGTTGTGCAGATGGTTAGGGAGCAGCACCAAGATTTCTACTGGGAGATCAAGTAGCTCCATCGTATTAGAATTGGACCATTGAGTTTATCGTGAGTTAAGAAGATATGATTGCAATGGGTGAGATTGTGAGCGCCTCTTCAAACATCTTGAAGGACGCTACTGTATCCGAAAATAGAAGGTGTGGCGCATTTTACCCCGCCATTTGTTGACATTTTCGTTCTGTGAATCGTCTTTTAATGCATTAGTTAATTATCATATTTGACTTCGAAAGTCTTACCCTAATGAAGTACACACTCACATCAAATCTAAGTAGTCAAAAAAACACAATGATCCCCAGTGAGAGAGCAGCTATCTGAAATCGGTACCCTCTTGACATGATGAACATGGTGAATGCTTTCCTACGAGTGACTGGGCCAGTAATTTCGTTCCCTGGGAAACATTCACACTATCTCGCTGGGAATCAAAATGGTCTGTGATAGCGCAACTTTTCCAATGCCGTCGAAACATCTTTCTCAGCAATCGTGAACCCATATCACGATTCGAGGTTTGGAGAGTCCACAAACATCCAAAATGAAAAGCCATTCTAGGCCTCGATATTTTCCAGATACAGACCGCAAACATCCTGTACCGGGTAAACCACAACCAGAACCTCAACCTCAACAGCCGAAGAGTCGAAGGCCATTTCGCATCTGCCAATGTTTTGGAAAGCCATGTCATTGCAATGATCACGAAGTTGTGGAGGATCACATTTGTGCGAAGTGTCAGCCTAAGAATGGAGCATGAGCGTTGGAAGATGGCATCAAATCGACCCTGATCTATTCACAAGGCGATAATACATGTTGGCATTTTCGGTGATACAAGGCTGTCCAAGTACTGGAGATATTTTCGTCATATGATATGTTGCTGAAAGCTCTGCGTACGAGGGCGGGTTTGTGGCTATAGAAATCTTGAGAACAAAATAGTCTTGCAATGTTTAAAACAGTCTCAATGATCTTGTCCACTTGATCCTAAAAGTGAAGCCAAGGTAGCAAAACTTTGATATTTCGAAGTCGAACGTATTTTACCCAGTTAAATTCACGCAACATAGACTTAGGGTATTAGTCTTGACCTTCTGTGCTCGGATTCCTTCAATTTCTTCATCGCAACTACAACACAACAATTCAAGACAGTACGAAACCCTCCAAAACTCTTCCTCTATCAACGGCATCCCCACTTCCCAACGAAAATGCCCAACGATACTAGCACCAGCGCAAAGGCCAATGGCGCAGGCGCTTTCCAAGAAGGCGTTCAACAGCGAGTCCTCGTCGAGTTCCGTTGCGTCAAGTGCAATCACCTAATGGGTAATCACCCTCTTTCTTTTAAACTGCCCCTTCTACTCTATACACTACGTATGAGCTTCATAATATCAACAACGGCTATTTCTTATTGCGGCAGTTCTTGAAAGTGAATAACTACTGATGGTAACCACTAGACTCAAATTATCAAACCACTATGGGCAAGTTGAGGGGTCTACGCAAGAATGACGACGGCGAGCTGGTCCTGGACGGAGCATACAAAGGCACCAAACCCTGTCTAAAGTGTCTCGATTCACAAAAGCCCGCCACAAAGAAGGTATCCGAAGCAGATGTGGAGAAGGAATGAATGGCATCGGGTATCGGTTGCATGGTGGAAGATAGGTCGTACAAGCGCAATAGTAGCATGGATTTTACAAGGGCGGCAGGGTCTGGTAGCGCGACTAGCTGAGCCTGGTTCATCTGTTGAAGGACAGCAAACATTCAGAGGTTTACCACGGAAGCGAGTTGACAATGCGATGCTTTGTTATTGAGACGTTCTTGGAGTCAGCTTTCGAACTCCGCTTTTGTGACTTGACTATGATGTGATACCAGTGAGGAACAAGAACAGAAGTTTGTTACTCGGTATTCCATGCTGTGGAGATGTTAGCATCATGCGTGCTTGACATTCCGTAGATGAACACAAGCGGGATAAGATCGCTCCAAGGGACAGGTAGCCTTATCGAAGCTGCAACTCGATCTCGAAGACAGACGAGAGGTACTCCAGATCAATTGAACCATTTAAATATAAGCCAATCACCTGATCTTGATGAAATATAGAAAGCGAAATGGCTACCTGGAGGTTATCCTTTTCTCAAAATAATTTGATGCCGGTTACTTACGAATCACTTTCGACCATCCACCACTTCCATTTGGCGACTTAATCTGAGATTGTCTCCATGCCAAAGTAGTCTGAACCGATGTTACCTATTATCAATTCCAAACAGTGGGTACTTCATGCCAAAGTTGGAAAGTCGTGCTTGGCAGGGTCGTTTGAAGAAAGCTGGCCAAGACACTCAATGTTAAGTCAAAGCATTATGGAATTAAGTTATGCTTCCATTCCATCTTGAGTTTGTCTGTTTTCCCTCATGAAGAATAATGACATGTTTAAGGTTTGAATGTCTGCATAGTGTTTTCTCAACCACCAGGGATTCACTTCAAGTCGCGAAAAGTCGCGAAAAATAAGCGAGACGTGGGGGTTCTTCAACTGTGGAGGTGAATTTCAAACATGCTTGATATAGATGGCGTTAGAACGACTATAATCTTGTTTTGTTGATAAACAAGAGTAGACTGAGCCTTCTTTGAGGATCTGGCAAGACCAAGGAGATGAGACGACAGATCAATGTTGCACGTGATACCCCTTTTATTGCCTCCTTCCACTCTCCACTTCCCACCTGCATGCAACTGCGTCAAAATATCTGAGTCACAACTAGGAAGGTACTAGATACATCTAGGGCTGGAATATTCACTTACCTGTAAGCACCAGCAAACAATGTAAAGAACGAGCAAACAATGTGAAGAACACGCTTTATTTCATATAACACGACCCCAATCTCCAATGAACCATACTTCAACGTCAACGCGCTTCGAATTTACATGTCCAAAGCCTATATCGACTAGACCATTCCGCAACTTCATCGCTTCATATCAAAACAGAACGCCCGAGTTCAACGAGTCCACACCATTCTCAATCCTCAGTATCGTCATAGTCCCTCCTTGGTGAGCCAAACCCAAACAACGGATCGCTGACCAAGCATGCCAGTCCTTGTCTTATCCCAACCGAAATCTTTAATCGATTTCTTCATTCTGTCCTTATCATCCATCACGAGCCTCAGTCCATGCGCCCACGCACCATTCCCCTTCTCCGAGCATTCGTACATGATGTTTTTCTTATCATCCGCGTTGTTACAACCAAGCTGCTGCATCATCTCCTTGACAGTCATGGTTACAGGCACAAGCCATCTCTGGTGCGCACCAGACCCTTCCCTGTACGATGTCAACTGCCAAGGCTTCTCCTTCGACTTGAGGACATGGACCACGCAATGCTCTTGGAAATGGAGAAGGTTGTATCCGTGGGGGACACCAACACCTCCGGTTTGGTTGCGGAGATGAGTGCCTGGTGCGTCACCATCGGTGTTAGGAGCTACAGCCGGTTGTGGCATACCGAATTGTTGCGGCGGCATGAAATGTGGTGGCATAGGTGCATATCCGAACTGGAAAGGGGGTTGATAAACATGCGGCGAAGGGATAGGATAGCCGACGCCTCCAAAATGATTTGGGGGAGAAGGTCCACGGTCAGGGCCGTGAGCAGTGTTGAATCCGCCGGGAGACATGAAATGAGCCATTGATCCGAGGTAATTGGGGAAGAAGGGTTGCGAGATCTGAGTTGGAATTCTTGGGGGTGGTGGGCCAAGATCTCTTCCGTGGTGTTGATTCCACCCGTGCTTTGTCTCTACTTGTGCCGAGATATGCTCGAAGTAGCCGATGCTATGACCAGATACGGAGAAGACTTCCACGGAGCAAAAAAAGACCACCTGGACAGTATGAAGAGGGTCACAGAGCTTGGCGTATGTAATGATAGCTTTGGAGAATGGATAAGGTAGATGATAGGGGATCGTTCGCTCCTGAAGAGACGCCACGATGATTATTGTAGAAGGTGGAATTGGGCGACAGAGATTAAAGAGATGACTGCATGTATGCGTAAGATGCCATGGATGATTGTTCGTGTTGAGAAAGATTAGGAGGCATGGAGGAGATTTTATAGATTGTAGGAGAATGTCTGTGAATCACATCTTTCGGACTATGATGAGATTGTGAAGTGGGTGATTCGAATGCACCCAGTGATTCACGACGATTTGAGCCTTGTCAGGCTCATAACCAAGAACGAAAACTTAAAGATAGGCACCAAAGTTTGGCTTCCTGCTCAGAAATGCAAATGCAAATATTTGAATTGTCATGCTTGTTACGCTTCGTGATGTTCAAGGACTTAGCAGCGAAGCAGGTGCAAAGGTTTAATGCTGGATAGCAAATTAGCACAAAATGATGCTACAAGTAGAAAAAATGACAACGAAAAATGGAAACCAAATCTGCAAACAATAGCGCCCATAAAGTTATGGTTACACGCCAACATGAAGAACGGTGCGTGGACTGAAGACCAGTAGGTCTGCACTACAATCAAGAGTCGATCCAAGAGCCTTTCCATCTCACTTCCATTTCATCTTGGGTCGCCCCGGGTCATAAATACAATGATATTACATGCCAACGGTCTGAATTCGGAAATGACGGTGCAGCAAGTGCCTTAATCATTTCACCACAGCCAGCCCTTCGTAAATCTTCTTTCTGACAGCATAAAAAGTACTACGCTTGTGCATGCCAGTGCCGAAACCTGATGGCGACTCGATGCTCTCAATCTCGATCCTTCCAGTCCCAGTCTTTCTCACACTTACTGTGCCATCGATCAATAAAGTCCCTTCGCCCTTGAACTCTGATATGTGGCCAGATGCTTGCATTATCTTTTTGAGATCTGCTAGGCGAAGATCGCCAACTTGAAGGGGATGGGCGACTGATCTTGTGGCAGACACCATGCTCGAAGGTAGAACATCCAGGATGGGGACTTCCGGGGGCTGCACGACGTCAACCACATCACTCTTAGATGCCTCATCAGGATCATCTTCCAGTAATTTCTGCTTCTTGTTGCTTCCTTCTCCATCGACGCCTTGTGCCTCTTCTTGCATGGCCTCAAGACGCGCTGTAACTGTAGCAATACTGAAGCCCTTGACATTCTGCCATATCAGACGTCTGACGAGAGCATCTGTCAATTTGACAGCCCATGCGTGAGTGTCAACACTCGCATCAACAGTCACACCAATCTCAGGAGTGAACACATCGATTGCTGAGTTATCCGCAGATTGGGCAGCAAGCAACGTCCGACAATCGTTTGCGAGGCTTAATGTCTCTTCCTTCATGCCACCAACTAAAATTAGCTTGCGCGGTTGTATGAGCGGGATCAGCATGTGTAAGCTTCGCTTGTCATGCAATCCAGCAAAGTCTACGAATGCAAGACGAACGCTGAGACTGAGCGATTCAGTGGTGTATTCAAGTCTGGCAGGACCGGTAATTTCCTCCTCAACCTCGTCGTCGGATGAGTCGTCTTCCACACCTCGCTGCATGTCCGCGAGGTCAGGCGAATCACGCGAGTCTCTGCCGGTCTGCTGTCTCTTACTGTTCCCGTTGGACATACGATGGTCAGTTGGAGCCGCAACATCGTCCCATTTCCGCTTCTTGCCTAATGTATCTTTTGTGTCGTACTTGTTGGGTTGCTGGCGAACATCTTGGCCATCTTCGTCACGTTCTTCTGCACGCAAAAAGTCTTCTGGCCGGATCAATTCTCCAAAGTCATCATTCCTTTTCCGGCGGATAGCGATAGGAAACATCTTCTCGCGTCCCTTCTTTCCTCGCACATCAAAGTCGTACACACCTTTTTTCCGAATGAGAATGTTTATGCCGAGATCTTCATCGCTCAGGCCGATTTTCTTTCGGTTGGCTTGACCCATCGTTGCCGAGATGTTGAGAGCCTTACCCTGTTGTTCCGTCTCTGAACCATCCGAGTCTGAGGACGAGTCTGACGAAGCATCATCAACAATATCGGCAGAGGTCTCCAGAGAGGTTGAGGCACCTAATTGCGCGGTAGTTTGAAGTTGACGTTGGGTCGCAAGCCATTGTTGATAAACGCTCAAGTCATTACCCTCCAAGGCTACTCGCTTTGCTTCCTGAATCTGAAGTGATCTTCCACCTGTCAGAACCTGTTCTAACAACTCTCCATTTTTGGTTGTCTCTGAAACTGTGCCATTCTTCTGCTCCTCCAACCAAGACCATAGAGTTTTTGCCAGGCCGGCTTTCACTGTTTCGTTCGAGGGCTTCGCAACACGTTCCGTGAGAATGACAAGATTGCGACTGTCGTCGGCAATCTTTCGAAGCACATCTCTGGAGAAGCCCCATTCAAGAGAGGTGTCGCTTGATAGGATGACTTTGCCAACTGAACGCCCAAGATTATCGGTCTCGTTGAGAACTCGATCAATCTGCCCTCTCCTCTCGAGTAACCGTAAATGCTTGAAGTAAAACGGTCCAGCCCCGGGCCCTTCCTGATCTCCCGGATTCTTGGATTGCAGACCAGTGTTTGTCTCAAATTCTCTCACGATCGATTCATCCATCCATTCAATCATACTTCGGGTATATCGCATGGTCGCTCCAATATTCTTGCTTGCAAGATACAGCTTTGTGGTCCTCAGTGGACTGTCATCATCTGCATTTTCAGTCCGCCAGGTATTCTCCAGCAGGTATGCAAGCTCCAGCACCCGGGCACTCGAATCTGTTGGAATCAGTACAATACCACCTTTGCTGGCCGCTGACTTTATCATGTTGAGAAGGAGGTCATCTCTTTTCGCTCGTCCACCAGGGAGTGCTACTCGTTCTCCTCCACGGCTACTGCAAATAAGAGCAGTTGGTTTTCGCAAGGCCTCGATCACCTCTGCACCACCGGCACCAGCGCCCCCTAGCCAAGCAGCACCAGCCAAGACATTCTCGCGTGCTTGGTTCCAATCGACTGCGTAAACAACAGACTCCAAACCCATTTGAATATGCCATATTGTGCCACCCAAAGTATGTCCTGCATTGTAGGCAGTAATAACGAGGCCGTTGAGAGGTGGGGAAAACGGTGATGCCGTCGCTGAGCAAGGCTGCGAGTATTTCAAAGGATTAATGAGAGAGAAGTATGACGCAATTTCTTCAGAAGTAGGGGATTGAAGAAGTATGTTGGATTCCTGTCGACTAGGGGCGGAGAATGAAGTTTCAGATACGGCATCGGAGGGTATAGTCGTCGAGGCCAGAGGTGTCGAGGTGTACAAGTCCTGCAGCAGAGTCCGTCCCAGAGAGATGACAGGTAGCGTTGCATATATGGGTATCCGTGTAAACAATGGAAAGTGTTTACAGCAATGCGCAAAAGCTGCGAGGTGAGCAACTGTCGCATGCGTAAGGAGAATGAAAGACAGAGTTGGGACATGCCTATAAATCGGGTCAGCTACTTATTCAGAGCATGAACAAGGACAAGAGGCAGCAAGGCAAGGTCCGAGGGCGAAGGCGAATCTGTCAAGGCAAAAGGACGGATGAATGTCTTTTCATTGATGTCTGGTATACATTGTTGCCCGCGCTGCTATGCGCCAGACCGACGCATAGTTCCAAATGGAGGATTGAACCTACTTCTCGAGCTCTTTCAGCTTTAACACATCGAAGGTCTCGTCCCAGCCAACATCGATGAGAATTTTGACCCCTCCATCAAACTCAAGTAGAGACTGCGAGGCGGACGAGTCAGACTGCGCGCCTTGCAGTGAAGTAAAGGTGAACATCTCGAAGAACCACCCCTCCTCAAGTCAAGGCACCCTGGGAATTAAATGTCAGTCGCATGCTCTGGAAATGCTCGAATTGATGCCGTTGATCGTTCTATTCGAAATAGGTCGTCGTTGTTGGAGCTGTGTAATGGAATGGAAGGAATCGCGTCCCAAGCAGACAAAGCAAGGGCCGACTTTTAGCGCGATCAGCAACCACGTGAATTGGAGTCGGCGTTCAGACGTGCAAGTTCCGATTCTCGAAAAGTGTCAACAACACCACGAGACAAAACACTTCAAAGCCTACGACAACAACGTCTTGCGGAAAAATGTCTGAACCATGAAGAGATGAATTGAATCGATATTCAGTCTTTCTGTCAGTATCTGCGCCATTCCAGAGCATAATACCCGGTTTCAGAAGCTACAGAGCTACGCAATATCCGACGCGTATACAATATGTCTGACTACCAGCTGTACCATTCCCTTGGTCAAGGAGGTCCAAACGACGACCCAAACAATCCAAATAGAAGTGGACAACCGGCCCCTCCTCATTTTCAGCAGCCTGTCGCACCCTCTCCATATCAACAGCCTGGCGCAGGGTATCCTGGGCAGCATCCATACGATCCCCAGATGGGAGGAAATCCGTCCCCTTACGGAGGGACACCAGACCCAGGCTATTTCCCAAATCAAGGCGTACAACAGAATAACGATGGAGGGCTGGCAGCACAAATGGGAAACCTAGGGCTTGGAGAAGTCGCGACACATGGGAGAAGGAAGAAGAAGGACAGACATGCATACCACAACGTCGAGCCGACTGGCTCTTCTGCAGCATTCAATGGCATACCCCAAGGTGGTGTTCCTCAATCTGCTTTCCTGAATGCAGATCCGTCGGCGATGCCAAGTCCAGCTCCTGGAGCGCAGTTTTTGAATACAGAAATCACTCATCAAATGTCCCAATTTCCTGCTCCTGTCAATGCCCCTTTCAATCCTACGAATCCGGCGACGCAAACCGAATTTGCTTCTCGGAATGGGGCACCAGATCCAGGCTTCTCAGCGAACATGCAGACATCAGCTCAAGGTCGAGTTGACCCAGATCAGATTCCTAGTGTCCCGCGATCAAGGGATGCAATCGCACAGTATTATCTGAGCCATGTGTATCCAACTTTTGAGCATCACACTCCACCTCCAGCTTCCGTGTCATTTGTCGCTTTCGATCAAGGCAATTCCTCTCCTAAGTTTACCCGTCTCACCATGAACAACATCCCTTCCACCTCTGAAGCTTTGCAGTCAACAGGATTACCTCTTGGACTACTATTGCAGCCTCTTGCTCCCTTACAAGCAGGCGAGCTCGATATACCTGTTCTAGATTTCGGCGACGTTGGTCCCCCAAGATGTCACAGGTGCCGAGCATATATCAACCCCTTTATGGTATTCCGATCTGGAGGCAACAAATTTGTCTGCAATATGTGCAATTATGCGAATGATGTGCCACCAGAATATTTCTGTGCCATCACACCACAAGGGGCTCGTGTTGATAGGGAACAACGACCAGAACTGATGCGCGGTACTGTCGAATTCCTGGTTCCCAAAGAATATTGGTCTAAAGAACCGGTTGGACTGCGGTGGCTGTTCTTGATTGACGTCGGACAAGAATCCTTCAACAAAGGCTTTCTAGAAGCGTTCTGCGAAGGCATCATGGCAGCTCTCTATGGCGGCGACGAGGAGCCTGCCGAAGATGGAAAGGTTCAGAGAAAGATACCGGAGGGATCGAAAGTTGGATTTGTCACGTTTGATCGAGACATTCACTTCTACAATATGAACGTAAGTTTACAATCCATCCCTTGAGCAGTTTCAGACTAACGAACATGCTAGCCTGCGCTTGATCAAGCTCAGATGATGATAATGCCGGACATCGAAGATCCATTTGTCCCTCTCGGTGAAGGGCTTTTCGTGGATCCATACGAGGCTAAGTACGAAGCATGAATCCTTCATTATTATGATACTAAGTAACGACAGGTCAAATATCACTTCATTGCTTAGTCAACTTCCAGCTTTGTTTTCACAAATCAAAAATCCAGAGCCAGCACTGCTACCAACCCTGAATGCTGCGTTAGCCGCACTTGAGAAGACCGGTGGCAAGATTATATGCTCCTTGGCTGCCCTTCCAACTTGGGGTCCTGGCCGGCTATTCCTTCGCGATGATGGCAAGCAACATGGGGGTGATGCCGAGAAGAAACTTTTGCAGACTGAGCATCCGGGATGGCGAAAGGCTGCTGAGAAGATGGTCACAGCTGGAGTCGGCGTGGATTTCTTTCTGGCTGCACCTGGTGGTGGATATCTTGACATTGCCACCATTGGTAAGTGTTGTCCTTCTAAGCCCAAGCAATCAATCATTAACGTAGCTGCAGGGCATGTTTCAGCTGCAACTGGCGGCGAAACCTTCTACTACCCCAACTTCGTCTCACCAAGAGATACTGAGAAGCTGTCTCAGGAGATCATGCATACCGTGACCAGAGAAACTGGATATCAAGCATTGATGAAAGTCCGATGCTCAAATGGTCTGCAGGTAGCTCACTACCACGGCAACTTCATTCAGCACACTTTCGGAGCAGATATTGAATTTGGTGTCGTTGATGCAGACAAGGCTATGGGCGTCATGTTCAGTTATGACGGGAAGCTTGATGCCAAGCTCGACGCCCACTTCCAAAGCGCATTGTTATACACGACAGCAAGTGGCGAGCGACGAGTCAGGTGCTCGAATGTGATCGCAAGCGTCAGCGACAATGCTAAGGACTGCATGAAATTCGTGGATCAAGACGCGGTCTACACGTTAATGGCCAAGGAAGCTGCTGTGAAGATGACTTCACATTCTCTCAAAGAAATCCGAGGAGGTTTGACGGAAAAGAATGTTGATATTCTTGCTGGGTATCGCAAAAACTTCTCGGGATCGCATCCACCTGGCCAGCTTGTCCTCCCGGAAAATCTCAAAGAGTTCAGCATGTATATCCTGGGTCTTATCAAGTCACGAGCATTCAAGGGCGGACAAGAACCTACCGATCGGAGAGTACACGACATGCGGATGATAAAAGGTATGGGTGCTTTGGAGTTATCGTTGTACCTTTATCCTAGGATGATCCCGATTCACAACTTGGCTCCCGAAGATGGGTTCCCGAACGCCGATGGTCATTTACAAATGCCGCCGTCCATACGTTGCTCCTTCTCGAGAGTCGAAGAAGGAGGCGTATACTTGATCGACAATGGCCAGAACTGCTACTTGTGGATGCATGCGCAAACTTCACCGAACCTTCTCATCGATTTGTTTGGCGAAGGCAAGGAGGAATTGAAGACGTTAGATCCATACAGCTCGTCATTACCCATCTTACAAACGCATCTTAGTGCCCAAGTACGGAACATTCTTGAATACCTGAAGACTCTGCGCGGTTCAAAAGCTTTGACAATTCAGCTGGCACGTCAAGGATTGGATGGTGCTGAGTATGAATTTGCGAGACTACTGGTGGAGGATAGAAACAATGAAGCACAAAGCTATGTGGACTGGTTGGTGCACATTCATCGCCATGTGCAATTAGAGGTGAGTCTCAGTTATGGGACACCGTTGGAAAGCAAAAGCTGACACTTCTTAGTTGACTGGCCAGCGAAAGAAAGATGACAGCGGTGATAACTCCATCGCATCGAACTTCGCAGGATTGCGACCTCCGTACTGGTAGTATGGTTGCATGTACCAACATTCTTGGGTCAAATGGCAATTTTCTGTCATAATGTAGGTATATTTAGCGTGCATAGAGAGACAAAAAGTGCAAAGGATTGATTTGATACCCAACCATAGCTCCTTACAGTGTTTCTCTTCCCTAGATTTCAGAATTTGTGATCGTATTGCGCTAATTTAGAGCCGCTACGGTCGTCGCTACCAAAAATTCCAGCAGACTATCACTAACTCGCAAAGCATAACACCAAGCCCCAAACTCGGATCACTTAAACTTTCAACTATTTATCCCAATCCGAGCACTCCTTTCCGCTCGATAAACTTATCGCGGAGGCCCGCGACATAGGAGAAGAGAAAGTTCGTAGCATCTTCACAGCAATTATCCCACATCATTATCAGGCCTGGACCTTTCCAGCTTCGCGGTCCTGCCTTCTCAAACCAAATCATTCTTCCAACATAGGATTCCGCTATGCCGAAGCCGGATTATGCTCTTGTACTCCTGCCTGAAACGGAATCTTCATCCATTGTAGATGTCGGCGCCGCTGCGACCGTTCAGTCTCCTATCTCATCTCTGCAACATACACGCCCACCGCCAACATTCCATCCCTTCAGGAGGCTGCCACCCGAGTTGCGTATCGCTATTTGGAAGTATTCATTGCCCGACGCTCGATTGATCCCCGTGATATATCGAGCCTCGGTACAAAGATACATCCATTATGTCCCGATTCCGGCTCTTATGCACACAACGCGAGAATCTCGGGCGGAGGCGAAGCGGGTCTACCACGAGCTCACCTTGGGCGATGTTACTTCCAGGGTCAAACCTGGATGCTATGTTGACTTTTCAAAGGATCTGGTCTTCCTTTCTGCTGAATTTCAGGGCATGCGCCCAATACTCGAAAATTTCAAATATTTCTATAACAAAATCTGGGAACGACATGGACTTTGCGTCGTGAGCCCAGATTTTCGAGAAATGTGCGTGCGTTTGTACCTGAAGACAGCGGCTTGGTCATCGTCGGTTTGGTGGAATTTTCGGCCTTCTTTCTCTGCATGGCATTCGGTAGCCCGGAATATAACCTACCACCTCCTTACGAGTCGCGATGGCCAGCGCCTTTTACGAAACCTCGTGGTGAATTTCGAAACCTGGGAAATGATCCGGTCGAAGTTGTATTCCCTCCGACAACCCTTGAAAATGTTTCCACTCCGAAGTTTGAACATTTTGGTGGAACGAGATGATGGTTCGCCTGTCGTGGCTCCACGGCTACTCAAACCCAGATATTGTCGCAGGGCGGATTTTCCCAAGGAGCTTAAATGTCACGAGCCCCTCCATCAACTCCTTGCGCTAGAGAAATACGACATGAATAGCTACTTTCGCATTATTGGACGAACCGAGAAGCTCAAGCATAGAGTATCAGTCATCTTCCTGTGGTAAAATGAGCGGATGGAGAGATAAGAATAGAAGGAGTACGTCAGCGTGCGAAGATGTTCAACCTCTGGGAGAGAGCGCATCTTTAGTGTATGGTATACCAAGTAGAGGTCCATGACTTTGGGCTGATACTTGGTCTGTTGGCGCTGCTTTGATAGCATTCGGGTTGTACCTTTAGTACAGATTCCATCACCTTGTGTGGGCCCCTTTGCAGAAAGAGAATTGAAATAGAAACAATTGCCAGTTCTGGAAGATTTCAATGACCGAATGTGCATTTTACTCATGCTACTACTTGCGTCTTCTCCATCTTCCGTCCTCCAGCCAAGTACTCATCACTCCAAGCACTTCCCTCGCCTTCTCTCTCGAAGTACTCCATCTTGACTACAGAAATGCGTCAGTGAGCCACTCCACGTTAAGTTGTAATGCAGACTCACTTTCAGCAGTCCACAAAGGCTTCGACTTCTCCCACAAGGCTGCATAGTAGGGCTTCGTCAATTGTTCCTGGAGTGCATTATATCAGCAAATGTCGCAGTTCCCCAGTGATCGCCATTGAATATATACCTTCTCAAACCACTCCCGTCCCTTGCTCCATACCTCCACGAACCGAAATCGTCCAGGACTTTCTGGATCTTGAAAGACATCAAATAGCAAGCATTCGGGTTCTTCGGAACATGCCTTCCATACTGGTCTATGGGCTTCCTTGAATTTCTCGATGTTGGATGGATCAACTTGGATGGTCACAAAGAGGGTGAGTTGTTTCTTTGGTTCTGAGCCTGGATCTGGGTTCTTGGGGGCCATGATAGAGGCGTTGAGTCGCGGTGTTGCCATTTGATCCGAATGGCGGGGTTGATTGCGGGTTAAGGATAGAAGTCGGAGTTTTTTTGGGTGGAAGTGTTCTTGTGAAAACACCTTTGAGTATGAAAAATGACTATTATATAAGATGCTTCGATAGCTTACAAATTGATATGAAAGTGGTTGAAAGGGTGAGGGGGCCAATGACGAGTGCCAAGTTCCAGGCAGTTCAGCGACTCGACCCACAGTACTATGACCCGCTGACAGAAGTCACTTGTAAGTTAAAGGAACGCATAGTGAAGTTATTGTTCTTGAAGAGGCATCTCCTTCAGAGATATCTAAGTCCTGTTACTCGTTCCCTAGTTCATGCGTCTTCTTGTGTAGCGACATAATTGTGGTAGCTTCCAGCTGCCCGCGCAGTGAATGTATGCGCAGGCTTGGATGACTTGACCTCGAGTCCGTTTGCATCTTCTTGATCCAGGCTTCCCCAAGCTCCTCCTCCAGGAGTGTGCACGACACATCTATCGCCAGCGGCCATATCAATCTGCCCTTTGGGACCAATCGATAACCAGGTGTATTCACCATTCTCCCCCTTCTGCACCCAATAATTCGCCCCGAGATGTCCTGCCTCGCCACCTTCCATACCGTAAGGTCTAATCACTCGTCTCTCTGTCACAAGACTGAACATCAGAGGGACACGGCACTCAATATCTCTGGTTATGCCACTTCCACCGTTCCATTTGCCCTTTCCGCCGCTCCCTTCACGGATGGAAAATTCACGGACAATGACCGGATATCGCTTCTCAAGCACTTCCGCATCTGTTGTCCGAGTATTTGTCATGTGGACTTGTACCCCACTGGCACCATGCCACCCAGGACCAGCACCAGACCCACCGGCCATCGTTTCGCCGTACTGATATGCAAGGACGGACTTATCTTTGGCAGCCCGGCCGAAGAAGCCGAAGCAGTTCATGCATCCTTGCGAAGCGGCAGCTGCTCTGAACGCTTTAAGCAACAGGTCCACAAGACGCTGAGATGTCTGGGTGTTGCCAGCACAAACAGCACGCTCTGTAGATGGATTCAGGAAAGTCTTCTTGGGGATAATGATCTTGGTTGGTGCTAGACAGCCTTGATTCATCGGAATATCGGATCCGATGAGAAGTCGTAGAGTATATATGAGAGCAGAGTACGTGATCGCTGGAGGTGCATTCATATTGGACAGCATTTCGCACGTAGTGCCTGTGAAATCGAATGTCCCAAAACCAGTTTCGTCAATCGAAATTCTGACACACATCATTGACCCGTTGTCCATGTAGTCCTGTGATATTAAGTCGGTGCCAGAGCCAAATTTCTCTCGTGCACCTTTAAGATAACCTCGGACAGCGATCTCGGCGTTTTCTTGGATCTTTCTCATATAAAATTGAACGACAGACTGCCCATATTCTTCCATGAGTGCTTCGATAAGAAGGCGTCCTTTATTGTTGGCCGCAATTTGGGCTTGAAGGTCGCTCAAGTTCTCTGTTGGCCTTCGCGCCGGCGCACACCCAGGATAGTCTCCTGGTTTCTTGAGGATTTCCAAGATCCCCTCTTCGTCAAATTTGTTGTCTCTGACAAGGAAGAAAGACTTGATGGCAGCTCCTTCGTGCCAGAGAAAGAGGGAAGCTGGATTCATTGACGTGCCACCAAGCCCGCCGATATCTGCATGATGATCACGAGATGCGGTGAAGAAGCAGATTTTAGTGCCCGTGCTATCGAATACAGGCGTGATAACAGTGATATCTGGCAAATGAGTGCCACCAGCCTCTGTACAATGTTAGTGTTAAAATTCAAGTTGAAACTTTCAACGTACCAGGATGATTCGAGACAAGAACGTCCCCAGGGCGAAGGTTAGCACCATGGATCTCTTGCTGGTATTTGACAGCATAGCTCATGCTTCCCAAATGTACGGGAACATGAGGAGCATTCGCCACAAGCTCTCCATCCGGTCCGAAGATCGCACAAGAATAATCGAGTCTTTCTTTGATGTTCAATGACAAACTCGTTCTCTGCAAGGTTCGACCCATCTGCTCGGCTGGAAATGAGTTAGCCCAAGGCTACTATAGCTTAAAGGCATGACATTGGAATGTTATAGGAAGACGTACCGATGCCCATGAAACGGTGACCAAAAACAGAAAGTTGAACCGGATCTGCTGCCACTGGCAATGAATCTCCAGCAGCAGCTATCTTTGTTTCACCCAAGTCGACAATCACATGGGATGTAAGAATGCTAGCTTTGGAGCCAGGTACAAGGACGATAGTCTGTGTCTTGTCAATGATGATAGCAGGTCCTGAAACATAGCTTCCTGGTTTGAGGCCGTCGAGAAGGAACAGAGGAGCCATCTGATACCCGGAGGAATCAAAGTACACCCCGACCTGGATATTATTAGCTACAGTGAAGAGTCCCCCAAGCTACAGAGCTCCTCTTACCTGATGAACAGCGTCGCTGTCTTTGACTGATGTAGCCTGTTCGATCGCTTTCATCTCTTCCACGAGTACTTCGCTGTCCTGCATGACTTCTCCATTGCCACCAGTCCCTCGAACACGAACATCATCTACCAACACTTTTCTTGTTGCTGGGAAGATGAAAGATAATTCTCGCAAATGCTCTTTCTCGAACAGTGCTCGGTAGTCCCCGTCTGCAGGCTCGGGTATCATCAGTTGAGTTTCTGTTCCTTCGTACCTCAGATGGAGATATTTCTGGTACTTGATGTCCTTCGCATTGATTTCTTGTCCCAACAACCCGTCTCTGACTCTAATTTGCAGCTCATCTAGAGCAACTTGGAGGCGTGGCAAAGACTCGGTGGAATATATCTCGTTGCTTGGCTCTTGCGCTTCTTGTACGACTTCTGCGAGTGCCATTCCATATGCTGACAAAATACTGGAGAACTTATGGATGATGATCCTGTTAATCCCAAGCTTCTTTGCAAGCTCGCAAGCATGTTGGCCACCAGCACCACCGAAGACACTAAGATTATGTGCTCCCGTTTCGTATCCTCGAGCTTCCGTAATTGCGCGTATTGGCCGACTCATCGACTCGTTTGCAACATCGATGAACCCCATAGCTACTTCTTCGACCGTTTTTGTCTTACCACTATCAGCATTGATCGTGTCTGTCAGCTCTCTGAATTTTTCCGCTACAATCTCTGTATCTAGCGGCAAGTCTTCGGTTGGACCGAAGATGGATGGAAAATAGGAAGGTATGAGCCTGCCAAGAAACAAATTCGCATCAGTCACCGTCAAGGGACCACCTTTCCGATACGAGGCAGGGCCAGGGTGAGCACCAGCACTCTGGGACAGTTGTCAGCACCAGTCTAGGTAAGTTCATAATGACTGACCTCCGGTCCAACTTGGAAAAGACCATTTTTCCAGGAGAGAATACTTCCACCTCCAGCAGCAACCGTATTAATATCCAACTGGGGACCTACAGTAGATTAGCTCCTTAGGTTCTTAGGAGTAGGAACCGAAAAAGATAGAACTCCACCGTTAGTTCAACAGCTGGTGAGGATAAACAACGAAGGGGTTTGATGCTTACTTTGTATCACTATGCCGGCTGTCGTTGTTTCAAAGACATGAGTAAAGCTGCCTCCATATCGACTGACATCGGTTGAAGTCCCACCCATATCAAATCCTACCAATGGTCTCTTGCCATCATAAGATGTCCTAGCATACCCTACAACTCCGCCTGGAAGCACGTTCAAGATTAGTCAACTTTCCAAGGGTAGCGGGACACAATATCTAAAGCCGTTGACTTACCGGCAGGGCCACTGAGAATTCCTCTAAGGCCGCTGAAGACTTTATGGTTGACTAGTCCTCCATCGCTCTGCATGAATTCGCACTTCACACCATCGAGATTTCCACCTTCGAAACCACGAGCGAATGTATCTACATAGGCTTTGATTTCAGGTGTCAAGTAAGCATCTGCAGAAGCTGAACTACCACGAGCCAGCATCCGGATCATCTTCGCTCCAACAGTTGATGACAGCGACACATGTCGGAAGCCAAGCTCGGAGGCCAGTTCTGCCATGCGGAGTTCATGATCGGGGAATATATACGAGTGACAAAAGCATATCGCTAAAGCATCGATTCCGTCTGTCTTCAAAGCGAGAAGTTTCGTCTTAGCTTCCTCCTCGTTGAATGGCTGAATGATTCGAACAAGCTCTCCAGTACTACCCTTGACTAGAACGCCTGGTATAAGGTCTTTCTGCGAAACGGTAGGTGATGGATCTTCACTGAACTCCTCGACCGTCACGCGTTCATCGATCTCCACCACTTTGTCGTACAACGTTTCAGGCTTGCGGATATTCAAATCGAAGAGTCGCGGTCTTGCTTGGTTCCCAATATCGATCAAGTCACGGAACCCTTTAGTCACAACTAGCGCATGGCGTGTGCCTTTCCTCTCTAGTAATGCTGTAATAACATCAGAATTTGTTCCTGTATTTATTTATCCCGTGTTTATCCTACCATTTGTAGCCACCGTTGTGCCCATGCGAATGGAATGGATATGATTCTTCGGAAGAGGGGCATTGCGTGGTATTGAGGTACCAGTGACCTGCTCGAGGACTCGGCGAATGCCTTCAGAGGGCGCATCGGCATAGTTGCTTGGGTCGACAGAGAGAAGCTTAAGAACAATATCTGGTTGTCCTGGGACAGATGCCCATACGTCCTTTGGAAATTGTAAGCAAGTTTCGTAGAGCCTAAGATGAATGTGTCTTACCGTGAATGTTCCACCACGGTCTGCAGAGGTCAGCTCAACATCTCCTCCAGTTTGGCAATACCATCTTGTTCAGCGACTTACCAATGGCAATTTTGATGGATCTGGAGAGTTCGTCCGACTCTATGAAGTGTGGTGACATCTTCTGCCAGCAATGAGGATAGACAAGAAAGTGTTCTGTAGCAGAAGAATATAAAATATGGAAAGGATAAATTAACAGTGTCAGTGTCTGAAGTTGTATACTGTGCAGATATACAACTACTTCAGCAGCTCTGCGGAGTGGTATCGTACTGGATCACACTGATACACGTCTCATGCCCGACTTCGGGACCCAATCGATGAGGGTGGACTCTGATGCCGCAGATGTCTAGAAAGCTCGTCCTCCGAGGTTGAGCTCCCAACTTGGGTGTCAACAAGATAGACGCACTGCAGTCAGTCACCATTGGCAGAGTCTGGCTCAATCGCTGCGAAAGTACCATCTTGATCTATCTTACCTGTAGAGGGTGCGCTTGCACCTGCCTACATACATCGCTGTATCTTGCATGGCCATGATTCGGATGAAAGTGAGTGAAGCATGAACGCGTCCGATGCACGATGGCGGAAGACCCCACACAAACAACCAAAGACGCTAGGCTATCCCTATCCCAGATTAGTGCGTCTTGAACCAACGCTTCGACCTTCCACGACTCTGGACCTTATCTCAACTTCCACCTCGACTGAACATGCCCACTTTTGCAGTAAGAACGACTACCACGTCTTGATTGCTACAAATTTATCCATGGCACGTCGAAGTAGATGTGCTATCATCCATGGAGGTAGCAAGTGTTCCGCCTCCACATTGCCACAGTCCAACCAGAAAAGGATATGCGATTATCCGCCAAAGTCCGTCTCTGAAGTACAACCCTCTGGCAAGTCCATAATAGATTCTGTTTATCTTTACTATCTTCAAGTCTTATCTCGGTCTGGCTCAAGTGAACCCTGCTCCTCTCCATCATAGCTTTCGATTGCTCGCAGTGACTAGACATAAATACTTGCTTCGTCACGATTAGGATCTGTAGTTGAACCCTTCACTCCTGATTACTCACACGCTGCAGCAAGATGGGAACAACAGAGAAAAGACGGTCTCTGCAGTCTCCGAGCCTCAAGAACAGATCATGACTGTTGAGTCTGATGTCGACGGCAGCGAACAAAACTCAAAAGGGCTGCTTGGCGGCTTCGACCTCCAAAAGATTGATAAAGCAGCCGAGTTTTTGGCCAACAATGGACCTTATCCGCCAATGACTCCCGAGCAAGAGAAACGATTGTTGAAAAAGATTGATGGTTGGATGATCTCGTTTGTGAGTTGAAAAATAACTCAGACGACTTCCGCGTGTCTAATGTCGGCACAGTTGATGTTCTTTGCGATCCTCAGTGCAGTTGACAAGGTGGAATTATCCACTGCAGCACTGTATGGCTTCGAAACGGATAATGGCTTGAAGGGGCAACAATACAGTTGGTGTGGAAGCATTCTGTCTCTTGGTGTGCGTACACGATTGTCTTGATTTCAACATTCGAGCTAACATGGGATAATATAGATGATCACCGGGACTTTTCCGTTGACCTATTTGGTCCATCGACTTCCCACAGCTAAATTTATGGCAATTTGCTCTATAATCTGGTCCTGCTGCACTTTGTTGATGGCTGTCGAAGCCCGCTTCAGCGGCATCATGGCCATTAGGTTCTTTATGGGATTCTTCGAAAGCATCATTCAACCTGCTTTGATGTTAATCATTGGAAATTTTTGGAAGATTAAGGAGCAGCCGTGGAGGATTGCGTGTAAGCTCTAGAATGGAAACATTGAACTGGTCTCAGCTGACGTTACATTAGTCATCCTAAGCGCTTTCTCCTCCGTCGTCAATGGATTCTGGTCTTGGGTCGTTGGACAAATCCCCGAAGACGCCCCTCTGAAGAGATGGCAATATCTTTTCCTGATCACCGGATCTATCAACATTCTTTACTCCCTGTTTTTTTTCTTCTTCCTGCCAGACTCTCCCATGAATGCATTCTTTTTGAGCAAGGAAGAGAAATGGCACGCAGTACAACGTCTAGCAGAAAACAAGACAGGCATGGAGAATCATAAATGGAAATGGGAGCAGGCCATTGAGAGTGTCCTCGATCCTAAATTCTGGCTGCAGTTCTTCTTCAGCATCGCCATCAACATCAGTAACGCAGCTTTGATCACATTTGGACCTCTAATCATCAAAGGCTTGGGTTACAACTCTCAAACATCCGCTCTTCTATCGATGCCTACTGGTGTTATGTCGACGCTATCTGCTCTGTTCTTCTCCTTCATCGCAGGCAAATGGCGCAATCGTCGATCTCTCTGTGTGATGATGGCTTGTGCCCCTCCTTTAATCGGTACAATCCTTGCCTATGTCTTGCCACGAACAAATCTGGGCGGCCAAATGGTCGGATTGTACTTGATGTATATGTACTGGGGTAAATTATCTTCCACCTGGGTTTAATGATCCGCAGCTAACCACTTACCAGGTCCCTACAGTACGGCACAGACTCTGGTCTTGGCGAACACAGCTGGACATACCAAGCGAGCAGTAACATACAGCATGCTGCATGTCGGATATGCGGTAGGGAACATGATCGGACCACAGACGTTCCGAGCTTCGCAAGCACCACGCTATACCGGCGGCATGATATCGGCTCTGGTAACCTTTGTCCTTTGCGCGGTTTTTATGGGAGCTTATTGGGTTGTGGCCGTGATGCAGAACAGGCGCAAGGATAGGGAGCATGGCAAGGTTGTTGTGGTAGACACTGCTGAGGTAGAAGTCCTCGTCGCTGAATACTTGGATAAGAGTGATGGCGAACAGCCTTACTTCAGGTATGTGACATAGGAAGTGACGAAATTTGGAGACTATCTGGGAGAGTTCTGCAGAAGAACATGTATGCGTCTACGAAAGGCTCAATGCAGACTATCGAAACATAATGCCATTAGAACACCAAATCTCATGGTTTTAATCTGCATCGAATTTTTTGTACAATACCCAGACTCCGAACCAAATAGATTCCGCGATCACATTAGGCTCAACTCACCACCATCTCTCAGCACAATATCTTGTACCACCTCCCACCCTACCCCATCTGAGCCTCTAATGTCCCTCAGCCTCCAAACACTCTCCACAATTCTCCTCGCTCGCTTCACATTCCCCAATTGTCTGGTCTGCTGTAAGTCTTCAAATCTCTCCAGCACAACCAATTTATCCTCGTCCCTCTCGCTCTGGACACCCATCACTCCTACTATATACAATGGCCATAGGATGGTGTTACTCCAGACTCCGATCTTTGGCAAAAGTTCAAGAATTTGGGAAGTGAGACGTGCCATGTGAGGTTGATATGGAGAAGAGCCATCAAGTCGAAAATGGAGATATAAGAGTGCAGCCAGCCGTTTGGCGTTAGCGATGCTGGTAATCTCTTCTTGGGAAGGCGGATGACCGTGATCTGATCCTCGACTTTTAGCTGAAATGTTTTGTCTGAGGTTGTGAAGCTGGCGTTCGATGGCATCTCGTCGATATTGGATCTTGTCTAACATAGATCTTTGTATACTAGATGATTTAATGTTGACTTTTTCATGCGCGAGATCAGATATTTGGGAAATCAGTGATAGAAGTTCGTGCGAAACTCCAGCATCGCTGTTCATGTCTTGGACATTTACCCCTGGTGTCAGCCAAGATGTTACACGAGATCCACATTGGGCAGCCGTGCTAGCCAACGCCTCATGCGAGTCGAAATAACATGAGAAGAAGTCGAGGAGAGATTCTTGATCAATTGAGAGCCTCGCTGAAGTCACTTGAGGTAGAGATCGTAAGCTTCGAGCAACATCCAAATGACTTCTCCATGTGGACGTCCCTCTATCCGAGACCTGTACTTGTCAAAAATGTTGGAAGAGGACATCGAGCAAAATTCTTACATCGAAGAAACACAGCATGAGCACCGTTGCTAAGATGTCCTGAGCAATGCTTGTTAGCACATTTCCGTTCTCCGAAAATCTTCAAACTCACCTCCCAACCCGACCAATCATTCTGGATCCTGCAATCTTGAATCCTCATTTGCAGAAGTTTCAGGGCTTTTCCGCGATATACCCAAACATCCTCGTTGTATCTAGAGTCATTCAGGATCCGTAGTTGATTTGCCGAAGCGGCCAGTACTGCATGCAGCAGCATGGTAGATCCGGTTCCAAATGTCAGTCGCAGAATTATGTTGCGGTATGGATTACGGGCTCCGAAACCCCGACACCATTGGGCAAGTTGAGTCCGAAAGTAATCAAGCAAATATGCCTCAGTTGCGCTAAAAACAAAGGACCCAGGAGATAGTGGTTTGGGCAACCTTGAACTTGGTGGAGAGGGGAGTCCGGTAACGTTCCCAGGATAAGCCATCGACAGATGTTCAAAGCTAATTGAAATGCTGCTCTGAAAATATTTTTGTTCGATAGAAGTATTTGGCGTATAGGCCCGAACTCCATCATTGCTGAATGGTTTTGCGGAGTCAAGAAAAGGTGATGAAGCTCTCGGCGACCCTGAAGAGTAAACAAATGAAATCGTCTCACTCATGTCTTTCACTCTCGTCCGTCCATCATCGTCTTCAAAATCACGGGTTTCTGTATGGAGGAACATCCATTCTTTGACTGGTCTGGCAGAAAGAAGTTGAGAGTTTGTCTTGGCCGAAGCGGATTGGCTGAGTTGCAACTGCCCTCCACCGGAAACGTCTTTTCCAAAACCACGCTTCCTCTTCAAGTTTCTATTCGTACCTAGTATCGAAGTATGAGTCCGACAGTAGAGTATTGCTCGAGGAGAGGATCGAACCTGAGCGACCTAATGCAATTCCTCTTGAATCGGCTTCATCTTGCCAAAGTAGTTTTATGCCATAGATGCATGGCTTGACAGACTTTTGGCAAGCTGTACAACTTGGTTTTCGTTCTGAAGTGACTGATCAGCTCCAAGTTTTTCTTGTCGCGGTGGATGCACTATTTACCATCGCATCTTGTTTTCTTTTCTACGGATGTTTTCGGTCAATACAGATGCTCACATAAAAAGGTGGGGAAGTTGAGGATGTCTCACCTCGACATTTCCAGCAGCCGGTACGATACCGGCGTTTGAACTCTTTATCTTGTGTCCTGTGACCCATTTTCTGAATGCCGTTCAAACAGTCTCACAGATGTGTGCGTTGTTTCGTATTGTCATCCTGTTCTCCATGTGAAGCTGTCTCGGATAACGTGGGGCCGAAGACTATGATGGGGCTGACTATCTGTTCAACATAAATTGAAGGGGTATGAACGCGATAGTTCTCAAGCAAACTATTGGCTGAGTGTGATGGGATCAGCCCTGGCTTCGTTCCTGGAGCGACACCCACAAGCCCGCCGAAAGTGGGATATAGGAAAGCCAATGGGAAAACATCCAAAGATTCCAACTTGGAAAGCTCTATCGCTTCGACCTGCCAGGGATCCGTTTCTAATCGTGGAGATTAATGTCTTTGAAATCACAAATCTTCCTTCCGAGAATAGTCACTGACTTTGAATTATGAATGGACTGTAACATACGAGCCGATGACGAGGGTACTTCGCGAGTAATGCTTGAGGAGACTATGTTGGCACTGGAACAATCGAGGACAGCCAACAGCACAACCAGAGATGTAAACGAAAACAAGCTGGAGGAATCTTTCAGAACATTGCGAGTGTTTGATTGCTGGGAGCCAAAAGACATTTCATCGATGGAATAAATGATCATGGAAAGTAACAAAACGGAACGCGGGGTACTGATCACGTGTCAATCGTTCAGACCACTATATGTAGGCGGACGATGTAATATTCGGCGTACTAAGGTTGTGTCTTAACTCGGGAGAGGACACTCAAGAAAGGACTCATCGACAAGCTTCCGTGAATTGTAACTGTGGACAGCTTCAAACAAAGAGCCCGAGATTCCATATCGACAAGCGAGAACTCATGTTCAAGGCCCCTCGACATACCGAAGTCCGAGAGTCACTATCTTCATTCGAAGTCAGAGCCTCATATATGATATTAACACATGTTATATACTTCCGCTTTTACTGACTTACCAACAGCAATTAATGCTGATGACCGAAATATTCCTTCCGCACCTCAGCCCATTCCTCAGCAGCCGAGTTATCTTTCATCCAATCCATTATACGATCAAAGTTCTTACACATGTGGCTCGCGTTGAAGTCCTCCGTTACTGGAGATTTCCCATTCGGCGTTTTGTACATCAAATATGGAGTCAGATCTGCATTGCATGTCAAGGCCTGTCTGAGGACCTCAATACAATGAGCAACGTGCAGTCTGTTTACTTCTCTTTGCGATTCTCCATTGCCTTTCAATAGACTTGGGGCTTGATCTTCCGGGTAGAAGTCCACCCATACATACTGTCGTATGAAGTTCAGGCAGTGAAGGTGATGGAATACCTCAATCTCTCCTATAAACCCGGAAGAATTGCGTACTGTGACCTCGACGAAACCCTGCTCGATGCTTCTATTCAAAGAAGGGATTCGATCTGGAGGGATGAGGACAATTCCTGCTGCAAAATCCGATGTCAGTCTTGTTCCTATTGTGCAATCGAAATGGAGCTTCAAGTACAATTTGCTATCTCTGACCATTTCCCCTCCAACTCAGGCGTTGGAGGACCACTAAACTCTGACGCAGAAAGGCCGCTCGTCCAATCTTTCTGTTCATATTCAACAGCTTCGAGGATTGGAGCTAACCAGAGACCTCATCAGTAACGTTTCTGGACGGAAATCAAATCCTTGACGGATATTTGGACGGGCAAACTCACACCAAATACTGAGTTGGGCAGTGCATTCTTTGTCAGAAGGTACCGATCGATGAGCGGCAAGGAGCATAAAGATACCACTTAGAAAGGTGAAGACGCAAATACATCGCCATGTTGTCTCAGACCAGCGACTAGGAGCATTGGGCTCCGATTTAGTGTTGGATAGTGTCAGTTCTCCTCCTTCTAACTTCGAGTATTCGTGCTGTGTATGAATATGGCCCCATATAGGAGGTTTTGCCATAGCGAATAGATGGTGACAACTTCTGTAACGAACTTCGAGGGGAGCGGATGAGTTGGTTGAGGGATGATACTGATGTGGCAAGTGTTGTTGAAAAAAGACATGTGCTTACTCATGGTTACGGGACGCATAATACATGCAGCATCATATAAAATAGTAATACAACCGTGCTGACAATGATCACCATGCGGCGCGCGCAAACTTAGTACCAGCTGAATAAACTCAGTAGTAAGATTTAATATACTCAAAATCTTAGCGCGCGCGCTGCAGCTTACGGTCCACAAACGTTCGAGAGACAGGAATGGCATCAATAATTCGGCGAGCATTCTCCCGACGCGCATTGAGACATGTGGCGGGGGAAAGGGATGGATGATTCACTGTACGACGAACAATTGAAATGACACTTTGAGAGTGACATTTAGTACACGGAGTACATGATACACAGATGATCACTTCTCAACTCAGATTTCTGCTCAAGAGACTCTTTTTGCGAAGTATATCAAGAAGTACCAGCTACTCAGTTGAATTCAAATTCATTCGCTTCCAAAAAGAAGAACACCTGGCTTAAAACCCGGATCTATAAAGTGAAAACCGAATACAGAAGCGCAATATGACCCTCGCACTCGCCCCTCCGGTCTTGAAAATACAGATTGATTCCTTCACGAATAACTCGAATTTGTCCAAACTCTGAACGTGCAATCATGTAAATAGCAGATAGGAACACTCTAGTAGACCACCCATTTAGTGTCAATCCATTCCTCCAGCTTTTCGAAATTTCTGCACTTGTGGTGCGTATCGAAATCAGCTCTTGCCCCTGCAGGAGCATCAGGGTCCTCGCGGATGAACAGAGGCGTGACATCTCCAAAGCACTGTAGGGAGATGCGCAGCGCCTCAAAGCAGTGATCAACGTGCATGCGATTCTTCAGCGGGTTATCTGAAAGTCCGATTGGGATGTAGTCGTATTTCCCTGCTTGGAACCACGTGTATCTTCGAATGAGATTCTAAGAAGAGTCAGTTGTGGTGATGATCTCGGAAAGGTCGATAGACCACTTACAAGGCAATGGAGCTGATGGAAAACCTCAATCAAGGCAACATAGCCTGTGCCTACATCGGATGGCACACGTCGCAAGTGGTCGGCTTCCGTTCGATTGAGTCCATGAATTTTGTCTTCAGGGACCTCGATAGCGTGCTCTGAAGGTAGATCAGTCATGAGGAAGGCAAGAAAAATAGGAAGCATGTAATTACTGAAGGTCAATTTCTCCCAAGCATCTTCCAACTCTCGAGTTGGAGGTCCGCGATAAATGCTTGTCGAATTGAAGGCGTCGCTGAAATCCTGCGTGATATACTCAACTGCCTCTAGAGCAGGAGCTATGCGGGCACACATCGTCAGTTATGAGTACACAGAAATCGAACAAAGAAGTTCTTACAGTAAGTAGATAGTTGTACGCTACATTCCTGGTCCGTGAGTGTTGGCTTATGTGTCAAGACAATGACAATCAGGCCAATTGTGAGGGCAATGAGGACGAGGACCGCTCCAAGAAGGGGGCTTGGAATCCATTGTAACCATTTCCGACGTTTTTGATAGCGGGTCAACAGCGCTTCGTCGGCTGAGTTTGAACTATCATCTGCCAAAGAGTCTCTAGCATCCGACATGAGCGGATCGTAGGCGGAAGTTTTGCTTTCCATGATGCAAGCTCAGAGTTGAGATTGTTGGGGCTGGAGATCTGGCTGAGTATGAGATGTCTTGAGGATAACTGTTGAATGAGAATTACGAAAGGAAGGAGAGAGGAGAGAACAAGAGGGAGATGCAAAAAGATGGGTAGTAAGGTTTTGCTGCGAGGCTTGAAAAGTTGGTAATACTCGTGGCGTGCGCGCGCTCAGTATGCAAGACAATATATTATCATCTACTTCACATCGGCGGCGCTGAGCGGTGAGAGTCTCATAGAATGCGCGCGCGAAAATCTTCAGCTCAATATATTGTGTTCATGAACACCCCTGCAACAGACCAGCTGGATTCGGCCACCCCGCCGCCATTCTTTGCCTTCGACGCAAAGTGGTTTTTTTTTGACTTTGTGGAAATCGCAATCGAGCCCAGGAATCAATCCAATGTAGTGGGTAAGCTTGGCCGCTCGCGAAATACAGATTGTACAATGCGGTGGGTGATATTCGCTACGCGGCGCCAACACTTGCTGAGGCGTTGTCACAGAACTTGAGATGACCCGAATCTCTCAAATCTTCAATCAAGAAAGACTTGAATCTAGTATATAAGGAAGCTCAGTTCCATTCCATCTTTTGCTTTTCACGCACCAACGATCCAAACATCATTGACAACACCAAACCTCACAAATTCAGACAAAACTCGCAAATCACAATGAAGAGCTTCACTATCATTCTCGCCGCACTTGCAGCAACGGCAATAGCTGCCCCAGTCACTCCCCGGAACCTCGTATCCGTTCGACGATCAGTCAGCGATGAGGATGTTGCTGCCAGCGTCAACTACATTCTAGTCCTCGAGAAAGAGACTTCTAGCAAGATGGACGCCTACCAGGATGAGGTGGATGCCGTCCAGGATCCGGCCAGCGTTCTTGGTCGCCGTTCCGTCAGCGACGAAGATGTTGCTGCCAGCGTTAACTATATTTTGGTTCTTGAGAAGGAGACTTCCAGCAAGATGGACGCCTACCAGGATGAAGTTGACGCTGTCCAAAACCCAGCTGATGTCCTGGGTCGTCGCTCTGTCAGCGATGAGGATGTCGCTGCTAGCGTCAACTACATCTTGGTGCTCGAGAAAGAGACGTCCAGCAAGATGGATGCCTACCAAGATGAGGTTGATGCCGTTCAGAACCCTGCCGATGTTCTTGGAAAGTAGGTACATTGCCGCAGAGCTACGAATATACTTTCACTTAGTAAGATCCCCTCACCGCTGGTGGGCACCAGGTTGCTAACCAAGACTAGGGGCTCTACCAATGTTCCACACTCCTTTGGCGATTTCCTTGGCCTTAGATTTGTGAGCAGGAAAGAAGATGATGCTGATAGGACCGAATGCTGATGGCGGAGTGGATCCGGGGTCGTATTTTCATAGCCTATTCATTCAATGACGAAGTTTTGCCCACTAAGAAATGACCGTGAAGCCCTTGTCTCGATTTCTCTTCAGCCCTATGTGACCTTTTGATGCAGAATCGCTGATGATATTGCGCTGTCAGCGACACTCGGGTATTGCCAAGATTGGTGGGACTTCCTGTATTCCATGTATGAGCCCTGCGCCGCAGGAAAAGTTTGGGATGGAAGAATACCCCAGAAGATGTTTCTTTTCCCGTTGTAATAAGGTTAAGGTAGCCGTGCAGGGGTGAAGATGCCGAGCGTAGATAAAGTGATGTGCATATCGAACTTAGTCAGATGTAATCCTCCCCATGCTGCTGACAGTGCACTGTTAGAGAGCGCACTCCTTCCCAATTTGGCTGACTGCCAAGATACGCAAAGTAAGTTTGTGACCAACTATATTAACGTTTTTTATTCGGCTGTACCCGAACTCCTCACCGTTGCACTGACCTGCCTTAAACGGTTGGCTTGCGAGGCAGGGCTGGTTACCGGTATGAAGTGGTGAGCCAAGATAGATACAAGTAGTACCTCGGCGAGGCTGACAATATGATGTGATGGTTATTGCCATCATGGTATGGTGATAAACGACTGGTGTCTAAAGTGAATGAGCACCACATCCCCAGCGGCCAACACCTCTCCAGAATTCCTCCAATGCAAGCAATTCCCGTTTCGATTGAGAATGAGAGAAAGAATTGCTGGTGTTGTCGAGCCCGACGAAAAAAGTGCGATGGGCAGACTCCAGAATGCGACACGTGCGGGAGACTGGGAATTCCGTGCGCTGGGTTTGGTATCACCAGGCCGGACTGGATGGACGGCGGAACCAAGCAAGATGAGTACTGTCGACATTTGAAGGAAGCTGTAAAGTCGATTCGACGGCAAGGCAAAAAAAGTGCCACTGATTCCAGCTTCCCTCTCCCATCTACCGAATGTTCGAAAATCGAAGACATTTCGACAGCATTTTCGAGCATGCAAACTGCAATAATGAGTCCGCCACTTTCTCCATTGACCGAGGCAACCGAAACGCAATACTGGCTCACTCCTGAGTCAATTCTTGACCTGGAATGGCCGGGTGTGTCTGGTTGGGAGACCAATATCGCAATGGACCCTTCAAACTTGAACATCGATAATGAAAGCTTCGGCAGCTTCGAGCTCACGTGGGTACGAGATTCCCCTTACACAGAAGCTTCCTTGACGGGCGTCAAATCTTCCGCGACTCCTAGCTTTGGGCCAAATCAAAGTAGCACAGACTGTGCAGATTGGTTTCTTATCATGAGGTATCTCGAATCCACTATAGAGCTCTTGTTTCCCATTTACTGCTGTCCTGACCTAGAGGAAAAAGCCTATCTGCTCTCCCTTTGTCATCGCTCGTCACTCGTCAGACACACAATCATAAGCCTTGCCTCTTTCCACGCGGAGACAGGGACAGGCGCATTGAGATTGAAGATCCCTATGCCGATGAAGTTGCAGGAACAATACCGCATAGCCTCTCAAATGCTGGAAAGGAACCTGGAGGTGTTGCTGTGCGGACAAAACATGGTGTTTGATTTGGTATTCCGGATGGGAATTGAGGCATTGATTAGCATTGTGCACATGATTCTCCTCAGCGTAAGTTCCTTGACTTTTTCTCGCAAGCCCAAAAAACAAGTCTGACGAATAGAATAAGCAGACATTCTCGGTCGAAGCAGAAAAAACCGAATTACGCTTCAAACAAGGAATTCTAGTGCTCGACTTTCTCAATAAAGAGAATGCGTCAAAACTCCATCGAACTAGTGGTAAGTTGTTTGAGGCGGTTGAATGCACCAGTAAGAGAGGTAGTGCAACATCTTCTTTGAACTGCCCTACAGTAGCTGACGAAACAAATTGACAGACCCAGAATCTCGAGTCCAGACCTTGTTTACTTCTGTTTTCATACGATACTTTGTCATATGGCAAACTACTCGACCTGGAGAAGTGCACTGGCCGTTTATATCAGGTCTGCTGAGAACGCTGCCAGATAATTTGTGCGGGTACTCATCGCAACTTCTCGAGGCTGTTATGCTGATAACCGAGCTTGCGATATGGAAGAAGGAGCAAGCTGCAGCAGGTGTTCTCAGTACCCTCGAACTTGCTAGACGTGCTCATGAAATCGAGACCAATTTCTCTCCACTTTGTGAATTGGTGTCAGTGCCAGGACTCTGGACACGTAGTGATAACTACCAGCAAAAAGGGGAAACAAATCCAGACGACACTCGAAGCTTTGCTAGCTCTCATTACGGCCACCTGACCTATACTCGCCGTACTTACGGCGAGGAAAGGCTCTTATGGGATGAATATATTCAACGCCTCGCCAACACGATCCAGGCTCGTGCAATACAGATTCTCCTTTATGCCGTCGTGTCTGGTCCCAATCCGCTACTCCCCGAGATCCAGGTGTCCGTGAATTCTAGCATTGTATTGCTACGCCAGGCAGAAGCAGCCGTTGCGGGACGTCACATACCGATCGCTTGGCCGCTGAGCATCATTGCGAGAATGGCGGATCGCAGCGATCAACGACTGGGCGATTGGCTTGGAACGCTGACGAGGATATCCGGTCCGTGTGACATAGCACTTGGAAGCGATAGCATGCGGCATCTCTGTTGATGGTTGTAGATACGAGACGAGAAGCCAGAGTAGAGCGTGAGAACGTCTGTTTCTATGTAAAGTTTTAGTATCAATCGGAACGCGGAAAAGGAAAGTCTGGCCTCCTGAAGGCTATGCACAGAAAGAGAGAATAGAGAGAGTTCAGCAGCAAGACTCAAGAGACCCCGCGCACCTGGGAATAGCTGTCATCAGACCAATCACAGAGCAATAAACATGAGAGGTAGGTCATCAAAGCAAATTACGCAAAGACAACGGCACATATCACAATGATGGGTTGATCGGCAGTGGGTCTAGATCTTCTGTTTCTTTGCAGATGAACTGTGACGACCAGTAATAATGTAGGGTTCGTAAGCAATGCAGCCGAATGTATGAACGGCTGACTTGTATCAGCAGAGGTTGTCTGCTCCGCGAAAGAGAACATCATCTGGAGTTGAGAGACTCGAATCATCAAGAAGAACTGCAAAATCAAACACTCCGTCTCCATCAACGGAGGAGCAGATGGGGTTGAAATCCCACCTTGCAACCCACTCGGGCTTCCTGCAGCTTCTGCTATGCACAGCGGCAGACCCAGTCCTTCGGGAGCCAGTGGATTTCAAGCGTCGTCCCCGACTGTCCATCCAATATTTCGTCCCGCTCGCAACCACGTCCTATCTTATCAACTCTGAAGTGGATGTGTGAATTCGTCTTGGCTGGTCGAGGTTGGTAACCTCTATGCATGCGAGGCAAGCTGACCGGTACAGGTGCGAAAAAGGCTTCCGAGTCGTAGGATTGGCTCTGTCTCGAGTTTCTGCGAGGTTGTGTTGTGTCGTTGTGTTGTATCGAAGATTGAGTCGTGATTCTGAGTCTCAAACTTTGTCAGGAAAGCACGGACCACAATTAAGGTGCGGGCTTTCCGTCACCGCCACAACTTCTCATCTTCTATTCACAAACTCACAGAAAAGAAAACCAGAAGTGCTATGAAACTGTTGATATCTATTCTTAGGATTGATTGCTGCTCGCCGCTGTGGCCTTGGAGTTCTTAGAGCTTGGCCATGCCGTTCCGATCGGAGCAGTTGTCCCATTTCATGACCCACGCACTGACTTTCTTATGAAATTCGGATTTGATATTGCAGGTCAAGCCAGGATTATCAATTTTCAACCCCACCGATCCCACCGTCCCCACAGGGTTCTTATCAAGTTTTTGACAAGATAGTCCTCTTGCTGCCACCCTTCTTCATCGCATTCTTCAAGCCGGCTTGAGAGGCTGTTTTCCATTGGAGACTCCTATCATAGTCCAATCATAGCCCAAGACAATCCCGCGTTTGCACTGTTCAAACTGCACACTTCAACTAAATCGAGAACACAGTCCGTTCCCAAGCCCGTGTACTCGGGAGCTGGTCTTGCTCGATTAGGCTAGCAAATCGACTTGCAAGGAGAATGATTTCCAGTACATGAATTTGTAAAGTCCTCCATCCCCGCTTTCAACCTGTTTCTTTCAAGCCATTCTTCTCTCCTTCAACTTTGGACTGAAACTGTTCTACATTGTACACTTACTCACTATGGCGTCTTTAGACGAGAAGAACGCAGCGTCGGTATCCTCGACCTCAGTATCGCCCAAGGGAAGGTCAACAAAGCCGGCAAATCACATGGCTACTATTCAGGACGATGACGAACGCCTACTTGCTCAGATTGGATATACCCAAGTAAGTGATTTCTAAATCAAGACTCTTCCTACTCGGCTGAAAGGTGAATAGGATCTCACTCGACATTTCACAAAATGGTCGACACTTTCGTATGCCATCTCAGTCTTAGGTGTTCTTGGGTCAGTCCCCGCCACATTTGGTAGCCCTCTGTCTTTAGGCGGACCTGCTGCTTCAGTGTGGGCATGGTTTGTTGGGTCTGTTATGGCATCTTGTATCTCAGCATCTGGTACGAGCATGAAACTTCCATCAGAATAACATCTGTTCTAACCTCACGTAGTGGCTGAACTTGTCTCGGCCTATCCAACGGCAGGTGGCATGTACTTCGTCACCAAGAATGTCGTTCCACCAGAACATGCGGCAATCTGGTCATGGATCATCGGGTGGTGTAATCTGCTTGGCCAAACTGCAGGTGTAGCTAGCGTTGCATATACTGTGTCTCAGATGATCTTAGCCACGGCGAGTATGAACTCTGCTTTTGACGGAACATCATATTCTTACTCCCCGTAAGTCAATACTCACTTCACTTCAAAAGCCTTCTAACCATTGATAGCACTGCATTGCAGATCGTTCTACTATCAATAGCCCTGCTAATAGTCTTCGGAATCATCTGCTCTCTCACCACCAAGGCACTGCACGAAATTGTAATATGGTTTGCACCCATTAACGTCCTCGCCTCAATCGCCATCTGCGTATCCCTGTTGATCCTAACGCCCAACAAACAATCTTTCTCCTGGGTTTTTACCACTTTCACCGATGGCTCAGGGTGGGGAACTGTTTTCTCGTTTTTCCTTTCTTTCCTCTCAGTGGCTTGGACAATGACCGATTACGATGGGACAACACATATGTCCGAAGAGACCCATAACGCTGCGATTCGTGGTCCTATGGCTATTCGACATGCTGTTACCATCTCCGGCATCATAGGCTGGCTTCTGACGGTGACCTTTTGCTTCTGTACCACGGACCTCGACGCCATAATCAGCTCACCCACTGGCCTGCCCGCTGCACAGATCTTCCTCAACGCAGGAGGGCAGGTTGGTGGCACCCTTATGTGGTTCTTCGTCATCCTCGTCCAATTCTTCACTGGCTGCTCTGCCATGCTTGCAGATACACGCATGGCCTATGCTTTTTCCCGCGACAGCGCACTCCCCTTCTCAAAATTCTTCTCGAAAGTCAACGCGACGACAAGAACCCCTGTCAACGCTGTCTGGCTCATAGTAGCTTTCTCCTGCGCCTTGAATTTGATTGGTATAGGAAGTACGTTGACTATTGTGGCTATTTTCAACATCACGGCTCCGGCGCTCGATCTCAGCTATGCTACTGTGATACTGGCTCGGAACATCTACGCTTCGCGCATAGAGTTCCGTCCTGGTCCTTACACTTTGGGGAGATGGCAAACGCCGTTGAATGCAGTGACCTGCACCTGGGTATTCTTTATCAGTGTAATCTTGCTTTTCCCAACGATCCGGCCTGTGACCGCTACCAATATGAATTATGCTGTGGTGGTGGCTGGCGTCATTGCGCTTTTTAGTCTAGGATGGTGGTGGGCTGGTGCAAGGAAGACTTATACTGGACCGAGGACACAGGATTTGTTGGTTGTGGTGCCAACAGAGGAGGGCAGCGGGGATGATTGTATTGAGGGCGACAGCGACGACTTGATTGTTTGAAGAATTTCCATTTTCTGCGCACGCCCTCAACGTCGCAGACTCCTCATCATGACGATAGAAATCATGTCGCTAAATAGGAATGGTAATCGTACAAGATATCATACAGATGTAATCTTACAGTGTCCACACCACTCTCATCCGTCTCTTTTCCTTCCAGCCCACTTGAGAAGCATCTGCTCCAAACTTCCTCTCTCCACCGGCTTCGCAAGGTAGTCGTCCATGCCAGCTTCATGACACTTCTCACGATCGCCTTGTATAGCACTAGCAGTCATCGCAATGACGGGTATATCTCTCAGCATTTCCATTTTTTTTGCCTCTGGCTCCTTCTCCTCTATTCTATCCTTCAAACTTAATACGTTCTTCGCACTGCTAGCACCAACGCCCGTATCGATTGCAACAGCGTAGTCTTTGTTGGTCCTTAATATTCTCGTAGCTTCATACCCATCCATCACAGGCATCTGAACATCCATCAATATAACCGCAGGACGAGGTTGTGTTGGTGAAGGGTTCAGGAGGTAGGAGAGAGCTTCGCGGCCATTCCAGACGGCTGTTACCGGGAAGCCGAGTCTGTGGATATTTTTGATAGCAATGGTCTGGTTTATGGGACTGTATATGCGTCAGCAGAATTCGTGTAAGTGGTGGATGGTTGGTTGCGTACTTGTCCTCAACGACGAGAACGTGAGTTTTGCTCCTTTGTTCTGGAGTTAATGAGCCGATTTGGAGATTGAAAGTATTGTCTAGTGAGGGGTGTCTTGAGGAAGATTGCGAAAGAGATGGGAAGCTCGTTGTTACGCTGGCTGAGATCTGTTGGTTGAGGAGGTCTTGGTTAATTGAGCGATGAGCGAGGGGCTGTTTCCAAGTGGATCTGGTATGAAATCCTAGATTCGGCGATGTGGAGAATGTCTCGCGTACGGAGGTACGTGTCCAAGATGATACTTTGAAAGGGACGATGAAAGTGGCTTTGCTTCCTTGCTTTGGAGTTGATTCTAGCTCGATAGAGCCATTCATGAGACTTGCAAGCTAGATTCTGTGAACTTAACTTCGTGATGCTGCAAGATGATCAACTTACGTTCTTGGATATTGTGAGGCCCAATCCTGTCCCACCATAGAGTCGTGCTGTGGAAGAGTCGCCTTGGCTGAATGGTTGAAACAATTTGTCCAGTACATCTTTCTCTATGCCAATGCCAGTATCCTCGATAAGAAATCGCGCTTCGACGATTTCATCGCCATTGGTTTCGGTGGTTGTTGATGTAACAGCCAATTTGACACTGCCTTCCTTTGTGAACTTCAAGGCGTTGGTCAACAGATTTGACAATACTTGTCTCGTTCGGCCGGGATCTCCTAAGACTTCTAAGTCTCCATCCATGTTGTCTTCGTAGATAAAGTCGAGGCCTTTTTGTTGTGCGAACATTCCCAAAAGCTTGCAGAGTTCGCCGACAACAGATGACAGGTTGAAAGGAACTTCTTCGATATCTAGGCGTCCACTCTCTATCTTCGAAAAGTCCAAGATGTCATTGACGATTGTGAGCAATGCTTTAGCTGATAACTGAATGCTATTAACATATTCTCGTTGTTCTGGAGTCAACGTTGGATCTTCACCGAGTAGTTCCACCATGCCGATGACTCCCTATGAATTGTCAGAAATAAGTGATAAAGAGCGGGGATGACCTACAGCTGTGGGAGTTCTCATTTCGTGTGACATCTGTCCAAAGTCAGCAAGAGTCTAGACGTGGATTGGCCAATCGTACATTTGCCAGGAATTGACTCTTCATCTTGTTGGAATCTTTCGCAGCTTGTTCTTCCATCATCAGTCTCGTATTGTCCACTTCAAGGGCTGCTCGTGCTTTCATATCTGTTACATCGATAGTCAAGCCTAGAACACCTATTACCTCTGGTTTCTGTCCGCCATCCGCCGCGTTATGCTCCAATTCAGCAGCAACACGAGTCCGGAATGTTCTGCCATTGATAGTATCTTCCGACTGTGCAACGCCAACTTTCCCAGATAGAACATCTAGGATGATTCGTTCATATCCTAAAAGCAACTTAGCTCTAGTCCTCTAACAGGGCCGTATTGTGGTATACCAGGTACGCCTCCGGGCTGAGTATGCTGTGCGACTTCGATGGCATCCTTTCCAAGAAAGTTTATTTTGTGGCGAGCATCATACTCTTCTGCCTCCGAGTCCCAACGCATACTACCTTCAGCCATCGTGACGATTCTGTCTTTGTTGATGGAGAATAGGTTGACCTCCGCATGGGCGAGAACTGTGAGCATCTGCAGCTTGTTTCTTGCAGCCTTGTTTCGTGCCATGACCAAGTCATGAATGTCAGTATTGGTCCCATACCACTTCAGTATCCTGCCTTGCTCGTCTCTAAGGGGGCATGCACGAGCAAGCATCCATTTGTAAAGTCCGTCATGCCGTCGATAACGAATCTCAACTTCACATTCGTTTCCAGCTTCTCTGTGATGCTCCCATTTCTCCATGAGAAGGGGAAAGTCGTCCGGATGTATGGCTTCTTGGAAGCCAGAGCCTAGTGACTCTTCCTTTGTCATACCTGTAAACTGATACCACTGACTTATTTAGTAGTGATTCGAGGATGTTTGCTGCCCAAAGACTTACACGTTCCGAGAACCAATCGCATTCTCCATCCCTAGTGGTGGTCCAGACCAGATGTGGCAACAGATTGCAAGTAGTTTCATGGCTCTCCAGCCGTTGTCGTTGCTGCTCACATAAAAAGTCCGAGTATTCTTGTAAGTCTTTACACCAACAAATACCACCCATAAATTCTCCAGTGTCATCATCATAAAGACATTCTCCGTTGACGCTCATGAAAACCCTCTCTCCCGTAACAGCATGCGTAAATCCACAACGGTAGTCAGTGAAGGGCTGCTTGTTTCTGACCAGCTTCAGTCCAGGAAATTCTGTAGGATCCAGTCGTTTCGTGAAGGTTTCGTCCCAAATCTCCAATAGTTCTCGTAGAGCCAGACCATCTGTGCAGCCTTTATCATCTCCCATGACATCCCCTATCACCTCTCTGGCTTTCTTGTTGGTGAGATAAAATTTCTCGTCGACGCTGAGGATAAAACCAGGCACATCACTACTGTCGAATACCGCCTTTTTGATCCGAGCAATATCCCTAGAGCCAACTGTTGGCGAGTCATGGACCGGATCACGAGGTATGGCAGGAATTCCTTCTTCTCGACGTAACAGAGGTTCTTCACTTCGTGGTATCAACTTCTTCTCGACGTGCGGCGATTTTTCCAATGAAAGGACAAACTGGCACCCATCTTTTCCATCTATGGCCGAGATCAGGATGCGATAATACTTCTCCTCGAAATTTAGATGGGAGTTTGTAACCACTGCGTCCACCTCATGAATCGCATCCTCATTTATACCTTTTCCTTCGGATCTGGCACTCTTCTGCTCGGAAAGGAATTTGTCCAGCACCACATTCCATTGTCGATTATACAGCAGCTTGATTCCGAGTTCAGTTGGGGTTTTGCCAGCAATGCCAAGTTCAGGAGACCGAGTAGGATCGGTACTTCCAAGAACTCTCTGGCCACCACGGTTCGCGAAGATAATGACGCGCAGTGGAGATAGGACAAGTATTGGAGTTGGGAGGTTGCGGAGAGTAGCAAGTTGAAACTCGATGCCAGCATGAAATGCAGAGCCACTCTGGGCTTGCATCGTGGTTGCGTTGGGAACTGAAGGCTGTAAGTATCGACATTGTCAGTACAATCATCATTTCGTTGCAAGATTACTACACGAAGGTGGAACAAAATCTTACCAGTCTGCAAGCAGGAGTTTTATAACATCATAGAGCCCGTTGTGGCCCTTACTCATGTCCCTGCAATATCGGGGAAGTCTCCATGCTGGTGACTGCAAACACGACTCAGAGCACGCAGGCAAGACAGAGTATATCGTGAGTTGCTACTCTGCTGAAGGTCGCACGGCCCAAGAAGCTCACACACTCACACACACAGTAGCGGGCCTCTCCCCGCCGGTCTTGGTTCAGTCCCTACATCTCTGAGCCTGAAAGATCGGCACTGGTGGTGACGATAAGTTCCTTCGGGTCCCACAGCCGTTGGAGCCCTTGACGGGTTCTAGGCTTCTGTCGCCATAAGGTAGCCTGTAATAACCCGTGGTAGCCTCCCGAGCGTCAGTGCGACGCCCCATCTTCGATCCATTTAGGGTTTGGTGCGGGATTCAACAGCCGTCCATCAGTGAGGCGGGACCCTTATGACGTTTGTGCAGCGACTATCCTTGACTTGTTGCCCAGGTGCCTGGGTCCGGAATGACATTAGCCGGAGGAATTATGGGGGGAGGAGATCACGACAACAGAACCTGAATGGTGAACATAATAATTAAAAGACATCATAGTAATTATCTGATCGTTTTATGCCGCCAACGATTATAACATAAGAGCAGAGCTAGAAGCAAAGGGTTTAGTACCCTCGCTAAATCGCACTACTGCTGTTAATTGTCCGTAGGCGCCAAGAGGCTCAAATTGCAACAAGACCGGTTTCCGCGGAAGCTTAAATCCAAGTCTGAGAGAACAAGAGAGCCCCAGTGGTAAGCTTCTCCGCATCAGATTAAAGTTAAATATTTCTCATCCCGCCCTATCTCAAGCTCTCATTGAACCAAATGTGCTGAATCGGCGAACGCCTTTCGCATTGACCATCTTCATAATGCGAATGCAGGAATGATACGTGAAGGTCTGCTATGAAGCGTGAGAAGCGGGCTGTGGAATCTGATAGTGTCTTCTGGTGCTTTTTCTTCAAGAAACTGCATGCGAGAGCTTTGATCTTCGAAGTATTTGCTCAAGGTTATGCTGTATGATTCACATCGTGGGGGTCAGGAAGAATACGTGGGGCCAAAGAAACATCAGAGAGAAATAAATATACTTTGATGTGAGAACATTGTTGATCTCCTCTGCTCTGCTTCTGAAATTGAAATTGTTGAAAGTGGAGCAGTTCGAAGTCCCTTGGACCCTTCAATCTACCTGGTTCTTTTCAGATCTCAGGAGAGGACCATAGTCTTCAGAGTTTCAGTCCGTCAGATTGCGGAGGACAGTCCGATGCCGAACTTGAAAATGCATGTCCACTCCTTGACAATGCCCTTGGAAGTGTCAATCCACCTGCAGCATTTGGTAGCGTCCTTTCGAACCGCCCTTTACCGGCAAGTATAAAGGTTATCTTTAGCTTCGATCCTGGCAAGTCGATAAACTTTAAATGTGGGCCCTAACCAAGACCACCTAGCCAAAGTTGAAACGGCAGATGGATAGATTCAATTCGTTATAATCTTTCGAGTCAATATTCTTGATCACCAGTAAATTATCAAAAAAAGAATTACTTAGCGTTATTACAGATTTTTGTTTCCGAGAACGCCCCGAGAAGACCTGCGGCCAAAATCTTCGATTGGTAAGCTATGGTGTGGATTCCCCTCGTGCACCGTGTTGGATGGGCTGCCCAATACTTATTATGATGACTACAGTATATATAGTCAACGTGTTGTCTGCTGGCCCCGACATAGTAGAGCATAATTACTCTGACAATGGCTCCTCCAACTTCAAATAACGCCGCTATTTTGCGCGTTCGTCACGGTCAACACCAGATTGTGACTCGGGCGACTCCTTCCATCTTGTCTGATGAAGTTTTGATCCAGATCACTGCCACCGCTATCAACCCAGTCGATTGGAAGCTCAGGGACGACTTCGGAGACATGTTGACTTATCCTGCTGTGCTTGGCTCCGATGCGGCCGGGAATATTGCAGCAGTCGGCGATGAAGTAACCACTCTCTCCGTGGGTGATCGAGTCTTCTTCCAAGGCATCATCGGTAACAGCGATGCTTCGACTTTCCAACAGTACTGCAAGATGCCCGCCGTCCTCGTCGGGAAAACACCCAGCAGAATTTCCGATGAACAAGCTGGAGCTACTTCACTATCGAGTATGGCAGCTGCCACTGCACTCTATTCGGATACCGGATTCGCCATCCAACCACCGTGGACCGAAGGAGGCGAGCAGTCCGGACAGGGAAAGGCAATTATCATACTGGGTGGATCAAGTTCTGTTGGTCAGTATGCCATTCAACTTGCTAGGATATCTGGATTTCAACGCATCATCACCAACAGCTCGAAATCACATTTCGCTGCCCTACAGCGTCTGGGAGCTACCGAGGTTCTGGATCGTTCAAGTGCCACGCCTGCCGACTATGCAGCTGCGACCCATGGCCTGGAAGCCACCCACGTCCTGGACGCTATCTCCATTGAGACAACCACCCTTCTAGCAATCGATATTCTCCAGCAACTAAAAGGCGGCGATGTTGTGACTTTGCTTCCCAAAATGCAGCAGCCAATAAAACCACCTCATCCCGACCCTCAAAGACCTGTGCACACAAAGCGGGTCGTTGGCTTAGGATCTCTGCCTGAGAATAGGCATATATCTGAGCCGCTGATGAACGCACTTGGAGGAGACGATGGCTGGCTAGCTAAAGGGATATTCGTTCCGATCAACGTTGAAATCGTTACTGGAGGGCTTGCAGCTTTAGAGATGGCTTTGGCAAAGAATAAGAAGGGAGTCAGCGGGGTGAAAATTGTGATACGACCTCACGAAGGGTAAATGCAAATATTGATCCCCACTTAAAGAATGCATAGTCACTCTATCTGATTCATGGTTCCATAGCTTTGATCTGTCACTGAATTTATGTTCTCACAAGTCCAAAGCACAAAACTGTCCTTGCATCCATAGCTTTCGCTCTTTGCTTGCCTCCAACATACATCTAAGTCCAGTGCTTAATGTCTAAGCCAGTTCAGTGTACATTAAACTTCTCACGCGCTCATACAGAGAGGAAACAATGAGGATAAGGCGCGTCTCATCTAGTCCCCTCGTGTTGCAACAGATATTACTGCCGTGGGCGCCAGAAGATCGGATGCATGAAATGCACCGGGCCAAACATCAAGTTCAGCTTGTACACCGCACTTCCATAAAACCGACGCATAAGCGAAATCCTCTTCCCGAAAGTCCGCTGCTCCAACGTCGATGTTGACCTTTGGCAAGGCGGTTAAGTCAGATGCTCGACCCGGAGCGGCATAGCTGCTAACCCGACCACCTCCGCGCTGCTCCCCAAGCAGACATTCCCAAGCCATGATATCGCTTCCACGATTCCAGGCGCCTTCTCCAACGTATTGCTGACTCGACATCGTCCGGTTCCGATCGTCCAGCATCAGGCCAGCCGCATCATGATCCGGCATCCACAGGTCTTGGCCATACTTTGTATCAGGGCGGAGTATTTCTGTGAATTCAGACTGTCTATTAAACAGACCCCCCCTTGCTTAAACGAATTCCCTATAAAACGCTAGGCAGAAATGTTCTGCCTGATGCGAATTACTTGGCGCCACTGGCTTGACCGCTCGCCTGTCTTTTCGGCTCACAGGGGTAGCTCGTAACTGCTCTTTCAGTGCAGCTCTTTTGGGTCCGAATACGAATTTGTTTGCCAGCTGCAGCGCACTTGTGTGATACAGCACCTGGGCACAGCTCGTTTATATAAATCTATGTCCACAACGTTGTAGCACTTCCCATATATCATCAGCAGCAGGAATCACTTTCACTTTCGCCCTTATTTTCCACATCGGAGTTGTGAATTCTAACGTACTGCTGCCCTTCCACTTCCAACATCCACTGCTGATTTGTCATATGTTACAGCCGGCATCTTGACCCGTTGGAACGCTTTTGTGTATTCTGGAACTGGACTAGGCACACTCGGTCATTCGCCCTTCTACAGAATGGCTTACAACGAACACTTCAAAGGGGAAGACGTTTCAGTCACCAAGTTTTACGGCGACCGCACGGTCCTTACATCCTGCGCCTATCTTCTTCAATATATCAAGCCCGACATGACCATCCTCGATGTCGGCTGTGGCCCGGGAACTATAACTGCAGGTCTCTCGAAAATAGTCCCTGACGGCAAAGTTACTGGAGTCGATGTCACGAGCCCTATCATTGAGCGAGCCCGCTCTACATTCCCTTTGCCCGAGTTCCCTAATCTCACTTTCGCGGTTGGCGACGCCATGAAGCTCTCAGACTTTAAGGACAACTCCTTCGACGTAGTCCACGCACACCAAGTCCTTATCCATCTCACCGAGCCGATAACAGCACTCCAGGAATTCTACCGCATCTGCAAACCTGGTAGGATTGTTGCTTGCCGAGAGGGGAATGGACGCCGCATCTTGTCTCTCAAGCCCGACTTGCCTGCTATCCGGCAATATTGGGACAACACGGTAGCTCTCATAGACAGAAATGGAGGCCATATCGACGCAGGAGGTCACTTAGAAGAATGGGCTCAAAAGGTTGGCTTTCAAGATAATGGGGGAAAGATTGTTTTGAACATGGGAGAACTGCGCTTCCCGAGCCATTTGGAAGGTATGAAAGGGGAAAGTGCTGAGCAGGCTATCAGAGCTGGAATTGCTACGAGGGACCAAATGGATATTTGGAGGGAAGCTTGGGAGGAGTTCGATAGAACGAAGAACAACGAGTTTGTGTTCGAGACTGGGGAAATCTTATGCTGGAAAGGATTGCCATAGAAAAATAGTTATAGCATTAGATTACACGATCGTATTTCTTCATCTGGAAAACATTTCCATGCTATTCGACCGGGCTCTAAGCGATTGGGCCAGCAGCACTCGCTTAGCATCTATTATGGTAAACAATGGTCGCAGAGCATTTGATAATGCGTACTTCGACAATGAAACGTATTTTTAATAGAATTATGAAATTAAGTAAATGTGATTTCGCGTGACTTAAAATTCGACGAAAATCAAAAGTAAATAGACATTCGGGGACATTTGGAGAAGATTGGACAAAACTGAATGTTAGGTGCGGAGTGAGGGGGCGGGGTCGAGGGGTTTTTACCCCCACTTCTCCTTAACTTCGTTCTACTGAATCTATTAGTCTCCAAACATTGTACTCAAAGACCTTGACTTTTTCCGTCCCTGCAATGCCGCAATACCTTTTCATTACATTAAATGATAATTTTTCTTTCGTATATTCACTACGACCTTTTACTAAGTCCAGGGTTTCGTTATGCCGGATACAAAGGCACTCGAAGTGTGGGGCGATGAGCTGGACAAGGCTACAGCTCGAGGCTCGAAAGTCATGCCTGGTGTTGTAGCAGCTGCTGTGGATAAGACAGGTAAGGCTAGCTCTCGAAGCTCAAGAATGGGAGTCTAAGTTGATTTCAGGCAAAATAATTTACTCCAAGACATCCGGGTTCACATCTGTCCTTCCACGTGCACAGCCAATTGCTCTGGACAGTACCTTCGTTGTTGCATCCTGCACCAAGATCATCAGCTCCGTCGCTACCCTTCAATGTGTCGAGCGAGGGCTGATCAGCTTGGACGAGCCTGTCGAAAAATACCTCCCGGAACTCGCGGAGCTGCCTCTTCTCACGACTGACAAACCTTTTGCTCCGGCGGGACCCGGTGGCAGAGGGGAAACTTTAAGTGTTGATGATATTAGCTTCAAGCTTAGGTCTGTCAAAAACAAAATTACCCTTCGTCAACTTCTTACTCACACGTTTGGAGTTTCGTACGACGTATTAGATCTACGCCTCCAAGCTTGGAGGCAATCTCGGGGGGAGGTCCCCATTGCTCTGAATGGCAATATTGTCGAAGGATTTGCAGTCCCCCTCGTTCACGAGCCCGGATCCAATTGGTGCTATGGAGGTGGGTGTGACTGGGCAGGTCTGCTCGTTGGACGGCTCAATAAAACCACATTTGGTCAATTCCTCGAAGATAATATGTTTCGACCACTCGGCATGAAGAGTTCAACTTTCCACCTTGAAAAAGCTGAACATGTGCAGGAGAAGCTTGTTACCATGAGCGTTCGTGGTGGTCTGGAGGCAGGTGAACTTGTGGCTGGCGATAATGGCTTGCTTGATCCTGTCAAGGAGGAGATGGGTGGCGGCGGTCTGTACTCAACTGTGCCAGACTTTCTCAAAGTTCTCGGGGATCTGATCAGCGATAAACCCGTTCTGTTGAAACCAGAAACGATCGACTTGCTGTTCACGCCAAAGCTTGAAGTCGGTGGAGATGCATTTGAAACTATGAATGCCCAGGGATGGAAACTATGGGGACATTGGATCCCCGACTCTGGCGTCAAGCTTAACCATGGAATGGGGAGTGCGTTGACGACAGAAGAAGTGAAAGCATCTGGGGTTCCAAAGGGAACCATCACCTGGGCAGGCTATGCGGGTCCAATATGGGAAGCCAATCGTGAAAGAGGCGTTGCTTGGTTCTACGCAACACAGGTGCTGCCATTTGGAGATGTCGAGAGTGGAAGGCGCGCTGAAGCATTTGGCAAGGCTGTCTTTGCCGATTGAGAAAGAAAATGATTCAGTCAACACATATTGCAATAGTCGATTCATGATAACATCCATGGCTCTCCATGAGCTACGTGACCACCAAGCGGGCCAAAGGAGAGAAAACCAGCACGAGATGAAATGCCGGCAAATGAAACCAACTGGGTGAGACTATTGCAAGTGTAGAAGAGGCGGAATGACCCAAATTTCATCAAACCCGACAAGTTCACGAACTAGAGATAAGTATCTCACTCGAATATTGATGGACCGAGCTTCGGAATGCTTCCATAATGATTGCAGGAGCCAGGTTAAATGAATATCATTGGAAAATGACAACAATGGAAAGCATGACGCTCCCCAAGTCTTGAAATGATAGATTCTCAAAGCTGTTTGCATAATCATCATGCAGATCCAACGTGGACCATGGTGGCCCTACGTATCCGCAAGACACCTACCTCATCACCAATAGGAGATGAGAGTTTTGATACCTATCAGTCTGGCTCTTTCTCCGGGTAATGCTAGGGTAGCGTGATGGAGATTTTGTCTCCAAAGTACACTAAGAACAACAGTGCTAGCCGACTGTGTGCGTCCTGATTAGCGCCGTTGAAAGTGCCCCTCCACCAACTTCAAGGACACCACCCCATACTCCGCTTCGCTAATGAGCTGTACCCCAGTCCGCCGGAAAGCAGACCTCAAACATCTGCATTCTCGGTGTTTAATCTATCCATATCTCTGGGTATTCTTTGGTAGGTAGCCAGTTTGACACAACCACTCTACTGCTTTTACTTGGGAGCCACCGCCGATATGCAAGAAAAGGACACCATTAGAGATTAATCAGGAACTACAGAACATGTCGAGGCCTGCTCAAACAGTGTACCTGACAGCAGTATGGAGAAAGTAGAGACTCTTGCAGTTATCGACATTGAGAACAGAGCGGCATTCAAGGGCGACGATTCGGAAGGCAAAGTCGTTTGGAACTTTAAGACTATGGCCGCTGCAACCTTCTTGTGCACGCTCTATACAGGTATTGGGACATGGTATCACCGGCGTCATCGACATCGCTAAATCTATTTACAGGCGCTCAGATTATTCTCTACTTCGTTGGTGGCTCGTTGTCGTTCATTTCCCAAGATCTCGGCGCCACGAGTACAGCTGTATGGCTGCCAGTAGCCTACACTTTGGTCTTTGCTGCCACTGCTCCCGGTCCGGGTCGGAATCGCATTCGTGGCTCGGACCCTGACCTTGAATTGGAGTTGCCAGCACGCTGTCTCGAATCTGGAATGCACTTTCCTTCTCAGCCATTGGCTTCGCGCACTGGCTACCAACATCGAGGTTTCTGGCATGGCATCTCTAAGCGCAAACGAACATAAAATGCTTGGAATGGTCATTTCACTGATCCGTGAAACCGACTTGGCAGACTTGCTACTTGAACATTCCGATTAGGTAAGCCGCGTGCGTCGAGCAGCGGCATCGATTGTTCGTTTGTGGGCAGAGACCTTCAAGGGTTTTCACGTTTTCGAGGTGGTATATGTAATTGGCGAGAGCTTGTCTATCGCTGCGGAAGCTCTCGAGCATGCGTGTACGGCTGATCGTCATATGGTAGAAGCTAGTGATAAATGATACCTACATATAGGTATATCTGCTTCTCTACGCGAACACGTGAGACAATCGATAACTGGCTGTCGCGGAGTTATTCGATCCAGCATTATAATTCAGAATTCGATTCAACAGTCTGGGAGAGGGAGGATGGAAAGGATGGTGGAGGATTCGGGCGGTGTCAGTCGCTTCGTGAACGTATATTGAAGACCAAGGCTCTGGAACTGGAGGAGATGAAGCGTGTTGGAGAGATAGCTGACCGCAACCGTTTCGCAACACTGAGCCAAAGATCTAGTGAAGCGAGGAATTGGCAGGAGAGCGACGAGTGTGATACAGATAACGTGATTGAAGTGATGGCAGAGACGTCAGACGCCCCACGACGACCAGATCGCACGCGACTCCGACCCGGGGTACCAACTCGCGCAGCGGCTGGAGGTAATACAAGGACGAGAAAAGGGGAAAGCGACGCATTGTCCATTATTTTCTCGATGATTGAGGAGAGTTGAGCAGCAACGTGGAACCCAAGGCAGAACTAGCAGAGATCAAATCAAAGCCCAACTTGCAGAAACCAGAGCACAACTAGCAGAGATGGTATCGAGCGCAAGCGCCGTGTCAAATTCAGGGGCATCAATCCCGGCAGCAGCCCTACGCCTCAGTCTTCGCAAGATCAATCAATCCATCGTCCTCAGCCAGCCAACTTGCTAGTAGTATGGCATCCCATAACTAACACACTACTGCACGATTGATATATCAGGAGTGGGGGAGGAAGAGAGGAGCAAGGCACAACCCACACGACCGATCACAGATCCGATCACAGAGCAATTCAGGCAACTTTTGATATTGCGACCCTAGAGGGAGTTGATAAAGCAAGGTCACTTTTCAAAAAATGAACTGTGGAGCGATATAAAGGCTAGGATTGTGATCTCGCTCTAATGAACGCTTAATCATCAAATATCTATGACCTTTCTATCAAGATACTTGAATGGAGTATAAAGAATAAATATAAAAGAGTGTTAAACGTAATGCCGACGAGGGCAGATATGCTCGAGTAAAGTCATCTTTTATGTTATTGTATTATAATATAAATCGACAGAAGCAGGTATGGGTTGACAGCAAAAGCAAAACAACGGCAATACAAGGACTCTCAAACAAACCCACCCCAACAATAGACAGCTACATCAGGCTTAGATGCCGGGCATTGTAGTTTCGTACCGGGTCCTTGTCAAGTTGGAACCGGGAGAGCGGTCGCATCTTTCCATCGTCGCATTGAAGGTGTGGTAAACGAATTGCGTTTAATGAAAGAAATTCAAACCCACGAAACGCTTTATAGAACGAAAACGCCTCGTCAACCTACAACGATTCACGCCACCTCCAAGATTCGAGTTCCGAAAACGACTCACCTATACACAGCGCCTCAGGTCTCCAAAACGTCTCCTCAACCAACAACAATTCACGTCATCACAGCAATTCCACCTCCGAAAACGGTTCACCAATACACAACGCCTCAGTCCTTCAAGACGTCTCACCAACTCACAACAATTCACGCTACCACAGCGATTCACGCCCTCCAAAAGTCCCACTGGCACGCAAAACCTTTCGTGATCGAAACGTCTCTCAACTATATAAACCCCTCCCACCCCGCATCATCTTATTCATCACTCTATCCTACATGCTTTCATTCTTGCGTAGGGAAAGATAACTGTATCCGGGGGCAAATTGTCGATAATCTGGTAGGGAAATGGAAAAGGTAAAGCTTTTATAAAGAAAAAATAAAATAGGGTAACATTCTCAAAGTAGTAATAATTTTCGTTGTTAACTAATTTTTATTATCAATTATATTAAATAATATTAATTTTTTCATATTATCGTCTTATTACAAAACAAAACATAACAAACTCTTAACTAATATAAAGAGTCTTTTAACATATCTTTCTTTCGTTTTGTAACGAAAAAAAATAAAACTTATATAAAGGAAAGATAGAGTAAAATAACATTTTCAAAGTGGTGATAGTTTTCGTTGTCAACTGTCTTTTTGTTATCAACGATATTGAGTGGCATTGATTTTTTCATATCATCGTGTTGTCAAAGAACGGAACAGAACAAGTTGCTGGTCAGTATGGAGAGTCTTCTGGCATGTCCCTCTTTCGTTTTGTGGGCGGAAGAAGTAAAGCTTGTATAAAGGAACGATAGAGTAGGGTAACATTCTCAAAGTGGTAATGATTTTCGTTGTTAATTATATTAAATAATATTAATTTTTTTATATTATTGTTTTGTCACAAAACGGAATATAACAAGTTCCTAGTTAATATAGAAAGTTTTCTAGCATGTCCCTCTTTCGTTTTATAGCGGAAAAAAGTGAAACTTGTATAAAAGAACGATAAAGTAGAGTAATATTCTCAAAATGGTAATGGTTTTTGTTGTCAATTGTTTTTTGTTGTCAACAATATTTCGTGACATTGATTTTTTATATCATCGTCCTGTCAAAGAATGGAACAAAATAAGTTCCAATCAACAGATAAGTGCTATACCCGCACCCGGCTCACGATGAGTCTTTTGTCTGTTTTTTCGTTTTCTGGGCGGTGAGAGGGGTATTTATACCTCACCGGAGCACGGAAATCGGTGGTCCGGTCAGTCAAAGAGTGAATACGAGCCAAGCATGCCGGACTCAAAGCAGTACTCCGTTCCTCAAATCAAGAGGCTGACTCAAGGAATCAGAATCCGGAATCCGGAATCATTCACCAGAACACGAGCATGAAACAGGCAGGTAGAAAGAGTGAATATAAGGGACACAAAATTTCATGGACGTATTGCTTCAAAATCAGGCAGAAATTCCATTGCTCAATACAGAGGCCGTAAACCTTAGCCCCCAAGCAACTCGTACGCCTAAACTCCTTGCTCGAAACGCGATTGCTCTGCTGGTATGTACCCTCTATCGTATCTTCATCGTTGTCATCAACTCATGCTTCGTATCTCTCCGCAGATGTCAATGCAGGCTACTTCTTCTCCATATCTCACCAAACCGCATTCCAATATCATCTCCACCATCCCAACCCTACATCTCCTCATCCACCCCAACAACCCTAACCGCACCCCCTTTCTTCTCCTCCACAGCCCTCTCCCTCGCCACCCTCCTCCTTTCCACCTCGCCCACCAGCCCCTTAAAATACACCTCCGCCTGCACCGTCGCACTATACGCCACCGCCGTCCAACTCCACACATTCCGCCTCTCTGAATCCGCTCCCGCCGCCAACAACGTCCTCAGGACCAGTAAATGCCCATTACTGCTTGCAAAATGCAATGCTGTATTCCCGTCGTTATCTGAGCCCGCTAACAAGGCCTCTGGGCCCGATGGAGAGAACGTGAGTAAGATCTGCACCACGGTGTCGTGGCCTGACAGAGAGGCCAGCATCAACGCGTCACGGCCCCGAATGTCGCGACGAGGGATAGACCATGGACATGACGAGCAGAGCAGGTGCACGATATCGGTGTGACCGGCGGCAGAGGCGAGGTGGAGGGCGGTTTGGTGCTCCTCGTTGAGGGAGAGGGAGGAGGGGGTGGAGTCGTGGCCGAGCTTGAGGAGGAGGCGCACGATGGGGAGGTGGCCGAGGGAGGAGGAGAGGTGGAGGGAGGTGTTGGAGAGGCCGAGGGGGACGCTGGGGTCGGGGTTTAGGAGGAGGGAGGGGTGGGAGTGGAGGATTCGTTGGACGAGGAGGGTGTCGGCGGAGTGGATTGCGCGGCGGAGACGGAGGGAGGGGTCGATCCTGGGGGTGGTTTGTTAGTATGTATTCAATCTATCAAGAAAAACTAAGGAGGAGGGAGGTACATTGTGTCATCAGCATTGCTATGCTATCGCGATCTCATTGTTTGTTGGGAACAGAAGTAAGTTGAGATGTTGACGTTTGACTGGCGTTGCTTCACAACCAAATGTTTACCTTTCCTTCTCGTCCTTCCCCACAGACGTTGGCAGTAGGTTCGTGTTAGCTCAGCACCCCGGAAGCGAAAGCCTCCCGCTAGGATCCCGTCCAAACCAACCACGTCGCACCAGCGCCCCTGGACTGCATCATAAGCATAAAATCCAATCAATCTGATTGCCAAAATGCTAACTTTATCTTGGCGCGCGTCTGATCGTCTGTTACAACCTCATACGTGAGCCGTTTGGGGTTCTCGATCTAATCTTTGCAAGGGGATTCGGATTGTGTCAGATCCATCGCATCTTATCGTTCCTGGGGACTTGGGTTGGCAGGCTAAGATTAGATGGTTATGCCAATGCCAATGCGATAGTTCGAGGGAGGAAGCGTTGCCAATGCAAATCTGCCAATGCGGATCTGGGAATTGGCATTGAAATGACATGAACCGGATTGTTGGCAAAGTATCTTTGATGGAGAAAGGTTGGAGTGAATTCAATGGAGAAAAGAAAGATGAAGCAATACTGAATTTCAATGCAGGAAAATAGAGGACTGTAAAATACTCGTCTCAGAAGCCAATCTATGACATTAACATTTTTGCTCGAATTCGCGAATTTATAGACATTTGACACTGATGACATGAGATGTGAGAAGGAGCAGACAAGACAAAGAAGACATTCCCATCATCGCATTTGATCTTGTACTCCCAATTGTACCGACGATAAAGAACAAACACCGATCTTTCCCACCTCCCATATTTCCTTCCACGAATGATTAAAAAACTCCTCTATGATCAATATATCCCTCGCCTTCATCCCCTCATCACCCGCTCACCTTATGCGATAAATTCCCGACGGGCTCTCTGCTTTCGGCCTCCCTTTCCAGCCTTGGCGTTCGCAGCGTTTGCATTGCCTCCCTTGGCAGCGTTGCCAGCGTTTGCGTTTGCAGATCCTGATGCGGAGGCCTTGCCTGCTGAAGCAGCGTTGGCGTTACCACCCTTTGCGGCGGCGCTGGCAGTGGCAGATGCAGCAGCAGCGGCGGAGCTCAAGTTGGGATCAACGGCACCTGGGCCGGCGGCAACAGCAGAAGCAGCAGCAGCGGCGGCTGCTACACCACCGGATCCGCTGTTGGAGGCAGCGTTGGCGACCTGTCCGTTGCCTCCGACAGTGAACTTGGTGCAGTCATCGGCGGTACCACGTTGAGCAACGGGCATGATGACAGGTTGATGGTTGGAGGCGGATGCCATGGTGCAGACACGGTAGTTGCCAGCTGGGAGACCACCGGTGACAACAGCTTGAAGGAGACCCTTTCCGTTACCGGCATCGTTGATACCCTTGAAGAAAGCGAATTGGGTGGCATCAAGAGCTTGGGTTGGGTTCAAGCTGTTACCGAGATCTTGGACCGTGACGTGAGTGTGGCCGACAACTTGTCCGCCTGACAAGAATTGAGGTGCGGCAAAGTAGGTGGCATCAGCGTTGGTGAAAGATCCAGCAACCAAGTTGGACATCTGGACGGAGATGTTGAAAGTGGTGTCGGATTGCACTTGGGTTCCACCAGTAGTTGGGAAAGTGATGACCGAAGAAACCATAGCGGTCTTTGCGGGAATATCACCCATGGCTAGGTTCATGTCAGTTCATGATCTGTGTCTTCCCGGCTTGTCTTCCACTTACGGATACCGTTACATGAGCCACCGACGACTTGGAGACCGTTGGTCAATGTCTTGCCCGCACAGTTGTTGATGAAGTTGTTTGTCGATGTCAGTGACTTGGCTTGGTCGGCCTCATCAGCTCCAATCTCTTGAGATCCATCCACAAAAGAACCGCTCTGGATAGCGTTTGCCAACAATGTCGTTCCGGTTGCACCGTCAGCACTGGCGCCCGTGTTCGAGGCAGCGTTCGCAGCAGAGGCAACGGCAATAAGCGCAGCAGCGCTGGTGATCTGTGAGAAACGCATATTGATGGTTTATGTGGTGGACGACGGGCGAACAACTAAAGGTATATCAAAAATGAGTGTAAATCCGTTGAGGTGTGAGGTGGTTAATTAGATGCACGGTCAACGTGATCTGCTTGACTGGCAAGATGAAAGATAAAAAAGAGGGAATGTAGAAAGAGAGGAGCCCGCCGAAAAGGTGAAAGCACTGTATTGAGAAGATGCTTTGGAGGTGAGTGGGGAGAATGGAACAGATGGCGTGAGGCCGAGTACTTATTCAAGAAGCTTGGCGTTCACGGTTCTAATTCAGTGGGGCGTCCCCTTGGGTCGCCGGCCTGCTCGTCGACCGTCCTCCAGAGCCAGGATACGACAAAACCAGCCGTCATCCTGCGTCTCCTGCGTGGAGGACTTTGGCAATGGAGATCCCGTTGTCGCATTGAGGGTTTGAAACTGGATGTGAGGTCGGAGCTGTCGCAGTCGCCCAGGACCTGCCATCTGAAAGTAGACAAGCGGAAGATCAGGCGGATTCAGAACGACGGCGGGCCTGTCTAATCTGATCTCGGTAGCGCGGTAAGATACCAGACGGTGCTGGATTCCAGACGAAAAGGTCAAGGCTTTGCGGCGGCAGCGACAGGGCTCATGGGTGATTAGAGGAGGGTGAGGAGGGTTGTTGATCTGAAGAGGTTGAAGGGGGACCAGGAAGCCTCTAAGCGGAAACGAGAGATGTCTTGGACGTTGCTTGGTAAAACGTGACCCGGCCTCTCAGAGCCAACAGCCAGCGCGGGCTTGGATGATCGAAACCATCAGATTGTCTGGAAAGTAACATGGCACCCACGCCGAGTCGAGGGAGAGGCGGCTGTACAAACCTGGGAAGTTTAATCATATCAGATGGCAGCAGTGCGGCATAACAGAGCAGAGCAGAGGAGAGGAGAGGAGAGGGAGGGCAGAGAAAGAAATGTAGGTAAGTGAGGTTCGAGAACAAAAAGGGGTCAGCGATGGGATTGGCTGAAAATGCATCAGAGTACAACCAGAATGCGACACTCGGATTGGTGCATCTCACTTGACGGAAGAATCTCTGCCCCAAGATGGGTCCCCATGAGCCACTGAGATCATTGTGGATTTTGTTATTGGTGGAGAAGTCTTGTGTTCTGTGTTCCTGCATTCCACGCCGCATCTCATCGACGGAGGTCAAACATCCCGTAGCGATGAACTGCTCGCTCAGCACCCTCTTGGAAATGCTTGACTACCTAGTCTTGGACCATTTGGTCTGGACCCGCAGATACAGTGTATCGAGCCTCAATTCTCTCACTGAGCCCCAAATGGCTCATGAAAGCTTAATCTGAACAACAGTCGTCAAGTACATTTTACACAGGCATGCAAACGCAGTTCCGCGGCGCAAGCTTAAAATAATTTCAGATGAAAAAAAGGGGCGCAAAACCAAACTTTGCCGCCGCCATACTTGAGTATTGCACGACCAGTGGAAGAAAGAGCCTGAAGTTCAAGATTCGTCAGCGCTCGTAGTCCATATCTGATTAGATTTCAGCGATTGCACAGTGCTGAAAGCCCTCAATCATAGCGCTTGTCAGATTAGATTTTGGCTGAGCGCTCGCTTACAGCGGCGAGAGTTGGCCCTTGTCAGATCAGATTTAGGGAGTGGATATCCGAAGCTCAAGCTTAAAGGTCCCTGTCGAGAACGATGGAGGCCTTCAGCTTAGCGACCACCGGCCCATCAGATTAGTGGAGTACACTGAAAGAAAGCCCTGAAGCCGATCGACGGCCACTCTAGAAAAAGGGCCCGTCCTACTGTATCTGATTCTCGCTTCCACACAGCGCCCCATAACTGTATCACTTCAACTCCATCCCTCACCACTCCCAATATCAATAGAAACAATGCCAAGCATAGTGTTTCTCCGACTCTCATTCCTATCCGCATCAATTCCGTCTTCCGTTTGCTGTCGCAAATCTCCAACCAGCATCTTCACTCCGAGACTGTTTGTGACTGCATCATTGATCGTCACCTCCTCTAGGGTCACAATGTCTTAGAGGAACACAGTCAAGCATTGACTCGTGCAACGAGTTTTGTTCTCGGCTCTGCCAGCTGTCAAGACGACGAGCGGCCATCAAACCTTTACCAGAGAAGCTTAATGACAGGGGCAGTGGAGCTGTACGAAAAATATACGAGTCTGTGTTCACTCGATATTCATTCATCTGGTCGTGGAGGCGAGTCCGGATATCCACCACCGTCACTAGAGCCTCACCATGGCTCCCGATTATCCGATGTACGCGCTGAATGAAAGGATCAAGGATAATTATCTGATCAACGACGAGAGAATTTCAATGTGGAACACACATCTCTGGATCCACCAAAGAAGCATCGCCAGTGCCGTCAAAATCAGATGATCCACGGCATCTCCTCAATCCGCCAAGAGGCATCCCAGTCGCGCATTACAAAACAAAGATGCCAGGATGCTCGATCGGCCAGAAACCACTAAGATGACTGACAGCTGCCATCTCAATTTTCTTTGGTTTCTCTTAATCTTTTCTTCCCGTCCGAGAGAGGTTTCCTATTCCTTCCTTCGTCCGGGGTCGACGTACAAGTGTGTGTGGGCTTGGCAGCCGACCAGTTTCATCCTGTCTCGCCTGGCGAGCCTTGCTGTCTCGGAACGTATCTGATCAAACTCTGGCGTACGTGCACGGTTGTACCTCCGGCCCACTGATGTGGAATCCAAGAGGAAAACAAGCATAATGTGAGGAAAGCTTGGCATAGCGTTTGTGGATACGAGAAGGGGCGCGAGGTTGGGAGCCATGTCTGGATGTTTTGTCAGATTCTTGAAATCCATGCTGGAATATGTTCCGTCACGAAGTAGTTCTTGTGACGTGAGGTCTGTGTGGTTTAGGTTTAGAAAATATTCATAGCAGCGAAGCTCAACTTTCAGATGGTAGGTAGTTTCGTCGAGTTGGTTGCCGCTGTCATCTTATGTTGTCGTCTATATTCTTCGGACTATCGAGTTCGGACGAAGCCTCAAGAAGCCTACATCAAGGTGGGCTGTGCACTTACAGCTTCCAAGAACTTCGAAGCCTTTCTCCAGAGGCTTAGCACTGCTCTGTCTGTCTCGAGTCGAAAGCTTCTCTGCTTGAACGCCAAGATGGATGCCCGTCTCGTCGAACACGAGATCCTTGCGGATACAAGAGTTTCTGCCAAGCCAACATCGCACTCAGTACACACTCATTCGCGTGGAACTCTTGGGAAACATGCTTGGGAAACATTGATCAAGAAGATGAGATGAAGTGGGCACAGGAAGATGGCCAAGATACCAAGATATGCACGGTTCAGTATGGAGAAGTCTTGGAGATTGGCAATTCTCTTGCGCGTGTAAGAACTTCTCGGAAAGATTGTATTTCACAAAAGATTCTATATGTTCTCAGCTAACAGGCTTTAGGCCTTGCACACGAATTTGCCTCTTCAGACGAAATATCGAGTTCTCGCCTCAGAGACCTTGCGAAAGGAGGCACTTCGAGGTGACATCTGCACACCAGTCATCGAAGCAAGATCACCATATCCTTTGGTTGGAGTTCTGAACTCTTCTGGTATTGGGGGTGGTAATTTGGCTGTCAGAATTTTGTTTGAATCGTCGAAGAAACCAGGTAATATTGGACGATATGCGGCTGCTGAAAGTGCAATCATCCCCATGCCAATCTCGAGGATCGAACTATTCATTATCAGAAGACACTTTGGCCAAGGGAGGGATTAAAGATACCTGACAGCAACGGGAACGCAATCAAAGAAGAAATCATCAGTTGTTGGCAGGAGTTGGGTTGCAGGCAAGCGAATCAACGCCGCGGCACCAGCACTATCATCGTGTAAGTCAAAGTCTATCAACCTGGTTCTAAACTTACCATAGCCCAACCAAAACCAACGCTCGGATTCTTGATCTCGATTTTCGGCTCAAGTCCGTCGTCCACAATAACCAGATCGGGACCACCGCCAAAGCCAAATCGGTCAAGACTCCAAAGACCGTGAACACATATTCCATCTTCGCCAAGGATTGTTGATCCATGCACCTTCCCTCGGCTCCCAGCCAGCCCGTCCAGAAGAAATGTATAGGCGTGCATTGGAACAGCTGCAGTAAGAAGAAACAGGTGCTATACACGGTTGTCCCGGTACCGATGAACAGTATGAGCCACTGCTGTGCGTCTGTTTCTGCCAGCTTTCGCATGTGGAGTGAGGCCGAGATCCGCAGAAGAGCAGCGGCGAGAACGGAAAAGAGTTCGGCCAGGAACCACCATTCGAGAGCTGCAGATAGGGTTTTGTTGTTGTCTACTTCGTGTGGGTTACTGCCTATGCCGTACCGAATGCTGAAGAGACCGGAAAAGGTATACATGGTGAAGCAAGTCTACCAGTATCAGCAATGGCTAGAGGTAGGTAGGGGTATGTTTACCATAGTAGCAAGCAGAAAAATATCATCGGCGCCAAATATTCTTACGAGTCGACATCGTACATACAGACGGAGACCAGCACAAGCATTTGTCAAGAGAAGGAAGAAGACAAACAGATACTTCAAGGACGCGGATCGCGTCTGAATGTATCTCAGCACATCATCTGGACCGATGGTAGGGACGCGAGCTGTTAGGTTGTCTTCCATCATGGTATTAACGTCCATTTGGACAAAGAAGGTATGTTGATTAAAAAGTATCTTTTCGAAGAAGATGGAACGATACTTTACACATTTCTTAGGTTCTTTCTATGTACGTTGTCTATTCCGCGTTTTCTCTTCCCGTCATATTTGAAGACATGTGTCCATGCCTTCGATCTCGAGAGGAATGCGGCAGCATGCCGCCGGCAAGTCAACGCCTTCCCAATCATTGCTATAGGTATCGAGGAGGCAGAGAAGTTTGAACTATCACAGATGCAGATATGTGCAGATACGTCAACGACTTCACCGCCAACTTTATAGCAACTCCGGACTAGAGTGAGTGGTGGAATGAGTCGGGATTTATGAAAGGTCTTCGAGAGGGTTCTTAAACTTCAGTACCGAATCATTTTCCGTTTCATTCTCGTAAGAACATCAAAGTATACAAGGACCAACGCCAGCACTCGTACCAGAAGGGAAGGTAAGCTGATGTGACCATCCAAAGAGGAAAGGAGGGGTTCGCAATGCTCGTGTGCTCGCATCGAAATGACCGAATCACGTGTAGCCAGCGCAGATTAGAGTTGGTTAGCGCCTTCGCGGCACAGAATGTCCGTCTCAGGTTTGTGAGTCTGGAGGAAACCACCGACCGAGCTTGACTCTCAATACTGTTGTATTTAACACGACTCACCCCAAATTCCCCCTTTACTGCGACTCTCTCCTCGATCTTCGTTGTATCAATTGCCTCCTCTTGCACATATTTCTCCAGATCCTCTAACATATAGCTTTCCCCACGATCTCCCACTGCTGAGTTTGCCAATTGCGCCATTACTGCAGATTTTTCTGTCCTACCACGCCCCATTGCACACAATCTGCAGTATGCCAGCCCGTCTGGAGAGAAACGAAGACGATCGCAGAATGTCTTCTCCAGAATCTCGTTCGGTGAAGCGACCAAGTAAGCATTCACCGTTGACAAAATCCATTTCGCCGCTTGCTGTTTCTGTTTTTGCTACTGCATTGGCGCCCACCCATTCACCACTACGAGCCAAGATCTCCAGCCCTACCTCCGCTTCTACTTCCACGCTCAACCAACACCAAACACAAATTCTTCTTGCATCCTCTTCCAGAGCAATAAGATTATTCAACATAACTCTTCGCATAGCAGCTGATCTTCATCGTCATGTCAGGAACTCAATCACTCCCACCGCCGTCCCTCCCGCAACTCGTTGCTGAACAACATGTTCCGATCCCTTCCACCGACAAAGACTCCAAGAGATTGATTGTCGTCCTCTCCAATGCCAGTCTCGAGACATACAAGGCTAGCTACGGTGGCAATCGACCGGGCGGCCAACGCGAGGAGAAATATTCGCTGTTGAATAGTGACGAGCACATTGGGGTCATGCGCAAGATGAATCGCGATATCAGCGATGCCCGACCTGATATTACCCATCAAGTTTGCGACCTTACATTTCGATATTACAACTGTGCTGACAGTCTCTAGTGTCTCCTTACCCTCCTGGACTCCCCAATCAACAAGGCCGGAAAGCTCCAGATTTACATCCACACCGCTAAAGGCGTCCTGATCGAAGTGAGCCCAACAGTCCGGATCCCACGTACATTCAAGCGATTCGCTGGTCTGATGGTCCAACTGCTCCACCGTCTGTCCATCAGATCTGTCAACTCCAACGAGAAGCTGTTGAAGGTCATCCAGAACCCTATCAGTGATCATCTTCCCCCAAACTGCCGCAAGGTCACGCTCAGCTTTGACGCCGAAATTGTAAAGGTCCGGGACTACGTGGAGGAACTTCGCGAGGATGAGAGTATCTGTGTGTTTGTAGGAGCTATGGCCAAGGGCAGCGATAACTTCGCGGATCAATACGTTGACGAAAAGATCTCTATCAGCAACTACAGCCTCTCAGCTAGTGTGGCCTGCAGCAAGTTTTGCCACGCCGCTGAGGATGTGTGGGGCATCATCTAGTCCGCCTCGCTGTCGACTCATCCTCCAGCACATCGCCGAGCCGAATCATTCGACAACGATAACGGTACGACTCGAATCGAAACAACCTGGGTGGAGGCAAACTTTGGAGATTGGTCGATTATAAAGGTGAAAGCGGAACCTTGAGTATTCGCAAAGATACCAACATCTTTGTCGAGGCTCCTGGTCGTCCGGCTTGGGTGTCTGTGTGCTCTGTCCTCTGTTTTTACAACCAAAACATCAGGCGTTCAACATCAGATCCAAGACGCATTTAGTCGTCTTCGTAGACCAACTCAACTTGGTTCTACATCTCTTGTCTTTTATCCAACAGCTTAGTAGCTCTCTTGGAAGTATCTCCCATTCATAGCATTGCATCTGTCGAAGCAGTATTGGGCTCTTTGATCGTACAGGAAGGAAAATGGACCGGCGATGGCTCGCGAGCAATTGTGAGGCTGCGAGTCATTCGTCAGAAATGGAAAGCCTTGTGTATGCAAGTAGCGATACGGAAGAAGTGAAAAGTGATGGGGGTTGCATTCAGTCATTGGCAATGAAATAACCTGTCAGCCCTTCGCCTTGAAATATCTAGTGCTTCTTTGTCAAGCTTTGTTAATGTCGTGGGATTCCAAAGCCAATGAGCGGTGCCGACCTAGCTAGATCGGAACATGGGACCGAACTAACTCCTCGCCCATTCATAAACAGCTCACGATCACGATGATACCCCATTCTATGGTTTCATAGGGATCGAGAACCACCGCTCCGTCCCACTTCTCGATCATTTGTCTCTCCTTTCCGCCTTAACCTTCACCTCTCAGCGTCTTCCCCCACCAAACGCCGCCCAAGCGGTAGGAAGTGCATCCTATTCGCTGTGGGATAGCACATCACGACCCAATCACGGAATTGAGGCGATCAGTCGTCTGCACCGGGAGATCAACACGACTGGCTATTCGCAAAACGTGGCAGGCGGAGAGGGAAGAGACCGGGATGATGGATGCGTCTGTGCCTGGAGGTTGAGTTTTTTGCCCAATGTTGCTTTCGCTTCCACTGCTGCACTGCATTGCACAGCACAGCACAGCACTTCTACCTCGAGTTGACATTCGCGTTACTTCCTTGTGGTGATGCAAAATGGCCGAGATCACTGGACATGCAATTGAGGGCTGTAGGTAGGTAGTGTAGTGTAGGTAGGCGACTTCCTACGAATCAGCCCCAGTGGGTGAGCGAGGACGGGGGGAGTGGGGTCAGGGCTTCTCTGTGGTGCACTCGTCGTGCTGCATCGGTCGCTGCACAACGCACGAGAACCTGCAGGATGCTGAACAACGGCGCCGTATGGTGGGTAGGATGAGCAGTGAGAGTGAAGTAGGGAGAGGTCCCTCACGCCTGGTGTCAGCTGCTGCATCATTCATACATAAGACTCGATCGGATTTTTTGATATTTTTTTCCATGCTTTTGTTTTTCTGCCGCAGCGAAGATCTTGACATATTTGTTTTTATTTGAATTTTGAAATTTTTTCTCTCTTTGCAGTAGCAGCCGTATATCACCCCTCACCAGGCAGGCAGCGGCTCGGCACGCTGCTGCTGCTTCGCCCGCATCTGCCCATCACATCCCATCCCATCTACATACAGATCTTTTTCCTCCTAGTTCTGGTCGTATCTGCCTGGCTGGGTCGTCTTAAGTTTCGCCTTCGCCTGATCACGACTCATGGCAGACATACCGCCATTAATACAAGTCTCGCACCTCCCCAGCGCCTCCTCCTTCTACGCATCCCTCGTCCAACCCCTCGGTCTGCAATTCCTGATCGCGGCCCCGGTCGCGCCCGCCACGCTACACTTCGGCTTCGTCTCGCCGTCCCCCTCGGGCCTGCGCCAACAAACTATCTTCACCGTGTCCGAATCGCCCGTCCCTCGCCTCTCGCACATCACGCTATCAGCGCCCTCCCGAGCAGCGATCCTCGAATTCCATACCAAGAGCACGGTCCTGAATCCGCATCAGGGCAGAGGCGAGAATACACTGGTTAATAACGGTGAGGATGAGAGGGCCGTTACTAGGGACTTCGATGGCAATATGATTGAAGCTGTATACGTTCCTCGCCCGTCACGTGGCAGCAGCACCAGAGAGCGAGCCGTGACGCTGGAAACGGCCAGCACGGAGAAAGAGGCGAAAAGGGTGCTAGAATGGCAGGAGAATGTCGCGAGGAGTATCTCGGAGGAACCACCGCTGGATGAAGAACGGCCGAGGAATAGACAGTACTCGTCGTCGGCGCCTCGACCAGGCGGTTTTCACCGCGCGGATACGTTCCCGAGAGCAGCGACGAGGCAGAGGAGGGATACCATAACGCATGATTCGTATAGACGGAATACGCACCACCATCAACAGCAACACGAAGAACGAGAACGAGAACGAGAACCCATCGGCATAAGCAGTAACGCCATCCTCGGGACCCTCGTCGCAGCCGCAGCCGGCTCCGCGCTCCTCTACTCGCTCGTCAACTCTCGCTCCCAAGACTCTCCGCCGCGGCGCAGAAGAGCATCCGAGACGCACTACACGCACTCGCCGATCCGGATGGAGGACCGCGAGACGGTCGTCGAGTGCGTGCCGGCGCGCAGCTATGGGCAGGATAGAGAGAGGGAGAGGGTCAAGCCGAGGTATATTCAGTACTCGGTTGCGGTGCCGGAACCAGGGTTGCCGAAGAGGGAAGTGAAGAGTTTTGATAATAAGAGTTTTGTTAGTGAACGCTCTCATCGCCAGCAGCGCGAGAGGGAGAGGAGCAGGAGTGAGGTGGGGGGGATGAGGAGGTTGATGATTAACCCTGCTCCTGCTCCTGAGAGGGAAACGCAATCCCATTTCTCGAGCTCGAGACGTAGTCATCGGAGCGAGAAGGAGAGGGACAGGGAGAGGGATCGTTCTGGGTCAGGGGGCTCGAGTGGAAGGGAGAGGGAACGAGATAGAGATAGGGATAGAGAGAGGGATAGGAGGAGTCATAAGTCGGAATCGTACACGAGTGCGAGGACGCATCACTCTGTATCGACCATCAAGGCCCCGCCGCCGCCGTTGCCCGAAGCTCCTATCCCGCCGCCGGCAGCGAGTTTCGTGTCGACGGGGACGGTGAGGAAGGTTCCTCGTTCTCACATATCCGAGAGAGACAGAGACCGAGAAAGAGATAGAGAACGAGACAGGGAGAGGGATAGAGAAAGGGCAGAACGCGAAAGGCGCGAATGGGAACGCGCGCGTATGGTCCCGCTCCCCGAGAGCGTCGTCTCGGCGCGCCAGATCCCGCTTCCGCGCAGCATGGTGGGAGGGAGGGGCTACAATGACGATGACGGTGGGTATGAGGCGAGTGTTGCGCCGAGTGATAGTGTGAGTAGTGTGGGGGTTAAGAGGGAGAGGGAACGGTTGAAGGAGAGGATGCGGGAGAGGGGGTTGGTTGGGAGGTGGGATGCGTGATTGCATGAGTGGGTTCGGGTGGGTTTGGGTTGGGATGGGATAGATGGTTGACGGACATGGCATGACATGGATGAACAGGACAGGTCTTTTTTGGGGGGCGTTCTTTGGGGGTTTTCGGGGTTATGATTTATGATCTGGGTTTGGGTTGGGGTGCGAGGTGTGGATAATGACGATGTCTTCGATTCTTGCGTTCGTTTGGGGTATTTTTACATACTTACATATATACGTATTTTATATATTTGTTTATTAGATGTTGCAATCAATTGCTTTGTTCTTTTTGCTGGGTTTTGCACGGACGTGTGTGGAGTCCAAGTGCTGATGTCTTTTCGTACTTTGGTCATTGAAAGGTGATTTGCTTTGCAATAACTTTCATTATTATAGTTCGAAGTGCTTTTGTCGTGTTAATACTTTGGTTTATGAAAAGTTCCGTCCCAAGTTAGTACATATTGCTGTTTGAAATACTGAAAGTTTTTTGATATTTAATTCGTTAAAAAATATTGTTTAAATTATTATATGTCGTAGTACGGCTGACCGTTAATTAGAATGCTCAAAAATTGTGATTTGTCTGATAATTCGCAAAGAAACTGTGATTTGTCTTGCAATTCATAAAAAAGAAGGATTTGTCTATGAAGTAGGGAAAAAGGGTTTATTTATCTTGTAGTTCGGATCAACTCACCTTACCCAGCTATGTTTGTACACTTCACCTCACTGCTGCCCATAATACCCACCTCAGTACTGCTCGCTGTAATATGGAAGAGAGTGAGTGAATGAATGAATAAATAACAGAGTTGAGAGGAGAGGAGAGGAGAGAAGGGAGGGGTGTTTCAGCCTCATTTGAAATTTTTAGCGCTAGTGAAATATATGTTTGCCTCATTTCCCATTTACTCTTACTCTCACTCCCTCCCACTCCCACTCCCACTTCCTTCACACTCTCACTCTCTCCTCACTTTAAGTAGTACTGAGAGTAGGCAGTCCTGTGGTAATAGTGAGGTAAACAGCAGTGAGGTGAGCAGTATTGAGGTGGGCAGTATTGAGGTGGGCAGTATTGAGGTGGGCAGCAGTTAGGTGGCTGACTATAAGTGGGCCAGAATAGGTAGCAAGGTAAAGTGAGTCAATTATAACTAGAAGACAAATCATAGTTTTTTAACTTATTGCCAAACAAATCCTTTTTTTTTTCCACAAATTGTAAGACAAATCACAGTTTCTGAGTATTCTAATTAACGGTTAGCCGTAGTAGTTTTAAAATCTAAATTTTAGCCGTATTTAGCTCGCTTAATTGTAACCGAGAAAATAAACTCTTCGACTTCGAGTAAAAAAATTTAAAATACCCGAAAAAAAAGCAATATTAAAAAACAAACATTGTTCAGGAATAAGTACTTGATGTTAATGGTACCCCTTACAGAAACAGGCCAACAAGTACATATTCTCTTCGTGTGGGTACTGGTGGAGTCAATAACTATTGAGTCTCAAAGTACTGTTGGATAGTTTGTGCTGGCGTCGTCAGTTGCGCCTCTGTGGTTGATGGTTAAGCGTTGTCGTGCTGTCTCATTTGTCTATCTTTCTGCGATATATTAAGCTAAAATCTACGCAAGACATGTTCAAGGACTTCTCGGGACTGGTCACCTTTCAGTCCCCCGCTGAAAACTCCAAATTCTCTAATGGTTATCTAAAGAGTGTGGTGCTTGGTCTTCATGCTGCTTGTATTGCTTAAGCTAGGATTTGTTGGAGGACGGACTTATTTCTGGGCACATATGATAGCGGCTACCTCTGAATTCTATGAATCATGGAAATCTTAGTAGATTTACTGCGCGAAGTCAATCACAAAGATAAATATCGGCTGGTGTGAATCACTCCTCTATGAATGTATTTTTCTTCCTCCACAAAAGTATCTCCGATGTCGACCACCCAACCTGTACCTCAACAACACCAATAACCAGAACAGCACCTGTGCGTACCGAACTCCTTTCACTGCCAAATACACAACCTACGAGCGAGTCACTCAAGTGTCAACAACAATTTCTGCTCCTGCATCTCGGTCCAGCGCTAAGATCACCATATCCGTATCCCTCTTCGAAATGTGCTCTCAGATCACCATCAAATACGTGCAATGTCAGCACGAGATGGTCATTGCGCAGCATACATACAGCTTACGGTGCGTACAGTGGAGGACAATCTCGAAGTCTAGATGGGGTTTATGTCCCGAGTGCAGTTATTCTGGTTACATCTCATGATCTAACAAGGGAGCTCGATGTTGTCTGATTGGGATTGTAATAGCCGGATTTCAGAAAAGCTATCTTTGTAGTAAGATAACGTAACGTCAACGTTCCATGTGCAAAAGCTTCCAAGGATTCGATCCCGGAGTGACTGCATGATCAAGTCACAGTTTATACTTTAGGTGGTATCCCATACTTTGTGACAGTCTTCATTTTGTTATAAGAAGGCTTACTACGCGGAGTGCTATCATACCATCTCTCAGTCCGTGAAGTGACATTAGAAGAAATCACCCCAATTTTTCATACTTCTAAAAGTGTAATGCGCAACCTCGCTGAAGGATTTTGTAGTCCCTCACTGCAAGCCGTAGAATATTAAACAAGCTTGAGGCTAGTAATAAGAGCTGCGTCAAGAGACATTATACTCTCGTCAGCTTGAAGCAAGCCAATCCGTTCCCATGCACCAGCTGAAACAAGAGAATGTGTTAGAGCTACACCACATATCAGTCTGTTTCCAACGCTTCTCTGATATTCTTCAATTTTATTCGGAAAGCCAAGAGGCAGTAGAATAGTCCCTATGATCAGACAACAAACTTCGAGGCCATCTTGAAGGAATGGCTCTGAACTGTCTAAACCGGCATCAAGGTTAATACCAACGGTAACAATGCAAATAAAATCCTCTAACTCATAGTCCATTAACAGCGTTGCATCTTTAAGTTGGTCGCAACTCTGTTTTGACAATAGCGCATAAGTAGTTGCTCCGGTTATGCAAATCGCTCCACTAATCGCCTCCAACTCTGTAGTTGTGTCAATCTTAGGAATACCAGTATCTATGTCGTCGTATCCAAATCGCCAGTCAACTTCAAAACTATGGTCACTTCCGAAAGGAAATGCAACTCCTGCACCCTCGCTATCAAGTATCATGGATGCCCAAGACCAAGTGGGTGCTAGAGGCGGCTTATTGCGTCGATAATTTCGGTGGGAATCTGTCCGTCGGTAACGTGTCAGGTCCCAGAGCAGCCCTCTCGCCAAATCAGTCGACCAGAGTCCCGCAAGATATCTACATTTGAGATATTGCTGAAATAATGTGGCAATTCCCATCAAAGCCGGCAATCGATCTGATTGGTATGTTAAACGTAACTTGGTGAATGTTTCCACGGCCTCAAACCAGTGATTGAGAATTTCATCGTGATCCATATCTTCCAAGTGCGTAAGTCCATCACTCAAACCTCTCGGGATGTTGTCGAGTCCTCCACACTCACAAAAGAGCCCGCTTTTGCACTCCATAACCATCTCGGATGGATGGAAATGCAGTGTACGTGGTGCCAGATACCTCTCTTGAAACACCCAAGCTCTTGTTAATAGTGGTGTGGCCCCCAATTCTTCAGGATTCACATCGAAAGAGCTACGAGCTGTATACCGTAAGTGAGCCGAGTTCAACGATGGACGAGCATGTATCTCGTATGATCCATGCAAGCCGTCAAGCATAATGGAATGCGACTGCGTAGAAGTAGGCTCAAATTGCCATAAGACGTGCCGGGGAGAAAAGCAACCTCCGCGACTATCTGATGCATTGGTCGCAGCAATATTGATATAGCCATTAGAGTATATTGACGCCATACGGACTGATTCTCTCTTCCAGTCGAGCTCATCGTCCTGAATGATGCAAAGTGAATCGATCCATATGAAACCAATGCTCATAGCCCTAGAGACAGCAATTGCATCTTGGAATGTTTTGGGAAGGCTTTCCCATTGAATACCTTTGTAATGTTGCGTAAGTACTTGACGAGTGGTTCGAATGAGTTGAACTGCTCCCCAGCAGTGACTGAGGGTTGAGTATCTCTTAATCCTATCGCAATGCTTGTCGCTATCAATCAGAACAACGGAGAGATCAGATCCTTGTTCAAGATCCAGCAAGCGTGTAGGTAGTCTACTTGTTCCCAGATATCTCTTGGCGCATAGTTCATGGGACTCAGAGCACGTTCGAATCCAGCGGAGAGCTTTCGAAGCGCACACCTCGACCGAGAGCTCTGGGGCAACATCATTGGCAAATCCGAACCTTTCATGGGGCTTTGTCCCTAAAGCTATCATTCGTAACGCGGACCTTAGAGAGAGTGCGGGGTGCAAACCTGGTACTTGATAGAATTGCAGTCTGATCGGGCTTTTGGTGATTGTCGTTCTCATCGCGCGCCCTAGTTGGATGCCGACCTCTACCTCAGGAGGGAAGCTTTTCAGAGTAATAATGCGACCTTCGTAATGCTGTAGTGTAATCATGTTTCGATTTTCGCGGCCCGTGACTTCGAAGCCTTGAATAATGAGAGAGCAAGTTTTACAGCCAGATTTGGCAGTCTCTTGCATGTCCGACATCTTGAATCTTAACGCAAACAGACTGGCTGCTTGGTAAGTAAAACATGGTTCCCACTCTCTATTGTGTAAAGACCGATCTTCGTCCAGGTTCAAACACACTGGACATAACTTTGAAATATCTATTCAAAAAGGCAATTCCATTAATCAGCCCGTGGTCAAAAAAGATATGGTTCCACTTGCTTTGAGGCAGACGTACCATGGAAAATCTGTGTATTAGCCATTGTTTCCACCAATATCGATGCCTTGTTGATTTCTTACATTTCCTCTGTTGCCCATCTCTTACAAGTCATAGCGAATTATGAATGTATATAATTAGGAGGAATAGTTCGCGCGGTATTCTCATGTACTCGGTGACTCCATTCAAACAATGTTTGCGTTGCACCCGTTGCACAACAGCGGTAACATGCATAAACCGAGTCATTTCCTGTGTGACGGTGTTAACCAGATTCGAATATAAATAGGTTAGCATAGAATTGCAACCATAGACCAGCAGATCAGTTTTTTTTTTTAAAAAAAAGAATTGTTCATAATATTACGCATAGTATTCTGTTATGCACGAAGCTATAATTTTTCTTGAAATTTATTATTTCAAAAATTTAAATTATTAATTTTGTTACGGATCACCTGGATCACCTGCCCAATCGCCTGCAGTAATCGCCTGCCCCAATCGCCTGTGACAGGGATCACGTGAGCACTTGGGTAGCCTCTACGTGATCCTCCCTGAGAACGGATCGGGCTTAGGGCGTAAGCATGTTTCACTCTGGCGTATATAAGCTCTGGCTTTCCCACTCCCTTCTTCTTTCCTTACCTTTAGATTCTAAGAGATAGCCGAATCGATTCTTCGTCTACGTATTCAGCTTCCCACCGTGCTGTCACAAATTTATTAAAATATTTTCGAAGTTTTTTTCATCGATATTAAATTATTAAAATTAAAACTTTTTATATATATATTTTTATTCTATCGATTTTATTTAACATAATAGATATGTTTTAACATATATATATATATATATTTTCATAAAAATTAAATCTTGCCGCTTGTGAAAGCGGATGTTTACTGTCAAGTTTTGTTTTTATTGTTAATCTATTGCAGCTAGAAAGATGGAAAATGTGACGAGTTGAACCACTCGTCACATGCTACGCACGTGGAATAGGTCCACCAGTGCCCGTATCATGTATAAATAGCCTTCGTCTCCCTCCGGGAGACTCTCTTCTCCTTTCTTTAGCTTAGTATCTTCGAATAGAGCAGTCTACGACGCCTTCATTGTGCTTTCTCGTACGTGCCGTCACAGAAAACTAGTCATTGTCTGTTTCGTGTTCTGTTACTAGTTTATATTCATAAGCGGAGAAATCCTGATTCATGTCTACTCGATGTCTTTAATCATTATCTTAAGCTAACTGTCCAAGAACGAAAAGCTAGCTCATACCCATAAACCTCTTTTCCTTCTCTGTTCCTAGCTCAGACAACCAATCTCCTTTTCTCTTACAATAAAATTCACTTTCGCTACTCAAGTCAGTATTCAAGTATGAACATTGTTTTTGCCAATGCGCTTTTTCCCTTGGACAACCTTTCCTAGCTGGACATTGTGTGCAAGGCAATGTCCCTCCACCCCTGAATATTTTACTCAGTCCCCAACCTCGGTTGTAAAAGCACAAACAAAAATCTTTGTACTCACGGCTTCCATTCCCTCCACCCCTCATCACCAAGATCCAATACCCCGGAGTTGACGATCAATGCATCTTTATACTTCGGGTTCCGATTAAAGAGTCTTGAGCCACATGTCGAGCAAAAGACTCGATCTACAGTTCCGCTCGAGTCGCAGGACTTGTCTGTATACGTCTTCATGGCTGCTGTTGAGTCGGGACTTAGAGTTAATTGCTTGCATATCGTTAGCTTTCTTCCACTTGAACAAGATTTAGACAGAGTATGGAAAGGAAAGGGATAGTACCGAGTTCTCGTAAAACCCATTCGCCTGAAAAGCCGAACCGGAGGATTTCTTGCAGCTGAGACAGTGGCAGAGTACTGTTGTTGAGGGAGCACCAGTAAGAGTAAAGGTAATAGCACCGCAAAGGCAAGAGCCGTTAACGATGTTGTTGGAAGTATCTTTGCTGAAAGGGTTTGACAGGAGAGGGTGTGCCATTTTTGCTGACTTAAATATGAAAGACAGATAAATGATTAGAAGTTCGAAGAGAAGCAGAAGGAAATCGGCAAGCAAAGAGGAAGACTGGTAATGGTTTATATGTCTGCGTAGATGGAGTTGGACTTGAGATAGAAAGTAGACGGCGCCAATGCCACTAAGCTGCTTAACTCCGAAAACCGACCATTTCATCTGATTCGTCCATTCCATGAATGTCATGCTCTGATTGGACGCTTGAGTGCGAGCTTCCTCGCTTAATCTCAGCACTACTCCTTGATTCCATCATCTGGCTCGTTGTGACCTCAAAACAGTCGTTCCCTTGAGATATGTATCGACTCTCAACCCTATCTCTCCATGTCTTTGGACGTTTCCTTCGGCCCTCGACTCATAATCTCCAATGTCAGTTTGCTAGTCCCTTCACATAGGTATCTTTAGTCTCTTCCTTCTTCACCTATGGAGACTTGGTGACCAGGGCCACAGCATCTTTTTACACTCCATCAAAACTAACTCAGAGCTTATATACTGTGATGCATCTATCTTGAGGGAGTAGTGCTATCTCGAATCGAAGTGGGTATCTCGTTCAACTCGAGACATTTCAAATTTCTAAGACTTTCCACAGCTTCTGCTGTATGAGAGAGGCACACTAGTGTTACAGCATCGGGCGTTGCGAAAGAATTAAACTTCATGTAGAGATAAGCTGAGAGAAGGATCACTGAAAGCATTTGTGCTGAAGAACTCGAGGTTGCTAAGAAAAGATTGCTGAAACCGCTTAGTTGTTGGACATCTTTGACAAAAAGGTGAGGGAAGAAATAGAGAAAATCATCTGGTGACCTAGCCTTTGGCCACAAACATAGTGTCCGTTGTGACATCCGTGAAGCAGGTCAGCTTGGCAAATCCTGGCGCCTTGAGGTCTGTCAAAGCAGACCTTAGCTGTATTTTGGCTCTGTGGGAAATGGGACTTCCAGAACAGCGTCTCCAACGTCTATTTTCGCAGTGCTTCTGCCTAGAAACCTGCGATGGGTTACACATCTGACTCGGACATACCAGATATTATCTCCAGAGCAAGGCGTGATGGTATGTCTTTTGCTCGGACATAACGGAGATAGAAATGTACAGGCCTGGAGATGCAGAGCTGCATATACATATGAAATCCAGAAAGCGACCTCTCAAATAATGATCTTGCACTGAAATCTTCAAAAGGCTCCCACAAGATTGAAATATTTGTATCTCGATTCTGCCATGGGGTTCAATCTCCCATCTCAACACCGCGCCCTCGTGCTCGAAAGCATCGAGACCGGCTTCCAGCTTAAATCGATTCCAACACCACAGCTCAGCGACGGCAGCGCCATCGTTCGTGTCGAAGTCTCTGGAGCATTATCGTACTTTCGAGAGATCTACAATGGAAAGCTTGGATACTCGTTCCCGACGCCGATTGTGGGCGGTATCAGCGCAATTGGGCGCGTCGTCGCACTCGGATCAGATGCTACGGTCCTGCAGCCTGGGCAACTCGTGTTTGTCGATTGTGTGATTCGTGCTCGCGATGATCCCAGCGCTCTTTTCCTAACGGCAATTCACGACGGAGGTAGTGATGCCAGCAAGAAGCTGATGAGAGACGTTTGGCGCGATGGAACCTTTGCTGAATTTGTCAAGGTGCCGCTGGAAAATTGCATCCCGCTCGACGAAGCGAGGCTGTGTCGAGACTTGGGATACACTGTCCAGGATTTGATGTACATTAGTTACCTCCTCGTACCGTACGGTGGACTACGGGATATCAAGCTCGAGCCGGGCGAGACAATCGTGGTGTCTCCGGCGACTGGCGGTTATGGTTGTGCGGCTGTGATGGTTGCAATTGCAATGGGCGCGAGGGTGATTGCTTTGGGTCGGAATGAGACGAAGCTGGCGAAATTGAAAGAGCATGTGAGGAAGGGAGCACCAGGGGCAAATATAGAGACGGTGAAAATGACCGGAGATGAGGCCGCGGACACTGCTGCAGTGTCGGCTTTTGGCCAGATCGATGCCGCGTTGGAACTTTCCCCGCACGGCGCTGCCAAATCGAATCACTTGAAGAGCGTAGTGAACGCATTGCGACAGAATGGAAGATGCAGCTTGATGGGCATGGCCGAGCTTAACATACCAGCCTGGAAGATCGTTGGCAGCAACATTTCATTCCGTGGTAAGCTGATGTACGAAAGAGATGACATGCTACAGTTCGTCAAGATGCTAGAAAGAGGCATGTTTCCAACGGGAAAAGACTTTGTGACTACAAAAGCCTTTGGCATTGAGAACTGGAAAGAAGGCTTCGAAGTAGCAGCAGAGTACATCGGTGTGGGTCAGACGGTAGTTTTCACACCATGATATCAAGAATTCCTAGAGGGAGGAGAACAATGAATCTTGGAGTATGTACCACGATCTCTAGCAAGACACTCGTGCTTGTATTCTTTCCTTGCCTTCAAAATCGACGCCACAGTAGAGTTGATGGTGCGCTGGAGGTTCACAGTACTAGCCATTTGACAACTCGTCTCAGGCTTATCAGTGCAGCAATGTTGTACAAATGAACAGACAGACACAACCCACTATGTATACACCGGATAGACCACCGCTCTTAGACGCGACGTTCGGTATCAAATTCGGAGACGGACAGCATCTGCAGTGCAAAGACAAAAGCAAGTATATGATGCCCAAAAGGAGACTCACGGGGCCACATTCTGACTTGAGAGATCGAGGCTGGAATCTACCTGAAGTGCTGTATCACTTTTGCTGCTTTCCGCCTTGGGCTCCACGAGAGAGCACAATATGCGGGGTAATGACCAAGCCTCGATGAAAGGAACATAGACACCGCAGAAGAACAGGAAGTCTGACTCACAGGGAAAGCGAGGGCGTACACAACGAAGTAGAATCGTGGCAGACTCCTCGGTGGTGGAGTTGATGGGGTTGGATGTTGTGAAAGGAATAGCTTCATGGAGGCTGGCCAACTTCCTCCGTCATATTTTTGCGCAATGCCGCAAATACATCTCCCACTATCGCAATGAGCAAGTGCTTTTGACTGACTCGCATTGTATTCGTGAGGCTTTTGAGTCGTAAAGAAAGAAGATTTAAGTTTCAGTACGTCGACCCAAGTAAGGTTGATCGCGATTTCCCCCCTCGATGGTAGGCAAATTTGTGCCTTCCTTCTCTGCCCTGTTTCCATAAAAGACTTCTTCTCCTTCAGCCTGTCTCTGTAATCTTACAATCATTATCAATTCTGCAGGCATTTCTTAAGGCACTCAATATCATTTCTGCCCCTCGATCAGCCTCATCCGTTCCGTTATCCGGATCTTGTCTCGTATCTTACGTGAACCCCCGCTTTTTTCAGCGTCACAGAACCAATGGCAGATCCCCTCAACCCCGCCGCTTCAGGCGCAGCACGACTGTCCATCAGGGCATCATATCCATATCTCTTCAATGGCGTCCATTTTCTCACTGTCATCTCCTACGTCCTCAGAGACCTTATCATAGCCAGCGAAGAAGCTCGACCAAAAGCCATTTACCTTCAAGGAAAACTGTCAAGACGCCGTCCAAATATCCTCAGCGAAACCATCATCGTGCCAGCAGGCTCATCACTCTCAGTCAGAATAACAGCACCCGCAGAAATCAGTCTATATATCAACATGGCAGAACCACAGAAGAAAACCGTGTCGCGCACCCGCATCGCCCTGGTAATGCTCGCGACGGTAGTCTTCATAGGCGTAGTCGTCCTCTTCGCCCTACTCGCAGACGAAGTATTCACCATCCCCTACTTGACTCCCGTCGCAAAGTTCCTGGCAATGGTTCTCTCGCCATTCATACCCCTCATCTTCCCGATCTACCTCGGAATCTTCCTCAAGGTCTGCGCCTACCCGAAGACAAACTGGCCTGGCAAGACGAGATGGGTGGCCATTACAGCAATGTGGGGATTCAGCCATACTCAACGTGCTGTGCAGAATATCTGGAAGGTCTGGGGTCGTGCATTTAAGGGGAATGGAATTGAGAGCATTTGCGGACTGGATAAGTGCAAAGCAGCGTGGGCTGAGGAAGCGCTTACTGTTCTGGTGATTATCGCCCACATGAGAGGCTGGTCGTGGGACAACGACCTGTTCACCCGATGGGTTGAGGGTTTGGTTAAGCAAGAGAAGATCGCGTTGGAGAATGCGAAGAGAAAGGACAGTGCACAACAGATGGAGAAGGGTGAGGTTGCGGTCGAAGATCAGATTGTGGATTCGGAAAAGAGCGAATTGATGGCTAAGGATGGTATTGTCCTGGAGAAGGAGAAACCATTGGTCGAGATTGAGGAGGAGCAATTCGACGAGAACCTTCGACTCGAAATATAAAATGTGGGAAGTGTCCAAGATGCAAGAGGAGGATCGGGTAGGATACCCAAAGTCTGCTTTCTCGGACCTTGGTTCAAGTCTGTAACATACACTTTTCGACATTTGTCGTACACAGCGTTTCTTCCATTGTACAGTACACTTAAAGCACACTATTCGTTCTCATGAACAACTTCAAGTTCGACTTTGGCACAATGCATGTGAATTGGGATTTGTGATTTATATATATGTACAATATTTATTCCAACACCGGCTAACCTGCCATGAATGACAGTCTCCAGCATCGTAAGTCCGGGCAAGATAGAAGTAGTGGAGATAACCAGTGCGGAGATTCGTCCTTCTGCTTCTCGTCAGGAGACCCATGCTTATACCAATAAAGCTCAACTTTCAACTATCCTCCTTATCCAGGTGATGGCACGCATCACAAGTGCGGTCTTTGAGGGAACACAGTCAAATCATACCCATTCCCCTTCTCAATGCCCCTCTTCCACGCAGGCCTCTCATAAACCCTTCCTAACCAAGCATCAAGAGCCGGGAACTCATTCTTCAAATCCACCCAATTGCGCTGCTTGATCATACTCATCGGGAACTCCAAGATAATATCCGCTCTCCCAGGAAATCTGCCCATCAAAAATCCACCCTCAGGACCCTCTTTAAGCTCCCGTTCTAGATCCTTCAACGCATCCCGCATTGCTGGCCCGTCAAACCGCTTCCCCGCGGGTCCCATCTCTGGTGCCCCGTTGCGAACAAGCCCGAAGTCTAGCATGAGCATAAACGTGGATGTCCTTTGGAGAGTGGTTTGGATGTACGAGCACAGCATCTCATCCCGAACCCAGTCCCCGTTCTTCAACCCAAATTTGTCTTCGGTGTCGTATGTGCGGAGTAGATACGTAGCAATGGCTTGGGTTTCGGTAATATAGCGGTTCCCGTCTGCGGCGCCGGTGAAGAGGACGGGTGCTTTGCCGTAGGGGCCGGTGGCTTTGAGGGTGTCGGGGGAGAGGAATGGGCCTTTGGGGTGTGTTTGGGGGTTTCGGAGGTGGGAGACTAGGTTGTAGGGGATGGAGAGCTCTTCGAGGAGCCAGAGGATGCGTTGGGATTGGGAGTTCTGGGTTTATCCGTTAGCTGAAGCTTAATGAGGGGGAGGAGGCTCGTACGTCCATGTGGTGGAAGGTGGGTTTGTTGTCTGCCATTTTGGAGATGTCCTGCTGTTGGGTGATCTGAGGACTTGGGAAAGAAGATTGAATTGGTGAAGATGTCCTGCTGCTGCTGGGAGATTTTGAGGCTTGGGAAAGAAGCATATATTGTAGCTGAAGAGCAGTTGAGAGTCTAATTGAGAATTATATATACTTCCTTTCGACTTACAGTCCTGTGATTCACAATGGGTCTGGAAGGTAGCTCGTCGAATTTCACCTCATGATCAGTGAGTCAAATCATGATAAGCGGCGTGGTTGATGTCCCGTATGACGTTAAGTTGGTTTATCATTTTGGAGTGGAGATGCCAGACGGATATAACATTAGCACCGATGTCGAGCCGTAGCCTCGGCCTACCGCTACAGAAGCTGCTTCAGGTAAATCTCTCAGCATCCTGTGTTGTCTGCCAACAAGATGGATGTACATTGCAGAATTCAGGATGCCGATACGGACAATTTGTTGCGACGTAGTAAACTTCGGAAGGAAGAGAGGCGGGTGAGAAAAGTTGAAGTTGCGACCTCCCCGCCAAGGTGAAACCATTGGGCAAGGTTTCTGTCTCCCGATGCACGACAGCACAACACAATCTCGAGGTGATGAACACATATCGTGGTGTCGAGAAGTGCTCGATCCTGAAGACATATTCGATCCAATCGCCGTCAGCGCTGGATGGTTAATAGATTTTGAGTTAGCTGCATTAGCGCTGAGGCAACCGCCTTTGCCTTTTCAAGGCTTCTTTTTCATTTGCTCTGAGTGCGAATGAATACCGACCCAGAGATGTCTAGTGCATAAATCTTCTTATCGTGCTCTTTGCTATTGTACGAATCTCTGTCTTGCTCTGTCTGTGAATTGTGATAGCCTATATTCTATTAGCCTGCTTTTTTTTTTAACCTGTTGTGTCGAATATCAAGGTAACCTATGAATCATCTACCCCTTCCAAGAAATCCGGCTCTAGATCCAGTAGAAGTTCCCTACCGATGCACAGAGCCTTACGATGGAGGTCCTATGCTCACTTACCCCCACAGACATGGATGGCAGGTTCTGTACCACCCCGGTGGAATTTCGTATCTCGTGGAAGGAGAGAAGCCTGATGATAGGAAACTCGAAGCTTTTCTACAGAATTGGTTGTACTTCGGTCTCCTTTCTGAAGTGTTCGGCAGCTTCATCGACATTCAAGAATTTATCACAAGCACCAAGGACGGCGAACATGTTGTCACAACGCAAAACCAGGAGGCTTGCTGTGTATCATGGCAAGCACAGTTGACAACGTCGATCCAAAGAGCACGTCCTGGAGAGCCTCAAGGGTGGGAGCACGCAGCTAAATTAGGATCCCACGTCTGGAAAGTGGCGTTGAATAGCAAGAGTCGTCTCAAAAATGACGAGGTGGATCCCAGAATCTGGCTGTCGATATGTGTTTTGTCAGAGAGCATCCAACAGGTTATTTGCGACGTTGTTTATGACTATGACCGATCTTTAAGTCCAGCGAAAGATATATGGCGAACACCACAAAATCCACCTATTGGAGAGTTCCTCTTGGAGGAAATGAGAGTGAAGGGATGGTGTCCTTTCGACATTTGGATCATTGATCTTACGACGAAATCAGGGTCTTTGCTTTACTACTATGCAAATCTTCCCCCTCCTCGTCCACATGCCGATCACTCCAAATGCAGTACAGAAGGCTGCACCGCCATGACTATTGATTCCTCGTATCGGACAAGTCACTCAAGGACAGGCTGTCATTGTGAAGAGGAGTTCGGTGATGTGGAAGCTGTCAAAACAGCACTTTCAGGAACTGAAATCCCTTTGATCCAGCGGGTGACCGAGATTGAAAGCGATTCTTCAGCGCAATTCAAGATCATTGAACAAAATCCAAGCTCGGAATTTGTCTCCATATCTCATGTCTGGGCTGAAGGACTCGGTAGTTACAATGGCAATTCATTGCCGCTGTGTTCAATGAAACGGATATCAAATTTGGTGGATCAATCTTTCTCGTCCGAAACGAACAGTATGGCTTTCTGGCTCGACACGATTTGCGTCCCAATCAAACCTGAAGAAATGCGGATCAGAGCTTTGAATCGATTACGAAAGCCATATCAGGATGCAAAGCATGTCTTAGTGCTGGATTCGTACCTCTACAGTCAGAAAGTAGCCGATATGCCAGCCCTGGAAGCATGGGCCAGAATCTTGATCTGCACCTGGTCTCGCCGGCTCTGGACATTTCAGGAAGCGCGACTCGCAAAGGACTTGTGGTACCAATTTGAGGATGTCGCAGTGCGCATGGAGGACCTATTTGTGGCTATTGACATGCCGTTATCAGCTAGGACATTACAGGATGAAATCACCATAGCTTATCGTGGGCACAATGTCCTCCGCAACCTAGGAGGTATACCAGAGGAGCTTCGTGCAGAATTCCGTCCTGAGCCTGATGTATGGGATATGCGAGAAAGTCTCAAGGCTCGGAGCGTCAGCGTCAAGTCCGACGAAGCGTTGTGTCTGTTCTGCAATATGAACCTGGACATGGAGATGGTCACTGGCCTGGCACCTGAATCTCGAATGCCCAAATTCTGGTCTGAGGTCTCGAAGATACCCGTCGGACTTATATTCTCTGCCTCAGAAGATAAATTCACTCAACTAGGATTGCGATGGGCTCCAAAGTCATTCATGGGCGAGCTCGACAGTCGATGGTGGTACTTGGAGCAATGTATTCAGCCTCGTATTGACGGACATCCAACTCCAGATAGCCTTCACGCCCAGCTTCCAAGTATCTTGTTCTCGTCTAAGCTTCTCATAGAAGATGGCAGCTTTGACACACTCTTTTCAGATAATTGGCTTGATCTTCAAGACGCTCACGGAAGGTGGTACTTTTGCAAAATGCTTGGCTATTGGAACCAAAGCCGAAAAGAGGATCCACGAGAGGGTCATTTACTTGCGATGCTTCTTGTTAAACCTGTGTCGGAGTTCGATAAGGAAACTACGGAGAATGAATTCGACTTCCATCCGGGAATACAAGGAGTTATTGGGACTGTATGGAATGATGGTGGCGAGGTTCCGAGATTTGAGGGCTGTCGACATGCCATGCTCCATCGATTTTCGGATGCCTATTCAAGTCTCTTGAGTGCCGTTGCTGCTTGTGTTGAACAGTTCGTTGAGGCGGAATGTGGGTGGGATGGTGAGAATGATGATATTGAGGAGGACGAAGAAGACGAAGGTGAACAGGAAGACCAAAGTTCAAGCGAGAACCAAATCGAAGCTGCTCTCAGCAAGATTGAGATAACAGACATCGACTTAGAAGTGGAAGAGGTCAATGACCCCAATGGCGACGGGAAATTAGGCCAAATCAATGACGAGATCGAAACACCAGCTACCTTCATCCTCACCCAAGACCGTCGAGAGCGATGTCAAGCATTTGGAGAAATCTATGCCAAAGAGAATATCGAAGCCAGAGAGATTTGCTTGAAAATTGGACGCAATGCGGAAAGAAGTGAGGAAGCATCTTACGACCACTTTGGGAAGCTGGTACGTCAAATTTTGCACTTGTTTTGCATCCATTTTAGCAGCCGAGATCATTCGGAGCTCTTCGTCAATGAATATTTGTTTCAACTCTTTGGGTCAACAGTTCAGGACTTAGATGTCTGTCAAAAAGTATATACTGATTCGTCTATAGGCTAGATTTCGGTTGCAAATGAGACTGAGGAACCAGATCCTGGTTGGAGACCAGACCCAAGCTTTCATAATTGACTAAGGGATCGACTAAGCACAGTCGCATAACGACCGAAGGTGAAGAATGTACCTTATATTATTCAACCTTTACACTAATGTCTTTTCTCATTCCAATGATAATACAAGAGGGAGTACTGCGTCTCTAATACCCGAAACCTTGTCAAAGATTACTTTCATAGTTTTGATAGTTTTGAGAGCTTTGAACAATGACTTTGTGTGTATCACGTGCCGTTGGTTTGGTAGGTAAAAATGTTTTGGTGAAAGGGAGGAAAAAAAAGAAAACTGTACTGCAATAGCGGTCCCCGTCGTCCCCTTTGACTATTCTAGTTTCGGGCGTCATAGAAATCCATCCGCTGGTATGTTCTACTTACATTGCAATCATACACGATAATATGCCTTGCGTGGAGAACATCTCTAAGCCACGCAGCCATTTCAACCACGTACGGATGATCCGGGCTTTTGATCTCATCGGAAGGCTTGTTCACCGCATCATAACGGAGGTATGAAAACCCGTTCAGGTCCAATGTGTCATCCTTTTCCTTCCCACGCACATCGTTCAAGGGCATCTGGTGTTCATCGAAGACTATGTTTGTCCAAGTTTGCTGTCCGTCCACAGTGAAAGGGATATGCGACGTGTATGGATTTTCAGTCGCGGACACAGCATCGTACTTGATATAGGCGATAGTGGCCTGCTTGGCGGATGTCATCTTGAAGAGAATTGACAAAGCACCTAGTCGCTAATCACTTGGTGGATATGGCTATTTGTATGCCTTTTCTGAAAGATATTGTTGAAGGAGAAATGAAGACTAAACATACGAAGATGGGCGGCATCTGAAATTTGCTCCAAAATCGCTAAGCGAGGACCGGCGCAATGTTGACCCTCGTGATGCATAGATCTTCACAATTCTGCCTCGGATTTAATCGTCACAAAAGATTTCGTGAGTGCTGGGCGTGCTTATTTTCTATGCCGAAAAGCGATTCAGAGGAGTCGGAGCAGTTCTGTCCAGATTTGAGGTGACATTCTAAACATACCTGTTCTTCTACTTTTGGAAGCTGTGCTCAAAGTCCAAACCAAAACCGCGAAACCACGCACGTCAACCCCACAAAAATCTTTCAGTTTCCAATGTCCTTTGAAATTTCTAAAAACTTTCAAGGGTCTCAAGAATACTCACATTGTCGCAAATTTTGTATCATTTCTTTGAGGTTGCGATGTTAAAGCTTCCCATATTCAATCTATGAGTCACGTGCACTATTGGGGCTTGGGAGAATAAGATTACCTCGATTCACCCGATCCAGGCAAAGAGACGAGGCAGCCATTGGTGGTGTATGTCGCATGTTTCTTTCTAAAGAGTTCTAGCGGGAACGTCGGCCTGCAAAACGAGCCTCTTATTGACCGATGCTATCATTCTTGTTCTGTCTGATCCTTCCCGCAACAAGTATCGAACCTCGCCAGAAAATATCGTAACCACAAGAGGCAGCATTAGCATCAGCATTGCACACTGGCTCAAACAGTCAAAATGAGTCAACGTGTAGCTGCAAACATCGTGGCGCAGGAGCCCCTTATTTCTAGAATCCGCGAGATATCTGCTGCACCCTGTTTGTCGGTTGGTGTGCTGCACAATGGGGAAACTGTGTACACCGGGCACTTTGGCGCAATCGACACCACCTCCAGCATAAAGCCCAACGATGAGACTATCCATTTCATTGCTTCAATGTCCAAGGCCATGGTCAGCGCACTCGTGGGCATTTTCGTCGAAGAAGGTTTACTCAAATTCACGACCAAAGCGTATTCTGTGCTTCCGGAGCTGGAAAAGGCCTTTGGGAACACAGGCTCAAAGTTGACCATAGCGGACTTACTATCACACCGGGTAGGCATCTCAAGAAGCGATGCGTTATGGCTACAGTGTGGCGGTAACGAGTTGATGCCGAAATCTGCTGCCCTGGGCACATTCGTTGTTCAACCGGCTGTTCGTGATTTCAGAACGGATTTCATGTACAATAATTACTGTTATGGTATCGTGGACTTGGTGCTCGAGAAGCTTACCGGAAAGAGCTTGGAGGAGAACATGCAGGAGAAGATCTTCAAGCCGCTGGGCATGACACGCACAACCTTTGAGCCATGGATCGCCGACGACAACTTCTCCAGAGCTCATTTTCCCTTGCAGAATGGCACCTCTTTTGAGATCCCTCTGCCTTCCATTTCCAGCAAAACGATCAATGGGGCCTCGGCGGGAGTTCGCACCTGTGTTCATGATCTCTTGAGATATTACTAGAACTTTATGATCGCCACCAATGACCAATTCGAGAACAAGACGACTAGCACGCCTGGCACACCCTTCAAATAGCTGCCGACAATCCTCAAAGCCCACAACCAGCTGGACTATGTCTCGCTGCGTGAGCAATCGTACGCGCTGGGCTGGGCCCGGGCCCAATTACCCTGCATTCTTGGCCGTATAAACTACAACAAGTCGCTGGTGGCGAAGATGCCCATGGTTGGAGAAGGAGCGCCTTCTAAACTCGTTCTTTATCACGGAGGTAGTCTTCAGGGCATCGGATCTGCCGTCTACATGCTGCCCGAAAGCAATTCTGTGATCTTTGCGATGCAGAACTCGACCGGATTTTGCGATGCTTGCGACTGGGTTCCTCAGCTCCTCATCGAGACCATCTTTGGAGCAGCGAATCCAGTCGACTTTCAGGCTCTGGCAATCGAGGCTGCTGCGATGGGTAAGACTCTTGCGGACAAGGTTGAGACACAGCTCCAGGAAGGTCGGCAAACAGGAACCACAGCACGAGATTTGTATACTTACACTGGTGTGTATGGCAACCCAAGCGACACATTCCACATCAACATACAAGTGGAGGACGGGAAGCTATCTATGACTTTCCAAGACATACCCTCAGAAACATACGAGCTGCGACATTATCACCACAACGAATTCGTCTGGAACGAGAGTTTCAATGGAACGGCGAGAAGGGGCAGGTTCCAGACCCGACCGACGGTCTCGTATAAGATTCAATTTGGCAGTCAATCTAGTGAAGGCGATGATAGGCCGATTGAGTTTTTAAAATGGCACTACGATGAGTATCTGGCTGAACCGGTACTGTTCCGAAAGATAGCCACTGTAGCCCGCTAGATCAAGTACTGCTATTACCGACATACAATCACTTTACTCCAATATGTGAATGTGAATGGAATGTTGTCGCTCTATTGTGTGAGATATCTGCCCCTAGTGAATGGGAGAGAGCACGTGAGCGGTCCATGACTTACAGGGCAGAAGCACATCTTCCCAATCAACCGTCAAGTAGCGCACTGCAGTGCCTGAGGGGCTGAAGCAGTTCATTTCAATTCTGGCCATTTTCACTGCGCCAGTGCCAGAAGTCTCCAACATCGTGTGGGCAAGTGTTGCTCTGATCAACGAGGTATGTTTCTGCCGTGATCAATCATATCGTGAATTCGTGGGTTTCATTTTCTGACTGCCGAGAATGTGTGTTGTAGCATTCAAACATTAATAGCGAAGCAAGTCGCTTTGTTTCGCAAATTCTCGAAGAGATTTCGCTATCGGTGCCCCAATTCAATGCGTTCGAAGACATTTTCGGGGACATGAAAGATGTTGAACATTCTATGATCAATTTCTACGAGAAGGTTCTCGACGTATTTGTTCTCGCTATCGAGTATTTGAAACGCTGTGGCTCTTGTACGTGAATTGTTCGTGAACTGCTCATGAACTTCATTTGTTTCTTCTGTCTTTTTCAATTTCATTTCCATTTCCATTCCATTGTTCACCTACGTGTCTGTTAAATTCAATGGCGGTGCCAATGCTAAATCAATTCGCACAGGGAGTCACCGCATTAGACCAGCCCCAGCACCCATCAAAATACACCGAGGACTAAAGGAAGTCCAAAATCAGAAGAAAATCGTCGAGGAAAGGGTTTTTGCCGCAAACCTGATCCGCCAGACTGAGAGACACAAGGAGATACACACTCTTCTCTCCAAGATGCAGCTCCGCACCACCAGAGACCAAGCTCTGCCATGCAAGATAATTCCTTACCCTGAGAATCCTCGCTCTCGTGGGAGAGTGGACACCCTGCAGCTTATTGAATCGCATCTCTCCAATGCAAAATCCGGGCAGTCGTCCCTGGCCTTGCACGGCATGGGAGGTGTGGGCAAGACCCAGCTTGCTTTGAAATACATCTACAATAATTGGGACAACTACCCTGTTATACTCTGGGTACAAGCCGCAAAATTGTCTGAATCCTACATTACCGCCGCCAAACAGCTCAATCTAGTACCAGAAGATTCAGACAAGGACGCCAATGCCATTGCGACGATTTTGAAAAATTGGCTTGGGGAAACCTCGGAGAAGTGGCTCATTGTGTACGACAATGCCGACGATATTGAGGTTTTGAAGCCTTATTGGCCACCTGGAAACAAAGGTGGTATACTCATTACGAGTCGCAATGCTGGAGCAGCAAGGGTAGCGGGATCTGGAGCTCACGTGAAGCCCCTTCTTGCAGCAGAGGCCAACGAGCTCTTTCTAACGTTGCTCCAGACCGAAGATAGTGATCCGGAGGATCATGATCCTGAGTTAGTGAGCGAATGCGTAAAGCTACTAGGTACGAAATTATGTCCTCACTACACCCGCTTTGAAGCTGTCTAACCTGCATAGGATATCTTCCTCTTGCCATCGCTCAAGTTGCGAGCTTCATCGTTGAAATGAATTGCACATTGTTGAATTCAAGGAGATCTACGAATCCTTGTATCAAGGAGGCAAAGCAATTTATAACCTCTCAACTTCGACCGTTAATCTCTTCTACGAGCATACACTCATGACAGTTTGGCGTATCTCTATTACACGTCTAAGCCAAGAAGCCTCTAGGCTCCTCGAGATCCTCGTGTATTTTGATCCTGACACCATTCCAGATCAGCTTTTCTTAGAAGGGGCCAAGAACAATCCAGGCTTAGAATTCCTCAGCGGCCGACTGTCATACCTTGATGCAGTATCTGAACTCCTCCGGCAAGGACTTGTGATGACAACCAGATCCAAAAAAGGATCCACGCCGGGCAAATTTGCGCGTGGGCTGTCGGTGCATAGATTGGTGCAAGAATCCGTGTTCTACCAACTCGACGCACAAGGACGGAGCGAACGGTTCAAAGATGCACTGACTGTCCTCGTGGGCGCCTGGCCCACAAACGCAAAGAATCCCTTCAGAATGAATGCCCTTTGGAGCACCTGTGCCCTATACCTACCACACGTCGTGACGCTAGAAGCACGATATCGCGAGAGCTCGACTATTGAGCCACCTCCACACATGATCCGCCTGATATTTCTCGCATCGTGGTACATGTACGAGCGGCGCATGTCCGAGTTCGCACGCCCGCTGCTTGACACTGCGCTGAATATTTGCGCTAGAGGTGGCAATGTAGACCCATTCTACCCCAAAGTACTGACGACCTACGGCTGCATTAAGTTCGAGATGGGTCATGTGGACTCAGGAATTTCAGACTGCACGAAGGTGGTAGACTTATATCAACAGCGCGAAAAGCCACGAGACTTCCTCAAGGCGACCGCACTCTCGGATCTGGGCTGGATGTATGTCGACAAGGGCGACCTGCCGAAAGCCATCGAGTTGTATCAGAAAGGGCTCGAGATTGCCAACGAGATTGACAACGAGGCCGAGCGGCTAGACTGGTCAGTACACATTGGGCACAGTCTATCGCGCGCCTACATCGAGCTAGAGCAGCCTGAGAAGGCGCTTGAGCTTCAATTCTCGCACGGAGACGAGTTCGCGTGCGGTTTGATCAGTGAGTGTAGTCAGCGCGGGGCGCTGTTCCTGTACGGCATCGGCAATGCACATCTATCACTCGGACGAAAGAAAGGCATCGAGGGGGCAGAGGAACGGCGAAAAGGCCTAGAATACCACATGCGTGCGTTGAAGGCGCGCAACAAGGTTTGTGGCGACCATTACATTACAGCCATATCGTTGCATAAGGTTGGCGTGGTCATGCACGAAATAGGAAAACTGGAAGCGGCCGAGAGTACCCTCGAGCGAGCGGCTAGGATCCTCCGGAACGAATTTGCTGCCGACGGCGAGAGGTCAAGGACACTGTATCACCTGTCACTAGTCAAGTCGAATCTAGGGAAAGACAATGAAGCCGCACAATTGTTGACCGATGCATGGCAACATCGTGAAAAGCTGAAGGGGGAGGCAAGAAATCATATCAATGAAAAGGACACAGCCGGGTTTGACAAGATGGTCATCTATTTCCATAATTGAAGCAGGATAATCAGATCGACAGGTAGACAAGTATCCTGAAAATAGGTTCCTTAGCATCGCATGGGTTTTACTCTTTAATGACAATGTGAATGACTGAGATGTAACGGTCTCGCCTGACTGTCGGGTTTGTTGGCTGTAAAGTGATAAGGGATCAAAGGATGATGAAATCGAAGAGTAATGCAATCTCGTTACTAATAGCTTGTTGTTAAGAAACTATATTTGAGTTGAGCACGAAGCTCCTATCTAAGGGAAATCTATCTGCTTATATAGAACCTTCCTGCTCAGGAATCGAGCCGGCCGAAGCAATCGAACTTCGATTCCTTCGGTCGGTTCGGTTCGCTTGTCACGTGATCGCTGACCCCGTGCACCTGGGACCTTCCTGTCCCGAAGTATCTCCAGCAAGCTCGCTTGCTGGGCCTATCGTAACTGCTGTTTGTAACATGAGAGTGAACCAAGAGATGTGAAGAGCGATTCTAGGTCATCTGGAATATCATATTCCTGTTCCCTAATATGATCATAAGTATTATATAAAATATCTTTAAAGTGATATTCTACATCTTTGTGATCCCACGGTAGTATTTCTTAGCCGCACAACTTTCGCCTTAGTTTCGAGTATTAAACGATATGTCACGTCCCTGCCCTCACTCTGTGTGAGGTCACGTGGGTTTGTATGGTAAATGAAGTAGGATAAGGCAATCGTATTTTGAAGTCAAGAATACTAACAAAGTTGAGCACGAAGCTCCTATCCAATGGGTGACGACCCCGTGTTATATATGACCTTCTGTCACGGGTTGGATGCAATGAGTCAAAGCAAGAACCTGATTGTATTACAAGAAGAATTAACTAAAGAGAGAAGAGTTCTTTCTCGTACGAAGAGCTGTTTTAAAGGGGCTCTCGCTGGTTCGTAGAATGGCCCGCGCGCTTTAGCGTCGCGTCGTCATGTGCAGGCCCGCGTAGTCACGTGTAGGCTGCACTACGTAGTAGTGCAGCCAAATATCGGGTTCAACCCGTCACAAAACCTAAGCTCCCCTCCTTTCCTAAGCATAATGAGGACGACAATATAAAGATTATTATTAATACTCAAAGTGATTTTAAGCTTTAAGCTAACTTTATGCTATTGCCCCGATTCGAAGACCTGGATATCGAAAATAATGGTTTTAATTTTGATAATAGTAGAGATTTAGACGATTGTCACGACTCTCTCCTTACCCTGGTAAGGTCACGTGGGTTGGTATGGTGAATGAAGTAAGATAAGGCAATGATATAGTAGTTAGGAAAACTTAATCAAGTTGAGCACGGAGTTCCTCCCTAGTGAGTGACAACTCGCCGCTATATAGGACCTCCGTTTCCTGGATCGTAGTGGATCGCTCGATCCCCTATGATCCCCTATGATCCACCACGTGACCCAGGGCCCACCATAGGTCGAGATTCCCCGCTTGCCGAGCCCATGGTCCACTAGTCCCGTGATCGTAACAACGATTTGTTGGCTCGAGTAAGTAATAGCTTAAAAAGGGAAAGTAATAGATAGGACTTAGTGTCTAGCGATTTAGACGATTCGAAATCGGATGTAAATATGGAAGAATAATTGTCGCATTTGGTGTAGAATTTATTTGGAGTTGTGTACTTTCACGCTTATTTTTGCTTTAAAGTGACATACACCTATTGTCCGCACTCGCTTACTGTCCGCACTCGCTTTCGCCGACTGGGAGTAAGACGAGTGTAGGAGAGCCAGCCATAAGCGAGCGGACGATTAGAGTGAATTATTGCAGATCGCGTTAGCGCCGCGGAACTCGCTAAATTGAACCAGGGTTTGTGATAGTGTTACCCCGCCCCCTTTTCAAATTTATCCCCATACTCACTCTGCGTGATCGCATAGCCCACCTTGCAATGCCATCGGCTGTTAAGGATTGCCTTGGAACTGATTTCCCTTGGTTGGGCCGACCGTGCAGCTGCAGATTAATCGTCAAAGGCAACTCCAAGGAAAGTCTCTTCGACTGTTCAAAATGGTCTATCGGTGTCCAAGTACGAAGTAAAGAACTGCAGAACACACGACTTCAGTCCTCTTGACTATCGACGACTGTATTGAAAGCAAATCACGAGCCAACACGAGCGGGGCTGCACCTTTTCAACGATATACCTCTCTGACGACGAACCCATAACTACTAACACCATCTTCTCTGGGAAATCAAATTCATGTATCAATATGTATCTCGATGCACACATAGTTGCATTTCTTGTCGGCAAGTTCCATGCGTCGGAGTAAGGACTCCCGGAAACGTCTCCTGGCGGTCCTGGGCCAATGGCATGAACATGTTTCTTTCCTTCTGAGCGCAAGGCGCTCGCATCTTTAGATCATGGTATTGTTGAAAAGCAATACCGGGATTTCCATGTCTTATTAGCTCCTTTTTGAGCTGTTCACTAATCCGGGTGTCACTTATTGCAGAGTGTTGTCGCTTGGAGTGGATGGACGACCAGTCGAGTCTCGACTTTGCAGCCCCAAGGGAAAGTGGCCTGATTCAACACAGGGGTCCAAAGTTCGAAGAACGTCTTTCGAAGCCTAGACCTTCTGAGGGATTCCAGGTCAAATCCTCGACTCAAACATAGATACATAGAGTTCAAACTCTTGGCACGATCCACCATTTCAGATTCTATGACCAGTCTCATTCGAAGTTTGCTTCCCCTCACAATGGCGGGGCAAAAGTCCGTTGAACGTGTGTTCCCACTTCGAATAGAGCCTCTTGTTACACCTCCTCAAGATTCTGGTAAGTGTTCGAACCAAGCAACCACCAAAGCACAGGCTTACGTCAATACAGAACCGACGAGTTCCGAAAGTGCTTGCCACGTCCGCAAAAAGACTAAGTTCGATGGACCAAAGATTTGGGGAGATTCAGAAGCCAAATCCATTCTGGTTCCACAAGAAGACGCTAAATTCGCTGCTCACATCCAAGACTTTGGAGCATTGGTAGCTTTGCGTATGACAGCCGATACTTTTTCTACTATTGCCTGTAGTCAGAATGCGACGTCCATCACAAGTTTGTCTTGGGAACAATTGTTTGAGCCTGCGTGCTTCAGTCGCTTTATTGTCTTGGAGTCACGAGATGATTTTCGTTTGCGATTGAAGGATGTGGCAGATGAAGCTTTAAAAGGCGTCACCACAGCTTCTGTTGAGCCGGAAATCTGCTCTCTATCAATCGTTCAGCATTCTGGTCAGACGAGTCACTTTTGGTGTACTATTCACGCAACCTCCCGCGATCCAACCATCTTGTTGTGCGAATTTGAAGGATATATTGCTTTCCTAGAGCAACCTTTTTCGACAAGTCGTGGCGAAAGGAGACAGCCAAGTAGGCGGTTGAACCATGTTCCGACACAAGAGGAATATCTACAAGCCACGACTACCAAGAGCCTCCCATTACGATATTCTCGAAGTCAGCACGCGACCCCACACGACAGAATAATCGATCCTATCAGTCTGATGAATCAGATCCAACGCCAATATTCGAATACATCCTCGATTCCTCAACTTTATGATGCTATTGTTGGGACTGTGGCAGAATTGACCAAATTTGACCGCGTAATGGTGTGAGTACTTATACTAGACAGATGCTGTCGAATGTAGCTAAATCAACACTAGATACCGATTTGATGAATGTAAATGTGGGGCTGTAGTAGGAGAGCTTCTGAACCCAGAGGCTAGCAAAGACGTCTTTCTCGGCCTTCATTTTCCGTCTTCAGATGTACCGATCCCGATGCGCGAATCTTATAAGCTCGATCGTATTCAAGTCCTTCGTCAAAAGGCTCGACCCGAATCAGCGATTGTCGACCACAATAAAATTCCAGTCTATTTGGACCTTTCACGCTGTTATCTCAGGGCCTTTTCTCCGGAGCAGGTTGCATACTTTTCTAGGATGAATGTCTCATCAGCCATGTCAGTCTCCCTTGTCGTCGATCAAGAGCTCTGGGGTCTGATAATGTGCCATTCGTACGATTCCGAGGTGACCGTAATATCACCGCGTCTGAAAGAACTTTGTAGAATAATCGGCCAGAGCGCTTCAACCCAAATTGAAAGACTTCTTTCTAAGGAAAAGTTTGAAATGAGGAGCTCCCTTATGGCAGGTCTCTCTTTGAAGTCTCCAGCGGCTTTTCTTACTCAGGATACCGCAAATCTTCTGCAAGTGTTCGGCGCTGAGTTTGGGCTCCTGACCTTGAATGGGGAGACTCGTGCAATAGGTCCACTTGAAGTTTACCAAGAAGCACTGGCTATTCTGCAGTATTTCAGGTCGCGAAAACCAACAAAAGTCATATCCTCGCAAAAGATCGCCACAGACTTCCCAGATTTGAATTACGAGCCTGGTTTCAAGGTTCTTGCAGGTGTTCTGGTCATTCCTCTCTCTGATTCCGGCGCAGACTTCTTGACACTGTTCCGGAAAGGGCAACTGCTTGAGATTTTTTGGGCTGGCAATGAGCAGGAACAATTTCAGTATATCGGTGGGGAGATTCCAGAGCCTACTGCTGGCTTGCTCCGCTGGGCTGAACACATGACTGACACATCCCGGGAATGGACGGACGATCAAAGTAAGTGCTCGAAGTTTGATTTGTAGAATGACGATCTGACTCTCGAAGTGGACATTGCAACTGTTATCGGCTTGTTGTATGGGACTTTCATCAAGACGTGGAGGCAAAAAGAAGCCATGGAAGAGAGGGGCAGGGTCAAAAGGCTGCTAATTTCAAATGCTTCGCACGAAGGTCAGTTGCCGTCCCATCTAACCATGCCATACTTATTGTTATAGTGCGTACACCCCTAAATTCGATCGTCAATTATCTTGAGATCATTCTCGACGGTCAAATCGATGATAATACACGAGATCAAGTGGAGAAATCACTGACAGCGTCTAAATCACTCATCTATGCAATCAATGATCTACTGGATCTAACGAGAGTAGTCGACCATAGCCCAGTGATGCTTGACGAGAAATTCAATCTCAAGCATGAGCTCGATGGTGTGGTCGATGCTTTTCGCGAGGAGGCCATTCGTAAGGGCTTGAACCTTTCTACGGACATCGATTCAGATACGCTACCATCACATGTCAAAGGCGATCCAATGAGACTACGACAAGCTGTTTCGGATATACTCAGTAACGCCGTGGAATACACAGGGGAGGGTCAAATCGTTATGAAGGTTGCTGTACTGGAAAGTAATGGTGACCAAGGAGTCATCGAAATCACTGTTCAGGATGAAGGAATTGGAATGTCTGAGACGCAGCTGGACTCTTTATTCCAACACCTTGAGCAGGTTATCGATGACCCTGAATCAGAAACGTCATCCCAACCAAACCAAGGAGCAATTGGTCTAGGCCTCGCTGTGGTAGCTCGATTCGTCCGAAACTGCCAAGGACAGCTCAGAGTCCAATCAGAGCTTCTCAAGGGGACTACAGTCCAGCTAAACATCCCTATAATATCTGCAACTACCTCTGCAGTGGGACAGAGGCCTCTAGACACGCCCCCTTCCGATCAAGAGATGGCAGATCTTCTGAAAAACATCGAAGAGCGAACACAAATGATCAACAGGATTACTCAAATATCGCAGACCGACTCAGCCCCTCTACTCACACCTGCTACTGAACTTACATCTACAGACTCGTTGCCTATGTCGTCTCCAGCCCTTTCCCTGGGCTCGCAAGCTTCTGCAATAGGTTCGTCTAGTCAATTCTCACCAACTTTGGATGCGCGTGGCAGCAGAGAATTTCCCTTTCCACCGATGCTAGATGCGAGCTTCGGAAAGTTGCGAATACTCGTCGCAGAAGACAACCCTCTCAACTCAAGGATTCTCAACATTCGTCTTTCGAAGAAGGGATACCACGTGACTATTACGCCAGATGGACGAGCCTACGCAGACATATTCGTGACGAGGCCTGAGGAATTCGATGTGATCTTGATGGATCTCCAAGTAGATATTCCTAATTGCCCCCTGTGTATAGTTGCTAAAATGGTTGTAGATGCCACTTCTCGATGGTCACGGCAGCACAAAGTTAATCAGGTCTTTCGAAGCTGTACAGTCATCAAAATTATCCGAGCATGCGTCCCATCGCGGCCGAATACCCATATTTGCGGTTTTAGCCTCACTATTGGAAGATTCACGTGAAGACTATATGAGTACGGGTTTTGACGGCTGGGTTATGAAGCCCATTGATTTCAAGCGTCTAAAACTACTGATGCACGCTATATCCGACAAGCCCACTAGAGAGAAGTGTCTTTACAGGAAGGGTGACTTCGAATCGGGTGGGTGGTTCAAAGATACTTGAATGGCCGAAAACTTCTCACATGCATGTTTCTTTGCATACACGTATATATACCTGTGCAGCGCGAATGGCGGAGAGTGTTTCCCATTCCGAAAACGAATGTTAAAAGACTGCATTCGTTTGTTGCTATGCATGGTTCTGTGCATCTATGATAGCCCTCGAGACCGTCTTTACTTCTATTACTTCCTTTTGCTCCATGTATGCACAGAACGCGTGGAAGTTTTCGTGGCGTCTTCCCAGCCAGTCGAAGCGAGACATGCTCCTGGTGCAAGGCACGATACCCAAAGATAGCCCCTTCTCGTCCGCATACTGCCATCGTCTTCTAGTCGCTATAGCGTTCTGGGGCACGCAGCAATCTTGCGAATCTGGATGAGATGGATGTTCATCCAAAATTCAAAATGAAAGTGGGACTTCTTTCAGAAGTCGAGGGGCAACAAGAAACTATTTCTTGTTAATAAGCCATCTTCACCCAGTCAGGTAACAATAAATGCCCTCTCCACTCTGGCCAGCAGCTTGGGCCACCATATTCCAGAGTGTGTATCGCTTATGCCTAATTCTCCATCTATATGAAGGTTACCAACGCCTATGCTAATGCACGAGATGTCAGGCGGAGCACACCGCCGAATGCGAACTTTACCACAATTGAGATCAGATTGCTGGCATGTCTTTGACACTTCCAATTTGAGCGAAAAAGGCGGGATGTCTCAGAGTTTCTCCAATAACAAGATTGATAATCTCCACATAGCACACGTTCCTGAAAGGTCTCAAGATGTGACTGGAACGCCATGGCGTGGGAATCTTACGATGGCAATGCCAGTTTGTGGAAAAACCGCTTCCTTATGTCTCCAATTCTTCTTCCCCACGTGTCTTCGCGCGCAATTGTCTGCATATAATCCTGGCCTCGTCGCTGGCCGTTTCCTCCATCACCAACAAGTTCCCCCTCCCTATCCACTTCCAAGATTCTTCTATCAAACCTCCAGATGCGTCTTCAAACCATCATCATCCTTGCTTCATGGATTCTTTCCGCAACCGCACTCCCTCATTCACATCACAAGCACAACCACAAGCACACCCAATTTCTCCATGGGAGAACATCATCTCCCGATCTCACTATCAATGATGTTTCAACGGTTCTGGGAAGACAAGAATCTGGCCATATTCACGAGAGGCGACAGGCGGAGCCGAGGAGCGCGGATGAGGACCTCTTGTGTCCCTGAACTGCAAGCGGGTGTTTTTTGAAGAGGAGTCAACAGGAAACTGGGTTGAAATGATTTTCGTGGGGCAATCAAAACAAGTCTTCAAAAATTGTGGAGCGACAAAGTTTTTTTCTGGATATCTATACCACGATCAGGCGTTCAGGTTCTTGATTTTGGTCGATAAAAATATTCTGGAGGTCAGTTTTCAAGGCGTTACTGGGAGGGGTGGCAGTGATATTGCACAGAAAGTGAATGTATGAGTTCGGTCGGGGCAATGCTGGTCTTGAAGTCATGAATGACGATTGACGAAACACCTCGCTAGTGGCTGCGTTGGGAGACATGTGTAGGCTTTAAATACCAAGAGGTGGAAAGCTGGAACAGTCTCGGTCAAATCAAGAATTATGAACTGTATTTGTACCTTGTTGACTCCTTAATGACTGATCTGAAGAGAAATCTTCAAAGGTTGTACACGTGACAATAACCAGAAAAGGATAGCAAAGTCACGAGGAAGAGGTTCACCAGTCTTACGAAGGCGTGGAAACCTGGAGAGTGAAAATTCATAATGTTACTTATTCAATCGCTCGGATTAATTTTTTTTCGGATCTACAAGGTCTTTGAATGACATTTTGAGCCTGCGATGGTGGGGAAAAGGAGGGGTCGCTAAGCGAGAAGTGGACTAGCTTTGAGAGCTTCAAGCTTCCTATCTGTGACTCTTCTCGCAGCTCTTCGATATCCACTGCTCCCACTCAAGCCAGAAGAAACTCAACAAGAATCGCCATGACCACTTTACGTCTCCGAGAGCAAGATTTAGAAGGCAAGGTGGCCGTCATCACCGGTGCGACACGAGGTATTGGTCGAGCAATTGCAATGAATCTCGCATCAAGAGGGGCCTCCATCCTTGGCACATGCTCACACGCCAGCAGCCTCGACTTGATAGCAAACATGAGAGATGAGATCGATGCGTTGTACAAAGAGGCCAACCAGGAACGTACTTGCAGGACCACAGGCCTTGCAGCAAACATTACCTCTCCAACATGCGCGGAAGACATAGTGAAGAAAATCTTGGACCTGAGGTATGGCGTCGATATTTTCGTCAACAATGCAGCAGATTCTCTTCCGGGCGGGATTGGAGATTTGACTGTCAACGAAATTCAGAAGAGCATGATCAGCAATATCCAAACGCCTGTACTGATCGTCGATGAATTCGTGAAGAGAAAGATGTTTCGGCCCGAGAGCAGGATTATCTATATTTCGTCTATCCGTTCGAGGCAGCCATGGTCTGAACAGTTGATGTACGCAGCGGGGAAATCTGCAGGAGAATCGCTGTGTAGGACTTGGTCGATGGCTTTCGGAGGTAACGAAGAGAAGGTTAGCCATTCGCTTCATCATCCTTCTCGTCCAGCTGCTCGCCCACCTGCTTCTTCATTCCTCAATTTCCAGTTCTTTCTTCTCAACCTACTAATCCCTCGGCAGTTCTCATTCATGGCTGGAACAACAGCAAATTCAGTATCTGTAGGCTTGACCCAAACAGATTCAGTCATGCAATGTCCACCCGATGCGTTGGAGAAGTTCAAGCAAGAGTTCATTCCACTGCAGTCGATTCCTCGCTTTGGACAGCCTGATGATGTTGCGGATGTGGTTGGTATGCTGTGCAGTCGCGATACTCGGTGGATCACAGGTTGCGTCCTCAGTGCAAGTGGAGGCGGGATCAAGATCGGATAAGTCTCAATGTGCTGGTTTCGATCATATGCATCTCGCCTTGCAAGTCCTTGCCGGAGCCAATGCGATGCACAATTTTGTGTCTTGCGACAAGTACCGACGGGCTAGTGTTCTATGATCTACAGTCTTTTTTCAGTAATCCGCAACTTCATGCAGAACTTCAATTCCTTTTTCCAGTTCAGTTTGCTGCCGACAACAGTGCAACAATACCCTCCTCTCCCCTTTGCAGATTTTGGCATTAATCACAGTTATCCTAGCTGCCATTGGAATATCCCCTAATCCCCGTACATTCTCTACACCCCTCTCCTCTAACGCAACGATCCTCTCTGCAATACTCGCTAACATATCCCGGTGCCAAACACCTTCTTGTTTTGGTCCTCTTCTTAAAAGGTCGAGGGCCTGTCTTCGAAGAATGGGATGTCGACACCTTGAGACCACGAAATAGAGCGATGGAAGGATGCCAATGTCGAAGGAAGGGAGTGGTGACGGTTCTGATTCGAAAGTAAAAAGATAGGATGCTGAGGTCATAATGTGAATGAAAGAAGACTCATAGGCATCGAAGAAGGCTTCTGAGCTTAAAGGAATGAAAGCGGCGAGAATCGAGGCTGTTGTGTGCCAGATATCTAGGAGGACCAGGGCTTTCTCATCTCCTGGGGAGAATTGACCCTCAGCGGTTGCTTTGAAAGAGTTGAATGAATGCAGCCATTCATTGAGCGGGTTTGAGCCGAACCTAAATGTCGAATCCATGGAGTCCTCGAGGATTTGTGGTTCGGCTAAGCCTTGGAACTGAGAAGTTATTGTTCTGTGATACAGCGAGCACATACAACTATCAAGACAATCTCTCGCTTCCTCGATAGATCCAAAGATAGACGGTATTGATGGAAGCACAGGAGTGAAAGCCGGATTGATAAACTTCCATTCTTCAGGCTTGGTATCAACAAACAAGATCGTCTGTATCATCATTCTATCAAACGTAGGTCCCAGTTGTATGTCATTCCCACTCGACTGAGAGTTGAAAAATAGGAAGACAGCGCTCGACATCTGGCTCAGTGCTGATTCATAGTTGTTCTGAAGCATCTCAATGCAGACAAGCACTGCGCAAGTAACCAGCGCCACTTCTGCAGAAGCATCTTTCATGGTTTTCTTCAACCCAGATACCGCCTGGGTGTATTGTTGAATGGCGAAAGGTTTTGGAGAACTTTCCTCAGCTTCTAGAAGAGTTTCCGATAAAGACGAAAGCGCTACGATAGCGTGCCAAACAGAATCTTCTTGTTCTGCAACTCGAAGCACATCCCGAGTCCAAAAGCCCGATTCAAAGAATCCACCAAGGCCGACAGCCACCTTTGTCCAAAAGAAGTTGAAAGCACGTAGTTCGTCACTGGTGTGGCCAGGATGTGGAGATATCTGTCTGGCGGAGCTAGGTTCGTATAGAACGACCTTCAGGGGGTTTGGATCCAGATCAGGAGAATATTCGCATTGTCTTGAACTCTTTTTGCAGGGTGTGCATCGTGGTATTAAGTTGTCGCAGCGAACATGGCGGGATTTGCAAGTCCTGCAACCTCCTGATCTCTTCGGGGCCCATTTCCGTATTCTCGTGGGTTCTGAGGAGGAAGCTGACATGTCTATTATGATGATATTTCGTACAGTCTTGTGAGTCCAATTGTCATTGACCCCGAAATTAATGAAGGCCAGAATGGATTGCCAAAAGCCCGTCATAAGTATCAGAATTCTCTGCACTTCTATATTTTGGGAATTTCGACCTAGATCAGCTTTCTTAGCCAGAGTCATAATAAACGAATGGGCCAATCAAGGGCATCGGAGGCGTAGTTACATTAGGTTAAATTTAAGGTTAAGTCTCATGCACTGCAAGGTCATACGAAAACCAACAGCGTCCGTAGAGGCTGCACTACCGTTAGGCCGGGTTCTGCGTTGCAATTAACTCGTAAATGCTGACCAGCATCAGCCCTCGCGCGCCGCAGCCCATCAATCCTTGCAGATCAATTCTCAAGGCTGCCCCTGAAAGCGGTAGACCTTGCTAGACCTTAATAGGCGAGCCTACAACTGGGTTTGCATCCATGGTCGCGCTAAATTTAAAAGGGATATATCTCGTATGTGCTGAGGCCCTGAGCCGCATGCACCGAAGTGCAGCACACCTTTGCCAACAATTTGAAGTGATCCTTCCAGGAAATTCGCCAAGTGAGTAGGCTTGACATGAGGTGTTCTCCGTTGGGAGAACAACAATGGGGACCGTAGAGAACATATAAAGCTGGGCGACGCAGTCTTTGCTACTTTTCTCAGCAAGCTGAAGCCGATTACCCTCAGTTCCATTTTTTTCATAATGCATCTCTTCAGCTACCTCGTCGTTTCTGCTGGTCTCACGGTATGCGCAGCTTCAGCAATTGCCAGTTCTCCATCTCAGATTTTACTTCCGAAACCAACCGGCTTGTACCAAGTCGGCCGCAGCACTGCTGAACTGGTTGACCATAGTCGGATACAACCATTTGCTCCGGATGTCGAACCTGTGAGACTGGAGGTCACTATATTTTATCCCGCTGTTCACCAACACCATTCTATCCCAGGAGCATATTTTCCCTTGGAAACTGCTCTTATCGAAGACAACTACCTCAGTAGTTTAGGACTTGCATCACCGAATGGGACCTTCGAAAAGCTCGCTCTTCACCTTGCTAGCAATGAACCGACCCAGAATCTCACCGGACAGCCTTCCTGCGAATTTTCACTTGTTATCTTCTCGCCCGGCGAAGGTACCACTCGTCTTTTCTATAGCCAAATTGCTGCAACTATCGCCAGCCAAGGCTTTATTGTCGTTACTATCGATGCACCATACGATGTGGATGTTGTTCAGTATCCGAATGGAGATCTAGCCTTCATCAACTCAACACTATGGGATACAACCAACGATACGGCACTCGAAGCAACCGCCTATCTTGCTATTCAAACCCGCATGGCAGACGTCAGTTTCGTTCTTGATTCCTTGTCCAACGCCACTTTGGCAGCAACCCTCATACCCAATTTGCCTCCTTCGAGATTGAATACTTCTCACGCAGCCATGTTTGGACACTCCTTGGGCGGCGCGACTGCATATTCTATTCTGGGTACCGACGATCGAATTGTCGGTGGATTAGACATGGACGGTCTCCTTTTCGGCCCCGGACTTCCAAATGGGACATCCAAGCCTTTCATGTTGATGGGGCACGGCGGTCATACTCGGGCCAATGTGACAGATGATCCTTTTGGTACTTGGACAGCTGCTTGGTCCAATTCGACTAATTCGACTGGCTGGAAAAGAGATATTGTTATTTCGGGTACGCTACATTACGACTTTAGCGACTATCCGATTGTGTTTGATACGTTGGGAATCAGCCCATGCAATGAGACTGTGAGAGACGATAATCTTCTCATTGGGAGCTTGAAGGGAAAAAGATCGCTGGAGATTGTAACTACATACGTTGGAGCTTTTTTGGACTTTGTGCTTTTCGGGAAGTGCTCTGCATTGTTAGACGGTCCCGTAGACGAGTTCCCTGAAGTTGTGTTTGATTATTAATTTTAATACAAGACGATAGCTATCGATGGTAGGGGTAGAATTTTGGGCTCTGCCTATGAACTCATCTCGCTTTAAGCGAGCGAGGCGAAAGGGGGTTTGATCACGTGCTGTATTGTTGTTCCCAAGTACCTAGGTAGCTGCGATGCACCGACTGGGATTGTTGTCCATACTCATCTTTTCTGTATTGTAATTGAGCTATTCTATATCTACCACTCGTCAAAGGCTACCACCCGCAGTCTTCTGCTTCTCGGTGACAGCAATATCCTTATCGCCAACAATCTCAATACCCTCGCCTTCAATAACAGTTGTCTCGTTCCCATCCTCATGTTCTTCCATAAGAACTTTCACGCCAAGACCGGCGGGCGGGAAGAGGTGGTAAGCCGCTAGATAAGTGAGGACGCCGAGAGGAAATCCCACACAGTAGTAGACCTGGAATATCTTTACTGCAGCGCTGTCGGGATTGCTGCCAATGACTGTCATGAAGAAGCCAGGTAATCCAGGGATCATCCCAACAAACAGTGAAACCACAGCACGTAGGTTCCATCCTCCAGTGTACCAATAAATTCCGTCTTCAACATAGAGATCAGGAACATTCCACAGACGTTTTCGAACAATCCAGTAGTCGGCAATGAGAATCCCGGTAGACGTGGCAATATAGACTGTACCAAATTAGTTTATACAATACTAAAGTTGAGGAGCTGGGGTACTTGCGCGCAAATACCGGGAGAATGTCAACAAAGATAAGAGCCTGGCTCAAGAACCTCCAGGGCTGGGCGATACACGTCAAAATGACTAACGAACATGGGGACAAAAGTCCGTGCGTTCAGGGCATCAGAATCATGAATTTTATTAATTAATTAGCTGTAGACCAGCCACATCGCTTAATTAAGTCGTGTACCCAGAAGTCCTGCTGCTCAATAAGCCCATTGATCCATTCCTGAGGAATTTTGTCCCATTCTTCTAATACTGCTACAACCATTTGAACCTCAGTTGTTGGCTGCCTTAGGCGCCTATGGAGAGCTTGTTTTATTCTCCTCCAGCACTTCTCAATAGGATTCATATCAGGGCTAACTGCAGGATGGGGGAATAGAGTAATACCCATAGAA